AGAATGGTCGCCCAAACTTGCCTGAATGAGTGACCAGCCACTTGCATTTACATCTGCTGGATCCTTCTTCGTTTCCCTAAGCCTCCGCTCCTTTCGTGCAGGAGCTTCGCTGTCGCGCCTCTGGGGACATTCCCCGGCAGGGTCGCGCCGAGAGCCAGCTCAACCTTTACCGGGAGAGCCAGCTCAACCTTTACCGGGGACTGAATCCGCGAATTCACAATTCTCCTTTCGACAAGTCGAGATGATTTCGTAACGGTATTAGAGAAGCTGGTCACAGTGCAATGTGACCCGTGCAGTGGGCTTGCAAACGGAAGCCTGGGAAGGCGCTGCTGTCCCGCCTCAAGTGCAAGTTGTGCACCTTTCTCTTCTGAACGTGCAGTGGAAGGGGAAGGGGCATGTGCATCAGGGTGCTGAATCAGTCCTGTAAAGGGCACCTGCGGGATGCAGGGTTTGTGGCTGGGCACCTGGCTGCGCTACCTGGCCGGCACTCGGCTCGCCCCCTTCGTGGCGATGCCCCCCCGAGTGGTGCGCGAGCTGCTCGACCTGGCTGACGTCACCCCCTCCGACACACTGGTTGACATCGGCTGCGGGGACGGCCGCATTCTAGTTGCAGCTGCACAGCGCGGGGCGCAATGCTGCGGCTTCGAGATGATTTCAAGCCTGGCCAATGAGGCGCGGGAGAACGCGCAGCGGGCGGGTGTCGCGGACCGCATCGCCGTGCACGAGGTGGATGCGATGAAGGCCGACTTGAGGAGCGCGAGCGTGGTCACGCTGTTTCTAACGAGCGCGGGGAACAAACGGTTGTTGCCGAAGTTTGGGGCGGAGCTGGCGCCCGATGCCCGGGTGGTGTCCTGGCTGTGGGAGATGGAGGGGGTCAAGCCAGCGCGGGTGAAGCGCGTTGGCGGGGTGGGCATGTATCTGTACACAGGTTCACACTTCAGAGAAAGCTGAGCTGAAAGTGCAGCGGAGGGGGCCTGGTCTCTGCAGATGGCTAGAGGAGTTTCCCTTTAGCCCCTACTGAAAATCTGCCTCATTGGGAATCATGCTGAGGCATGAATTTCTGCCAGGCCCACAGTGAGGACACCAGATGAGGTGCAGGAAGGTAAAGTGCCATGTGGTATGGTCTGCACGGTTGAAGGCAGTCTGCTTCTGGTCATGCTGGAGTCATGATCAGTCTGCATGCATGTTGTGACGAACCGGCATGGAACTTGCTTCGTTATGCAAGTCCGGTTTCAGTGGCACGAATGGGTGTCTGAAGTAGCCACTGTAACTGGACTTTTATCGTTTGATCCAAGCACAAACCTCAAGCAAGGGTCGGAAAAGGTTGCGGCAAGTAGTTGTCCCTCAACGGAGCTGAATGATGGCGCCAGTGAAGGACTGAAGCGCGCTTTTCATGTAGCTTTCTGTTCCTTGTTTGCAGTCTGCCCATGAAGGAATTGCAACTGGTTGTTTGATCAGGGGCTATTACAACGAGCTCAACAGTCCCTAATCCAAGCATCAAGCAGTATACAGGCTCTAGAGCTCGAAACCTCCAGCTAAAAGCCCTTCTCGAGCAGCCAGTTTGGGCCCACCCAGTAACAAGACGGAAATGATGCAGAGACAGTGACTGAAATGGATACATAGCAATAACCTGCCAGCGACATGCTGATAAGTCTATTCTGACTAAGTACAAGCTTCTGTTAGGGAGTTACGATCTCACGAGCTCACATTGACCCAAGTACAGAAATCAGGACAAACTTTCTCCAGAGAAACACGTTCTCAAAAGCTGCCACATATCGAGCTAGCCAGCTAAGCTCATGAAACAAGTGCAATGCGAACCGGCCTCGAGTCAAGTGTCCTGGTTGGAGCTAGATCCGAACAATTACGAACGGGCCTGCACAGTCTTGCAGGTTGTATCTTACTTTTCGTTCTTACTTAAACATGAGAATCATGATTCAAGTATTGTTTAAAACTGTGAAGCTTTTGATTGATAAGACCACACATGTACAGTGATAGAAACGACATGTCCAGATCTTAGTCATGATGCACCGTCGTGGCCATGTGCAACGCGCACCTTCCGTCAGTGTCACATAAATTATACGTGTGCCTGCAACATCTTATAAGTAACAAGTATGAACGAGTCCATATTTCAGGCTTGTGCATATGTGCTAGCTCACATCACTCGCGTTGATGATCAAAAGATTGCCGCCTGCAGCCTGCCCGGCGGCCTAGCTTTGACAGTGAGACATGCGCTGCACAGCATGCATATCCAACCGACATGATCACGAACAAACATGTGTCGCGACAGACCATCTCGACGCTAGATCATGTCGGCACCACAGCATGTCACTTGCATCACTCGCAGTGAATAATGACTGCGCCGCGTCCAGCGCGATCAAGGCACGTCAGAACGGTTCATGAGTGTGAATGAGACACGGAATTACAACCACGCCCTCATGGCATGGAGGGAAACTTCTTACTGGCCATCGTACAACTCTCAAGGGTTTACAATGAAGTCGCCCTTACAAAGCCTCAGATTGAACAGAAGAAAGAATGCCTAAGCTGCATTCTTCCTTCAAGTCACCAGTCACCTGAGCCTGCAGCACTACTCAACATCATCTACACAATACTGAGACAATAATTACACCAATTATTGTCTCCCCATCTAGTTGCGACACAAATCGGACGCGCGTGACAGCTGTCGCGACAGACCATCTCGACGCTAGATCATGTCGGCACCACAGCATGTCACTTGCATCACTCTCCCCTCCTGGGTCCGATCGTCGAACTAAAGTCGGACCCAAACACAGCACTACAAGTGACGCCCACAACTGTCGCAACGTCGCCGTGCACAGCTGCGCCGCCACACTGCTGCGGTCCTGCCCCGTTCCAGCCGACCACGTGCCAGCCATCTACTCCCGTCGCCCCCGCGCTCCGAGTATCCCCCCACCGCACGCCAGGCATCCTGGCACCTTCCTAAGTAGCCACCGCACACTAGGCACCACAGGCCTTGCGGCCACCTCCCGGCCGCTTAGGCACGCGCCCCTCCCACCGGCAGCGCCAACGAGCTGAGCTCGTACTCCTGGTCGTCATACTCCGACCCTTCCTCTTCCGCGCCCTCACCAGCGCCCGCGCCTTCAGCAGCAATTGCCTGCAGCTCCGCCTTCCAAGCCAGGAACTCCGCAAACTCTGCGGCGGAAACAATGCGCAGCCCCTCAGTGTCGACGGCCACCACCTTTGACACGGGCTGCCGCACCCTTCTCTCGACCACCGCCGGCGCCGCAAGTGCTGCCACAGGCCTACCACCTCCCCGGGCTCTGCTAGCCTCGGAAATCCTGGGCACTTGCTCACGCGCTATCTTCAGCCGCGCATTCATCGCTGTCACCCGCAGCGCCGCCTCATACGCCTCGTCTAGTGTATATGCCCCTCCAGCCTGAGCCGTCCCCGCCATCGCCTGCAAGTTCGTTTGCTCAGCTAGCCGCCTGTCAAGGCATGTCACAAACTTGGTCACCAACTCCTGGTCCCCAAGCGGCTGGCCCAAATCCAGAGCCAAGCCCTGCAGCCTGAACAGCAGCGACGGCAGGTCCTCGCCTGACTCCCGCCTGAACTGCACCCACTCATGAGCCTTCCCCTCCTTGTGGTCCTCAAAGTGCCGCCTCAGCGACGCTAAGAGCGCGCCCACCGGGTCTGACGTCCTGCAGTGGGCCTCGTACTCCCTCTCATGAGCAAGCCTGGCAGGGTTATCCAGAAACTCTCCCAAGAAGATGCAATACCGCCCTGCAAACTCTGCCCCCTCCAGCGGGTTGCCCACATCCTTCTGCAGCTTCTTGAACCTCTGCTCCAAGCTGCCCTTCACCATCAGCTCAAATTGCTTGATGGTGAGCCCCTCGCCCTTCTTCCCGGAGAAACCTCTGTCTCCCGTCATTCACCCCCGCTGGCGCCATCTCCCCTTCGTCCGCCCACCAGCTGGTCTCAAACTCCCACGCGCCTGCGCCCGCGTCCGCCTCTGCTTCTGCTGCCACAACACCCTCGGCACCCAGAGTTATTGCTGGCCCCTGCGAAACCGCTTGCACTACTGCCAGGTACCTTCTAGCCAGCTGAGCCCTAGTCTCAACTGGCATGGAAGCGCACCCGACCCTTGGCGCCTTGCTGCGCCCACTTCACCCGGCTTCCCCTCCGCAGCGTTACCAGAGCCGCCAGCTGCCGCACCGTCCCTGCAGGCTGCCAGAACCTTGCCCCTCGTTCTGCTCCGCCGTGAGCCTGGCGCCTTGCCACCAGACTCGCTGCCGCCGCTTCAGGCGCTACTCCTCAGCGCCAGCCAGCTCCACACCAGCTCCCGGCCTGCTCAGCGCTCTGACGCTTCTGCGCGCCCCCGCTCACACTATCTGGCCCCTGCCACAGTGTCCTGACAGGGCCTGTTCATAAACCTGGCGCCTTGCCTGCGCCCCGCTGTACCACCAGACTGTCTGCAGCGGCTCCTAGCGTTACCGCAGCCCTGAAGACCTGGTGCATACCAACACCGTCAAATCTCAACTACTTGCGCCTATGCACAGCGCCTGTTCGCCGCACACCTCGCGCACCGCTGCTCACAGCAGCTCACCGCAGCACCCAATGCACTGCCTCCCACAGTCCACTAACTGTGACAGGGGCTGCCTTGTGCAAACCCCTTCTCCCCTGCGCCTATGCTCAGCTAACTTTGCTGACCACCTCGCGCCCCGCTGCTCTCCGCTCAGCGGTCTCCCCAGCACTTGATGCTGCTCGCAGTCCGCAGACTGTAACAAGGGCTGCCTTGTGCAGGCCCTTTCACCACAGCGCTCGCAGCGCTACTCCTGGCACCTCAGTGCTATTCTCCTTCCAGGCCTGATTCATCAACTCATGCAACCGTGATTCTTTCTTCTGTGAATAATGACTGCGCCGCGTCCAGCGCGATCAAGGCACGTCAGAACGGTTCATGAGTGTGAATGAGACACGGAATTACAACCACGCCCTCATGGCATGGAGGGAAACTTCTTACTGGCCATCGTACAACTCTCAAGGGTTTACAATGAAGTCGCCCTTACAAAGCCTCAGATTGAACAGAAGAAAGAATGCCTAAGCTGCATTCTTCCTTCAAGTCACCAGTCACCTGAGCCTGCAGCACTACTCAACATCATCTACACAATACTGAGACAATAATTACACCAATTATTGTCTCCCCATCTAGTTGCGACACAAATCGGACGCGACACAATCGGGCGTGACACATGCTGAAATTATCTCAAAAAGGACTCAGAAGTTGGATTCTTGTAACCCGCGAATAGGTTTTGACAATCTGCTCAAATCTAATGGGCAAAGATGGTAAGCGGCTGATTGCGGCCACTGTGGAATGCAGCTTGCAAAAGTTTGTGTAGCCTCTGACAACCGATGGCTCAACCGATGCCCATGTAGGACAATTACAGTATGTCGCCATGGAGCGTGCAGTCCCACTTGGCTCGGAACAAGCATGCAAGAAAGACCTTCGGACCCATAAAGACCAATCGTGCAGAACCGGGCTGTATATAGTTTCGACTCAGTCGGCAGATATTCTTCAAACTTTTAACGGATGAACTGCCGCATCCATCCTCCTAAATGCTGTCCGTATCCTATCTGCCATCTGCTCGTCTTCGCACTCAAGCTCCTTGCTCTCGTAGTCGAACTTCGCTTGCACCCCGTCCATCTTGACCGTCAACACTTTCGCCTCCTCGTCTAGATCCACCGTCCCAAATAAGTCTCTCAACAACCTTCTTCTTAGCCTCAACTCGTCCCGTTCTGACACACTCCCCGTGCCAACTAGAGCGAGCCTCTTTTCGGACGCCCCAGCGTCCAGCTGGAGCACCAGCGCCACCACCGAGTCCGCGACCATGTCCGCAATCGGGTCGGACGCCCACTCCATCACAAGCAGCTCGTCCGACTCGTGCCTGACCGTCACCACCCCGTGCACACTTAGCGACTCGACCTCCGCCTTGTCAACTGTTACCACCCCCTCGTACAGCTGCTCTAACCGTTGCCGCAAGGAGAAGAAGGAGCCCCGGTAGGGGAGCGACTGCCGCTGCAAAACGCTCCCCGAGCTCAGCTGCGTATACGTGTGCAAGTCTGCCGGGTCCATCAACTGGTAAGTGAAGCCCTTTTTAACCAGGAGCCCGCCCACTTGGGTGCCCTCCCCCGGGGTCTCGGCCGCCAGACGGCCGACGGTCTTGGCGGTCTTCTCGCTTGTGAAGTGGAGCTCGACGGTTTGCGTGTTCTTGGGGGTCAGCACCTGGCAAGAAACGGGAGTTCGGAGCTTTTCTCGGAGCTACGCTTTGAGTTCACGAGGTGGTTGACACGATCTGCAAAGTTTGAGTAGCGCCCTCAGAGAAAATCCTGTGAAGCTAGGAAAGTCTCGCCCAGTTTGACACGTATGCGACCATTTGAGTCTGCGAAGAAAACGATTGGAGATGAAGATGAAGCTAGCGATTGCGCCGCTTCCAGAACGAGGAGGACCGTCGGTTTCTGCACGTCGCAAATCTAGCACGTCGTCTTTATGAGACCGCTCGGATGTTGCGAAGACAAGGGCGAGCGACACACCTCAACTGTTGGCAGCGTCGAAAGACACTGTTTTGGCAAAAGTCTTGGACAAAAGGATGCATTTGAGTACGAAGGCCTTCTGATCGAACCTTAGAAACAGGGGCAGCAATTATATGCCCCGGAAAGCGGTCAACATAACATGACGTTTGGGTTGAAAAAAAGGCCGAAATTGCGTCAACAGAAGCATCCTCGACCCAGAGCTTCGCAACCGGACATTAGCTGGATTGAGAAGCACCCGGCTGTTCAAATGGCGCCTGGTACGCTCCGTCAACAGCGGCTCAGTTTGCGAGCGGAAATCGAAGCCTCGTGGGCTCTCAACCAACGACTCGTCACGAAAGCGAAAAAATTCACGTGGATTCCTAGCAGCAGATAGCTCTCACGAAGCGCTTCTTATCCCTTTCCTCCTACGCACACACGACTTACCGACGCACCCCATCAATCTGCACACCTCACCTTGATGTCCGTCCCCGCAAACACGGTGTTGAGCTTGCTCTTGAGCCGCCCCATCTCGTTGGCCTCCCCGTGCACCAGAATGATGTTGGGCGGCCGCAGCTCCGTCAGGAAGTCGCTGGTCTGCGTGTAGTCCGCGTGCGCGGAGAAGGAGATGTAGTGCACGCTCATGCGGAGCGGGACGGGGAGGCCGCTTTGGAGGACCACCTCCTTGGGCTCCTTCAGGATCGTGCTCGCGAGCGTGCCCTCCACGCTGTACCCGGGCACGATGCACGCGTTGCGCTTGTCCTAGAAATAAGCGAAGATTAAATCTGGTGAAGAAAAGCTACATGTGTTGCGCAGGAGAATGTTGGGGATGTTGATGGATCGGACGTGTGCTCGCCAGCGTGCCCTTCAAGCTGTACCCGGGCACGATGCACGCGTTGCGCTTGTTGTAGGGAGAGTGACCATTGTGAGCAGGAAAGGGCCCCTTTCACAAGTATGATCAAAATCCAGGTGATCCAGCAGGAATATTAGTGAGGGTATTCTCCGCGCTGTTCCCGGATCGGCTACATGCGTTGCGCCTGTTGTGGGCGGGAAGGAGGAGCGGATAAAATGGACAAATCTGTAACGGAGTAGAGAGGAGACGAGTGATTTGGGGTTATGATCAATCGTCGCGTGGACTCAACTTTACTTCGATGCTTTATCCTTTTGCTGAGGGATAAGAGGACGACAAGTGAAGGTTCAGAAATTTTCTGTACGTGCTCCGCGAAGAAAGACCGCGTGCTCTGAACAAAGGGCTGCGCAAGCAGTTAAATATGAGGACCACGCGCACGCTCGTATCCTGTACTTAACCTTCTTGACAACGCCTTCCTGAGAGGCAACAGGAAGATGAAGTCCACAGTATCCGCAAACCGCCAGTGGTCCAAGAGACCCTCAATCACAGTAAACCTTAGATATAAACGGTGGGTTTCGAGATTCAAACTGTACAGCAGCTCTTGAACGGAGAAAGAAGTAGATTGACACGTGGCATGCTCACCTGGCACCACATGTCAAACAGCTGGCGCGACATGCCGCTCTGCAGCATCCCGGGGCTGGCCATCACAACCGACGGGCCCACGTCCTCGAACTCCCGGATACTCCGCAGATTCGATATGAACTTGAAATTGAACGGGTTGTCGATCTCGAACTGCCCCCGGATGCGATCATTCATCGAATTGATGTACGTCTGGTACACGAGCAGCGACTTCTGCGCGAGCGGCGACGCATAGTAAATGGGCACGTGCTGGATCTCGGGGTGCGCCGCCCAGTACTCCTCCATGATGAGCAGCAGCTCCTGCGCGCGCCCGAGCGCGAACGCGGGGATGAGCACGCGGCCGCCCTGCATGACCGTGCTCGCGATGATCTCCGTGAAGCTGCACGGAGAAATTAGAGTCGTCAGCATTGGGGGGATAGTTCGTAAATGGAGCTCTAAAGGAGTGGCTCGATTCCCCCTTCGAAGCGGCCATGAAGGACTCAACGGCAATGATTCCCGTTGGGTTGCCCACAACGAAAAGGCCCCACTGGTTCCGTTTGTAAGTGGATCGGGGAGCCCGACATATGCTCGAGTGTAACGCACCTTCGGACGTTACAGTAAGCTTACTGAATCAAAAACGAGAGGCACTACGTCGAACCGACTGAGCTGTTCAGATACAGCTAAATGACTAACGGTCGGTCTGCCGACGCTGAGCCCCCACTTGACGCATGCTTTCTGTCGTCCAGAACTCCTCGGAATCTGCAGACTTGAAACCTCAAATCTTGATTGCTCGACGGTTCAGTCGTCCGGCCCGCACTCACCGGCGCTCGGTTACCGCGCGCGGCTGGTAAATTTGCAGGCCGTATGTAAAAAATACCAGTTCTCTCGAAACTCCGTTTCATCTCAAATGTATGATGATCCAAACATCCAAACTCACCGGCGCTCCCGCACCGCGCGCGGCTGGTGTATCTGCACGCCGTACGTCGACTCGATGATGCAGACGTCCGGCGAGAAGGGCGGCATTTCCGCGGCGCGCAGGTGGCGGTCCTCCTCCCGGGAGTAGTCCCCGGTGTACAGCACGCGCACGCCCGCCACGTCGACCATGAACATGGCCGCGCCCAGCACGTGGCCTGCGGTGTACGCCCAGAAGCGGATGCCGTCGACTTCGACCGTCTGGTGGTAGTCGATGACCTGCGAGAAAGAAATAAAGAAAGTGTGGGGTCAAATAACATGTTCATGGTGCCTGTCAATGACCGTAGAAAGCAAAATATTAGATTGGTGTCATGGTGGTAGTTGATGACTTCGCCTGTGGGAAAAGGTGAAAAGCACTGGGTCGAAAAAAGTGTTATACTGGTAGTCGTGACCTTGGAAGAGGAAACAGAACGTGCTGGGTTGAACAGTGTGTCAGAGTAGAGTTTAAAGAAAAGGTTTGCGAGTGGGGCTCGGCTCGGCTTCTGCAGGGGAGGCATTGGCGTTTTTGCTGTTCTTTACGGAAGGGAGGAAAGGAACGAATCGTACGAAAAGCACGGCTGTCGTGCCTCGTTTTGCTTCAAGCCCAGTCATATCTCGAGCTTTGGACCAGCCCCTAGAAGCAAAGCTGGTGCTTCACTTTCTAAACGTAAGGAGATCCGTGGCTTTCCCCAGAGGCGCGAACGTCAGATACACTGTGCATTTCAACGTGCATCCGAGGTCGTCCGCGCCCCACTGATATCCGAAACCACCAAAACCGTTTGCGCACAATGACGAATGGGACAATGTCGGTTTCAAGAGTGAAAAAGTTACCGAACTGCGGGGTCTCCTGCAAACATCTCAAGCAATAGCATGACAACGAAACACGCGCTAAAATACAACAGAAGCACGCCCCATTCGACGCTGGTCCCGTTGCGCTCTCTCCGTCCTCATTGTTTGATGGCTTCTGAGCGAGAACGCTATGGTAGCAAACAAAGCGACACACACCGCAAAATAAGCATCAAAGATGTCCGCCCAAAGCGAGAAAGAAGAAAAGCAGAATACATCCCTATACCACTTCAATCCTAAGCATGGAGCTTTCTTGTGGGGTCCTACGTACTCCCCCCGTGTCGAAATTGAGAAGAGATAGACAAGATCAGAGATGTCTACCTCAATCTTGGCCATGGATCGCTCCAGGTCGTGCTCATCGTAGAGCATGTCCTCGACGGCCACCTTGCTGACGCGCACAAAGTCGAGCAGCAGCAGCTTGTAAATCGCCTTGGTCGCATGCGTCATGTACACCTTGCCCTTGAACGCAGTCTGGGACAAGATAGGCAAGAGGGCAGCAGTGTCAATGGGCTGGAAGAGAAACGCCGATGCTTAAACAAGTCCGCAGGTTCTCGTCCCAAACTTCGAATCCCTATTATGCTGCTCAGTCTTCGATACGGTCATGTGGACGTTGAACGGTTGCGCTTATGAGACCCGCCCGTTTTCTCTCGAATTCAGGAATAGCCATGCAAAGAAAAAGGAGCAAGACACGTCCTCTCTGGCCCCGTTTCCCAGCAGGCCTAACGTAGTAGGCTTCTTTGATGATCGCTATTCTGACAACGTCACTGCGTCAGCAGTAGATGCCGAGAAGTACACATAGGGCCCATGCAACAGGCCCTGATAAGTACTTTCAAGAACGATACGTTTTCAGCCTATCGAGGCACTTACCTTCTCTGTGACATACGGAAGCGACGCAGCATGGTCCAAATGAAAGCTGCAGAGGAGTAGTATAACTGGTTGAGTCAGGGGGCAACTGAAAGGCGGAGGGCCAAGAAGTTGGTTAACAGAAAGTCAGAAAGTCCTACTTGCAGCACATACTTTGTACAGCCTCTCTGACTCATCGAAGCGACTTGCCAATAACCCATATGCCAAGCATCTGTACCACACTCCTCTTCTGTAAAGCTCGTTCTCAGATCGACTGAAATGAGACAATGACGTCGATCACTACAAGCTTGTCTTATCCAACCAACAATCTCAGCCCAAATCATGCTCGTTGCTCTGTTTCTTTTGGAAACCTCTTGGAGACTCTAACACTCACTGCGTAACAAGCAGGATGTCCACGGTGCTGAGGTCGATCTCATCGAAGAAGGGCAGGGCCGCCAGGCCCGAGTAGGCGGGGTGGATTCCGCAATCAAACTGCAGGGCAAAAGGACAGGGTGGTCCATGTGAGCAAGAGGACCGCAGGAAGCAGAAAAGATACAGATGCCTGGCTCCAATTGAGGGTAATAAGCATGGTTCGACTTTGCTGTTTACCATTCTGGCCTGTTTAGCCATGTTTTTCAGACTGATTGGAACCGGCGGAGATGTGCAACTGTGCCTTTACTGTGCATAAGCAGGGTCCCAACAGCCTTGTCCTCAAGGTTGATGAGAGGTCAAAGATTCAATGCCGTCCGCGAGCGAGCCTCTCGTGGCACTCCTTTGGAAGCCTCACTGATGTCACTGACAAAGAGAAGCCCCGCCGGGGGTGATACTGCAGCGCCTCCACCCCTTGGAAAGGATCGCCTTCGCACTACCACAACTCTGTCTTCCATTCATTCTGCCCATAAATGTATCGGCGGGGGGCCTGGAATGTGTCAAACTGTCCCTGTATCCCACTCCCTGTTTATCCACACAAAGATCAACACACGGCAGCTTGAGCAAGAAACCTAAGAACCCCGCGCTCCACGAGACGAACAAAACGCCACCACGAAGGTGGCGGAAAAAAAGAGTCAATTCTCAAGATTCTACGATTCAATTCTGAAGATTCTACGACCAGAGAAGACCCTCAAGCAACACAAGAAAAGAAAGAGAACGGTCGATGACGAGTTTTCCGCAGCTCAATTCTTCTCAGCTTCTTTTTCCACAGCTCAGTCACTCTCCGGAATCCTCACCAGGATGTTCTTCCCCTTGAACGTCATGAACACGCTCGAGCGCCCAACCTCATTGCCGGCGCCCAGGGGCGTAATCTCCAGCTTGTCGCCCCGGACGTCCGTGGAGACCGTCTCTTTCCGCTTCGCCATGGTGAAGGGACAATAATTCCTTTGTGTGACTGATCAAGTTGGCTACAACACCAAAATCTTCCTCGCCGGCAGGCACACACCGAGGATTTCAGAAAAGGGACCCAGGATGCTGCAGAAGTCGAATCAAAGCGACTTGTGAGTTGCACTAGCAAAATTGGCCGCCAGAGCTTGAACTTGAAGACTATGTCACTTATATACTCTCCAGCGCCACGCTTCTGCTCAGATCTGACACTGTGTGGCAAGCACTGCCACTGGCAGTCTGATTTGGCTTCAAATCCTGCAGGAATTGGCATGAAACTGCCAGATCAGCTCTGTACGAACACGAGGTAGTTGATGCCGGTTGATACCGGTCCTTGCAACGGGGCGAGGTAGACTGTCACGTTGAGAAAAAAGGCCGCAGCATGGTGCCCTTCACGTTGGGATGACGGTTCTTGTACAGGGTGCTCAAAGGTATCTTCATTTATCCCCATTTGCCCCTGAATTTGACATGCACTTTTTGCTTGGTCGCAATTTGCAGCTTGCAAGCTGGTGCAATTGCTTCTTGCAAAGATGGCGCTTGCTCAGGCCCAGGGAAAGGGAACAGTATCTCTACTTTAAGTTGAGGGCAGCGGGACGCAAGACAGGCAGGTCCAGGGGCAATGTTTGTTGCGCAGTTGCAAATTGCCTCTCTACAACATATGCACGTTGACTACGCTGTCTTGGAACCCCACTTGATTGGGCAACATGTCTGACACAGACGCAAGGTAAGTTCAGGCAACAGATACTTCCTTTCGGCCTTCTCTTGCTTGCATCTCCTTCGGTTGTTGGCTCGTAGACTCTTTTGTTGCAACAGGAATTTCCACAGGTTGCTTAAAGTGCTGCAGATTGTTCCCCTTTGAGCTACTCCGGATCCATGCTCTTCCTATTCTTGCTTGAAGTCGCTCACTGACTGTCATTGCCCCCTGTCAACCTTTGCTTGAGATGTTAGCCAGTTGGAAAAGCACCCTATAACTCCTTAGTATAGCAGCATCTCATCCTTTGAAACAGGGTCACCACCTGGTCTTCTTAGAGAAAGACATATATCATAGTTTCCATCTTCGTTTTGGGTCCTTGCAGAACGCCAGGTGTGCCCATAAAGCCGCCTGATGCAGCTTACCGGTTGGAAGCCTGGCTGGAAAGAGCTGACGGTATGTCCCGCTGCTCAGTAGAATCTCTTTCCCAAGCTGCTCCAGTAAAACGCTTGAAAGTGATGTACTCTTGTTGCCTCAAGTGGTGCGCCTGTGCAGGACACTAGCTTGCTGATGTCAAGTGCATCAGGGAAGCGAGGAGCGTCTTGTGTATAAGATTGGTTCAATGAAGAAAGTCAGGAACACCAGATGAATCACTTTTCTTGAGAGGCACCCAGTTATGCCCCCGGAGTCCATTGCACAAGGCCCCTCGTTTTGCCCCTTCAGGTCTTTGCCCTACTCAGAAGGTCAGTAATCCGGCCACCTGCTTGTGGTAAAGTGCAGTATGCTGAAAAGAATGTGCAAGCCGAGAGCAATAATTTTTAATTGTGCGAAGTGGGTTTTGTATACTCGTTTCTTTCTAATATGCTGCAGAACCCCGCCTGGAGTTGGTGGGGCCTGGAGAGTACAATGAGCTTCTCCAAGCCGCGAGCCGGAATTGGGCCGCATTAGAAAAGGGCATTAAAGAGGCGCAGCAGGGGTCTGACAATCTGCTTCGAGTAAGGCCGTCTGAAGGTGTTTGTCAGGAGTAAAGCGGGCTATGCTCGTTGGATTGTCATGGTTGAGGAGTTTTGTGATTAGTGATTGTCAAGCTCCTCTTCTTCTTTGCATGCTACTCTTCTTGGGGTGAATTGTTCGCAGACCCAAATAACATTCAAAGCCGCAGACTCGGTTTCGTCAACACAGGCTGCATCTCTCTAACTCTTTTCTACAGTCCGTGATCGAACTTTTCCAGATTTTCCTCCCTGTTCATGTGTCTTTCTGCGCACGTTGTAGCCCCTTCTTGCCCCTTCTTTTTGTATCTTTTATGGCACCCCCACTCTTCGCCCCACTCTATGATCATCCCTTCCCTTACAAGCATCAGCGCCTTTGGAACTCTCAGGACGAACAGACGCTCCAGGCGCTGGCGCGAGACCGCTACTTCCTCACCTTGACTGAGGCAAACGTGGAGACCCTACTGGCTCTACTGCACAGACTGACAGCTGGCGGTGCTTGTGGGGATAGCGGTTCAAACGCAGTTGTGTCTGGTGCTCGGATTCTCGCCGCTTGGGTGCGGCGGGTGTCGGTGCAAGGTGAGGGATTTGCACAAGCGTGCTGGGATGCCCTTCAACAGCACGAATCATTCCTACGTTCACTCTCTGCATTGTGTGTGTACTTGTTTGCACTGCATCCCTTCAACTCTTGTTGTGACTTCCTTCTCTTGTCCTGTTTCTTTGGGCACTGACTTTAAACGATTGTCCTTCAACGGTCCCAGCCCCTGGCAGCGGTCTACTCTTTCTCGACTGGTCTGTCTCCAATTCGTTTGCCAAAGGCTGCTATCTTGACTCAAGGACGCCCAGAGTTGCTCGCATCAGAGGTGTGGGGGCGATTCTAGCTTCTCGACGAGCCGCCATTGAAAATCGTCCCCATTCGCTGCAGCCGCACCGACGTGGGCGTCCAGAAGAGTCCCGGCCATCATTGATACTGCCTGCGACGCTCTCACCTCTAGTTCTTTAGGGGGCGCATCTGGGAGTCTGATCTATCTCTTGGGCGCTGGAGCCGCAGGTAAGCACGCGTAACAAATAACTCTTTTTGGATACGTGGGCCGTTGATCATTGAGCTGAGGAAGATTAATATTCGAAACCAAAAGAGATGGTCAGATTAGTGCAGAAGACGGCGCCAAGTTTGGCCTGGCTGTCGCTACTCGCATGCGTGGTTTAGTAGCAGTCTGTTGTTTTGGGTCGATCGAGAGAGTCCTGTCAGCAGCTGAGCTCAAATCAATCGTATCGCACTTCTACCCAAGCTCGTTGGAGTAAGTGCTCTGCATTTTTAGAATCTCATGTTGTGTTTAAACAAGTGTCGAACAGCGAAAGTTTGTCCCTACTTCCGAAGATAGTGACTTGATTCTCGCTCCGGTTACTTTGGTGGGCAGCCCCTCAATGCTCGCCAACTGGACACTCTCGATGTCGGGAAGTGGTGACACAGGCGCTGCATCAGCGGAGGTCTGCAGTGAGGTAAGCCTCTGCTGAGCTCCTGCGCCCGCCCACTTATCTGTAGTCGTTTCGTGCAACACATTTTGCACTTCCCTTTCGAAGCTGCCCAGAGTTGCCATTACCACGAAGTGCTCGACCCCGCCCTGCGTTCGGGTCCAGTGCAGTCAACTGCTTGTGCGATTCGCTGCAATCACATGGCATGGCCACCTCCGTCGAATTTGGCCCTTATACGTCCGGAGGACCGCAGATGGCCCCTCCCCCTTCCTTAGATGATACGAAATATGAGCCGGAGGAATGCTCGCTCGTTCATTCATCCGTGCTCCGAAGCACAAACTCGAACCAGGGTTTTGAAGGAAGGCTTTCCGTCCAACAGCTGTTGTTCAACTGTCTTCTAGCTTCTATATTAGAAATTTGAAGCTTGGTATACGAGCTCTTACCCCCTCCTCTCCTTTTTCCCAGTGGGCCCACTCAATTCCCCGACGCTCTCGTCGGCGCCGCATACCTCATCACCGGCGGCTCTGGCGTCCACGGGGCGCATCTGACCGCCCTCCTCACCAGCCTCCTCCACCTTTGGGCCCCACCAACCGGTTCCTTTTTCTCGGTCACTTCCATCGCTCGCCCCTCCCCCCACTCCCCGCACCAAAAGGCTGACCCCCCGAGCAGCAGTTCTGGCTCCCACGAGCTCCTTCCGCTCAGTCCGCCGGAATCCGCCGGAGCCCCCCTCATCCAGGCGCTTGCGCTCTCCCGACTGCTAGAGTACCTCGCGCTGCTAAGTGCGCGCGCGCTCTCCCAGGACTTCGGCACGCGCTCCCTGGCGCTCGCAGACGCAAAAGCGGTCCAAATCAGCCTCAGTCTATCGGGGGATCCCTCGGTAAGCGTATTGGCGCTCGCCGGCTTCAACCGGGGGTTGGGCGGCCGTCGGGGGGACGGCTTTCGCGGCGCGGCCGAGGACTGGGTCCGGTTGGTCGAGCAACAGGAAGGGCTACTCATTTCAGCAGCTGAGGCGGTACTTGCAGAAGTAGGCAGAACCTCAAAAGTTGGCGCTCTCGGTCAGGCTTACGTGCACAAGGGACTCGCGCACCGGGTCCAGTGCGCGGCGCTCGCATGCTCGCGTCTGGACTCCATACCCGGGACGCCCCTTGGAGGAAACGCCTCGATCTTGCTTTGCCTCAGCTCGGCCCTGTTCAGAGACCTCTTGAGCCTCGGCCGGCTGCATTCGGCCGCAGCTCCGTTCATTTTGTCGGATCGGAATCCAAACGGAAGGCCGGCAGGTTCCGGACGGAACTCCGGCCTTCAGTTGCACGAGGAGTTGAATCGGGCGTTTGCGGAGGTGAGAGAACGGGTGGAAGGGGACGCGTTCAAGAACGTGGGTTTGCTCGCGAGGGCTCTCTGCGACCACTGCAAAGCAGCAGACGATGCGGGGCGGCGACTGGTTCTGGGGGAGGTGGTGCGTTTTGCACTTGGCCTTGAAAAAGGGCACCGAAACGCTGCGTTGAGTACGGAGGCAAATGGGGCTGCGGAGAGGGAAGCCGCCGAGGCCGCCACGAGAAAGGTCCTCGACGCCTGCTTCCTGACGGTGACCGTCTGCTGTGAAGCGGTCCTGGGAGAGGCGCCTGGTTCCGTTCCGCCCGGGTCCGTTCCGGCCGTGCGGCCGGCGGAAGCGGATCCGAAGGTGGTCTGCGAGATACTGGAGGCCCTGTCCTGCGTGGAGTTTTGCCGGGTGCCGTACGCGGGGTATGGCCAGCTGGTGACTCGGGCAGTCACGCTGGCCGCTAAGAGCAGAAACGGGGCAGAAGGGTTGGCGGCAAACATGCCGAAGTACGAGGACACAGTCGCTCTCGCACTGGTCCAGTCGCCAATCCTTTCTGGAGGCGAGTCGAGGGGTTTGCGGGGATCAGAGCCTGGCTACTCCGGAGCAGTAGCAACGGACAGAGAGGGTCGTGGTCTTGGCCAGGCAGACATTGTTGAGGGAAACGACTCGAGGGGAGAGATGGTGGAAAGCACACCCAGCACGTCCGGCCGGGGGGCCGCAACCGGTCACCACGTTAACCCGACAGGACTCCTTTCCCCCGAGGGCCAGTCTCCTACCTTTTGGGCACGTGACGCGGTTCGTGCCGCCCGCGTCCACTTCATGCTGCGCGTCTTGGGGCCGTGCGTCGAGAAGATCGGGGACGAGCCGTTTGCGCATGCGGTCCTGCCGATGCTCCTGCTGTATCTGCTTCACCCCTCGGCGCCAGTCTCGCGCTCCGCCCACGCGCTCTTTGCTGCCTTTCTGGACAGCCGGGAGGCGTTCCGCCGAGAGTTCGAAGCGGAACGGAACGGCGGAACGGCACGGACCGGCGGAACGGAATGGAGCTCCCCAGACCTCGACTCCGCGTGGCAGCCCCCTCCAAAGACCAGCATCTTGCAGCGGCTGAATCTTCTGTCCCCTCAACACAACGCAAAGAGCGACCCCCCCAGGGATGTATCCGTTGCGGAACGGGCGGCGCTGTTCTACGTGCAGCGGTCGCTGGGGGGGTTCCCGGGGCTGACGTCATTCGAGGCGTTCACGGCGGGGGTGGCGGCAGTAGTGCGCCACGTGCCCCCCGGGAGCCCGGCGATCGTGCTGTCGTTGCGGCGGATCGCGGCGGCTGCCAAGGATCTGTTCGCGCGGGGGGTGCCGTACGTGCCGCCGGAGGGGGAGGCAAACGGAGAAAAAGGAAAGGCGCCGCAAGAAGGGAGTCGGGGGGGGCAGCTGACGCGGCTACTGGTGCACCTGATCCCCATTGTAGATATCCAGGTGGGAATACGGTCCGCTGTGAAGTCCGACGGTAAAGTTGTTTGCTAGCGGTTCAAGGATAGAATCTTAATTACGCTTTGCCGCTGCTTCATTGGGGGCCGCGTCTGCTCCACGAGAGAAGTGCCGACGTGGATTTTCCGGGATCTGTGCAACCTGACGTATTGATGTTGTTTGAATCTGCTTTTGGCAGCCTGCAACCGGCATTTCTGGCAGGTTTTTGAGTGGAGTGGATCATGAGATTCCCAATGTAATAGTGGTCTGCAGTGCAGAGCTCAGCCTTTTCGTCGAATGCCGACTCTGTCATACTAGGTGCCACTTCCAGATTCAGCGTACGGGGATTTACGCAAGCTCCTATTCTACATTTTTGGCGCCCAGCTCGAGTCACCTTCGTCCTTACGCTCTCCCCGCTTATCGTAAAAGACAGCCACGTCCACGTTTTTTCCTGAACTTGCCGAAGTGACTGGTAGCTAGATTCTGACACCTACTTCTCGCCCTCGCCCCGCAGGTCCTGACCGGTCTGCTCCACGAGACGGAGGCCGTGGTGCTCTTCATCTCCGACCAGTCCGCCCAGCAAGCCGCGCTCGCGGAGCTGTACGAAGTCCTCGCCGCGAACGAGGACTACACGCGCAAGGCGCACTGCACCGTATGGTACCAGCAGCTCGCGGCGAAGTGCGTCGCGCAGTTTCGGGCGAGAGTGAGAGAGGGGAAGGCGGGGGTGGCGAGGATAAAGTCGAAGGACGGGGCGGGGGGGCGGTCTTGGCCCCGGACGTGGGGGCTCTCAAGACCGAGGCAGAGCGTAGGGGACGAAGACGCGATTTCATAACGCTGTTGTCCGGTTTAGAAGTCCTCCGTTCTATTCCATCATGATTCACTCTCGTCCAGTCTACCACGTCTCTCCAACATGATCTGCTTTCATCCAGTTTATGAAAATGTGATGCTACCTACCGGTATTCGACGACAGCAAACTTTTTTCAGTGTGTTGCACTCGAAGGTCGGTCACATGGTCAAGGAGCCAGGTAGCTCTTGAAACGTGACGGATTTACAGTAGCGGATGGCATGGCAGTTCATTCGCGCAAACTTCTGCCATCTGATAAACACGGTCCAAACCGAGACGATCCTCCTTGCGCCTCATGCAAAACGCATGCAGAGCTGCCTAGCTATGCTATCTAATTTGGAAGTCGATCAAAATTGGTCGAAGTAGCGCTGTTCAGCGGGTACGGTAAGTTTCGAAATATCCTCCGCGCGCTCGATTCCATGGTCAGCTGTTACCATGAATTCAGGGCCGGTTTGAATGGTTAATGCATGAAAGAGAACAAGGAGTGATCTGCGCAGCGGCGCCCACTGCATGCCAGCGGCTAAACGCTTCCCAATAAAGAGATGACGTCCCAACTGAGGCATTCGGTCTGAAATCGACTTGTCCGGTAACAAAATTGTGCCATGTGACAGCTATCAATGCATGCGCAAGCATCCATGCTGCGCTTCATGAGGGATCGTTAAGTGCCATTATATAGAACCGCACGCGAAAATACAGGCTTGCATCACATTGCAATGCGTACTACACATGCAGCGGACTCGGCCTCGACCACGTCCTTAGGAACATAATGCAGATAAGAAGATCGATCCGACAAGAAGCTGCACTCGGTGGTAAGAACCTTTTTGCCTACGTAAGCACAGACCAACGATTCTAGTGGGATATCCGTATAGCTCGAGGCTCGGGCAGCGCTGCATGCTATATGGGCCACCAATGAAAGGACGGATGAAGCAGGGGATCGATGAGCAAAACACCAAGCGCCTCGTCGCCGAGTGCCAGAGCACTTCAGAAAACTTACGCGAGCCGGCACGAGTGGGGAGTTTGGTCGGTGCCAAGAAAAGGTGGTAAGCCATGTCGCAGGTTTTCTGCTTTAGTACGTGTTAGGTTGAAGACTTCCTGTTCAACTAAACATCGAAGGTCACAGTCAGAGGAAGAGAATACCTCTGATCAGCGATGAGCAGAAACAAGCACAATCCAGACACCCGGCATCGGAACGTTACAAGCCCAGTCTAGATACTCGTTTCTTTGTGAATGTCTTTCGACCGTTAACGGCAGATAAGAGCTCATGTGGAATGTAGGTGGGACGTTGACGCTGACTCGCAATCTTGCATTCAGTGGCAAAAATCCTTGTGCCCTGTTCTCCAGGCGAGCTTCTGACAGGCTGCACCCAGGAAAGACAAACGACTCAGCTTCGAAGGGTTTTTGTCCCGATTGCCCTTTCTTCAGTGCTCAGAAAGCCTGCCAAGAGTTGAAAGTACATCCTGAGATGAAGGAATGGCAACAATTTCTGCCGATGCCTCGAACGTATGTTTTTCGAGTTGACGGGTTTGCACTGGTGCGTTCTTTGTAATATTTGACGATTCCTCAGGCCAAGCAAGCGCATTGCCTTTCAGACATATATAGCGGGCCAACCAGGCAGAAAGCATGTCCCGCATCGCTATTTGATACGAAGATTCAAAAAGCTTTCGTGATACACACCTTTACTGCAGTACACAGCAAGTCTGCACCGCCCACAGATTTGGAATGTGCCACCCATAGATTCGACGTTGCCGCAACTAGAGTGCGAGCACTTTCTGCGCTCCAGCCGGGGTTTGACAGGCACACTCGCGGCCCCCACGGCCCCAACTTCCGCTGGTTCCGTTTCCGCTGTCCGCTGCTTCGATCGTGGCTTCTCGACATAGAAGGTCTGGCAGGTCTCCTCCGATGGTGCTGAGAACATTTTGCCGAGCTGGACCGCTCTTCTCACCGCTTTCTCATCAGCTCGGAAACGCTCATCCAGGTAGGACTCTGCCCCTTTGCTGGACAGGTCTTGAAGCTCCTCTCTCCAGAACTGGCGCACAGCATGATTGACAACACAGTCCCAAGTCTCTGCTCCCATCCTGTCTCCTGCAGATCGCATGGCGAGCAAAGAGGAGCCGATAGAAGGGTACTGCGAAAGAATGTTGTCTTCCAGATCTGCTTTCATCGTGGCACAGAGAAGCCTCCTTGCTAGATCGACCTGCTCCCAACTCTTGACATTCGCCAAAACGTGCCCGATGACCTCGTAGAGATCGCCTTTCAGTGCCCACAGATCAGCTTTCTCACTAGCAGCGGCGCTACATACGAGCGCAAGGCACGCAAAATGTGTCTCCGCGTATATCCTCGCAGTCCCATTCTGAAGGCAGGCCGCATATTTGAGGATGCCCCGCAACAGACCAGTTTCTTCTGCAACTCTTTTCTCGCAGTTGCGAGACCTTGGCATCAAGTGGTTGAGCAGCTGCACGACTTCTCCCCTTGCATGTATCTGGAACTTGTATGCTTGATGGCGGTTTATTCTTCCCAGGTGTGGCTCTGCTACGAAAATGGCTCCCAAAACCTCCATCAAGTCAGGGAATTCCTTGAGTATGAAAGCCACGCATCGGGTATCAATAGTTAGGGAGATCAAGCAATGAAGGAGCACCACAGGTTTGTTAGCCTTGACTTTTGACTTCAACTTCGATTTCAGATCGATCTTCCTCTGCGCCACACGAAACGTCCAGTCTCCTGACTGAGCTTCCCTCATGTCACAAGCAATTGCCCTGACAATTCCTCTCTCTAGCGAGAAGACCGCTAGGTCCAGGACAATCCGATCTTCTCCTTGGCTTCGAAGGTGCTGAAAACACTGCTCCAACTGAGCGACTGCGATCAGTCTCTTCTCTGGATGTCCAGAGTGTGCAGATTTGAGAATCTCAAGCACAAACGAGCAAGTCTCTGGTTCCTCCAAACCTACGCTTTGCAGGATTCTCGATCGGATCTCGTCATCTGCATGATGAGCAAGACGTCTATTCTCAAGCAGACCAGCAGGTTCCGACGCCATTCTCGCTTCAGGCCTTGAAGAAAAGGCTCTCTGGTGCTCCTTGGAATTAAAGGTCTCTCAAGAATTTCAGCCGCGAGTTTCTAAGATACCAGCGCCTCCTCCCCATGCACACAGGAGACATCAAGACTTGATGATGGGGTGTCTCCTTTGTCGCAAGGTTCCTGCAAGTGCAGTTCCGCTCAGCTTTTATGCGCATAAATGGTACAGCAGCAGGAGGCATGCATGCCCGCACGGCTGCCAGACCATGACCCGCGATTTTGCATCATCACCTCATATTCAGACGGATGTCGAGCTTACGCGCGACAGGAGCGGTGAAAGCCGCCCTGTTGACATCACTGCTTTCGACGTTTGATGTTCGATACCGGGGGCCCTGCCATTTTGCCCCAGATAAGATCTCAGCATGTGCAAGATCTGAATTACACGGCATGAGAATGTGGCTACGCACAAGGCCTCACTGGGCATCTTCGGAAGTAATGCATCCCTGAGTTCAAGACGTGTATCACAAAACCCACGTCTTCGAGAAGAGTTTGACATCCGCTGCGGTAGATCACTTAAGATTAGGGTAAGGTACCTTCTATATGCTGGCGCCGCCAGGTTTGCCCCTCACCGACCAAACGGCGATTGACACCAGAGTGAGCTAGGACTTTTGAGAGCAAACCATACTGGTCGAACTCGATGCCGCCTTGTATTGCAGTCGGACACTGGAAGTTGCAACGGCACCTGTACCTTCAGGTCATTATGCAGATGCATATACGACCAAGTATGCTTGTATACCAAGTCTGTGCTGGCAATGAATATCTAGACAGTTGCAATGTCATAGACGAATAATTTGTTTAAAAAATCGTTCTTCTACACCACACACAGTAGCTGACAATGATGTCATACTGGCCAAAGAGTTTGCAGCATGGTACGCGCAAGCCTTATGTAATACAAGGGACACCTTTATCCGCTGCCAGGATCCCGATTCGGAGCCCTTGAGCATCCATGTAGGGACCTTCAAAAGCTCAGGGAGGGCGGCAGCCTGCGCGCTTACGGCAGAGTTCAGCTAGAGCGGTGAACCTCGAAGCCTCAGCTATGCTTGATTCACCCTAAGGGTCCGTCGAGAGCGATTGGCAGATGAACCAGGGCTGGCTGCAGCCACGTGTTGCAACCGAAGCAGAGACGCTAATTCATCGTAAGCACTCAAGAATGTTCGTAAGAGCGTCATACTGGCGTCATAAATCTTATTCACCTTCCTGCACATCTGACGAGGCTGTGCCGGCAGTCGGCTCAACGAGTCCCTTTCGATCTGAACCACCCAAGAATTCTGAGACAATGTCTCCCACTTCCTAGATCTCATTGTGGCCAAGCAAGCTCGCAGCAGACTGGAATATGGTCCGACGGATGTCTCCTGGACGGCAACGCTGACGGTCCTATCATTTCGCTCGTGGGCAGCCTTCTTCTTCTGACCAGGTCCAGACCGCGATACCAGATGTAGTCGATGGTATCCTTCTTTTCGCCCCCGGGTCTGCAAACCAAAAGAATGCCTGTCAAGTATGTCTTCTGATGGGGACCACTTGCAGAAAGATGTCGAAGATCTTCTACGCATTCAAACGACGGAGCAGTCCAGGCTGCTCGAACTCCAGTCCCTTCGCTTCCTTCGTTTCAGTTGGGCGCCCCGTCCAAAGCTTCCGCGACCCGCGGTTGCCATCACCAGAGTCGACACCGTTTGATGCTGAGCCCGCAAATCTTATATTGATGCTCATGAAGCCTCGGTCAACTTTCAAAAGTGTCCGTTAGTCTTCTTTCACAGTGACCCTTGAATCACCCTTCGCCGAAATGGTCGTGCAGAACTGCCTCCCCAACACGTAACAATCGGCGCTTTCCATCTCAACTATCTGACCCCTGACACACCCGCGCCACAACCCAAGACGGCCGCTCACCTAAACTTCCAGGTCGTGAAGGCACGACCTTCCGGCGCGCCTGCTCTTCCGTTTCCGCTGTCGTTCCCAGCGGAAGACTCTGCGTCCACCCAAAGCTCGCTGGTAGAGGCAACGGGCTGAGCGAAAGCGTCCGCAAGTCCCAAGGAGTGCGTCCGCAGGGCCGCGCAGACGTCCGAATCCGGGCTGCAATTGAAGTCGCCGCAGAGGACGACGGGGACGGTGGAATCCGCTAGAGCGGCTATCCTCTGCAATCGAGACACGCCACGAAACGTTTTAAGATAGTACCTATACTTGAAAAGCTCCCCTTTCTTTGGGAAGGGGCGTGAGTTTCCATATTGAGGGACGAGCAAGAAGCGGAGAGGCGCAACGCAGCGTTGGATACAAATTCACATCAGAAGGACCCAAAGATTGAAGCCAGGCAGGCGAAGGATCGATCGATAAATGACTTGCCGAGCCTTAGGTTCAGACGTAGTTCCGTTGATTTGGCCCCGCATCCAGCCATGCGTTTCAGTCCCGATAAGCGCCTAGATGCGACCCACCTTCAACAGCTGCTTGATCTGGATGGCCCTCGTCGCGTCATTATCTGCGCCCGTTTTCGCCTGCTCACATGAAACCGATCATAGGCTTAGCCAGGCAGAAACATGAGTTGTGCTTCGATGCTTCGTACGAATGCTGGCAGACTCAACAGCTTGGACGGCCTTTCATAGGAACGGGTTACCAAAGCGGCAGTTCCTAAGCAAAACCTGAAGGGTATACGAGCGGCCCGGCGGTTCGGAAAAAAACGTGCTAACACCATATTCCTGCTACTGCTGCCAACGATCAAGCAGCCCAGAAGCCTGGTCGAGCGATCGTTTATCGTCGAACTTCGTGCACCACCTTCACCGTTTCCATCTTAGTGCTTCGCCGATGTCGAATCTTGTGCAGTGCCAATAAAGTCCACCTTTGAGAGGATTGGTAAATGCTGAGCGGCTTGCCTTGAGGTGAGTGGTCGCCAAAAGCATCTGGTCGCCCGTTTGGAGGTCCCGAAGTCGGCAGAGGAGAGCGCACTGCAGGGGCGACCAATGCTACTCAGTCGACGTGAGACCCGCCAGTCCGCCAAACCTTCAGATTCCTGATTGCACGAGCACTCGAAGCCGCGAAGCTCGCATTTGAAGGCAACTCAAGTGGACTGCGGCAAATGATATCCGGAAAAAGACTAGACACCCTAAGCTTGAGCCCGCACATCTTCCTCGTTGATCGGGAGTGGAGGACGCGCTCACCTGACTCATGTTATCGCCGTTTGGATCGACGAACTGGAGCGTTTCGTAGCCTGCAGAACGCCGCTGAGAGACTTCATAGGCTTAATGCAGTGGCTTAAATGCAAGGACACCGCCAAGACGAGCTTCGATCAAAGACTCCGTTCTGAAACTATGAAAGGTCAAAATTGAAGCAGGATACCGAAGTTCCAATCCCCTTTCTACACGGCCGAATGTAGTGGAATAAGGTATGGGGGACGGATAGAATTGGCCTAAGAGTCAAAGTGACAACAAAGGCGGATTGCGTGATGACCTGATTGGACTGTGCCTGGGGTCCCCCATATCGTATGAACTAGCTTTTAACGACTGAAAACGGCCGCAATGAGAGGGTTATATCAAAAGCATCAATCCCCCTTACCACGCATCTCGAATCGAGAGGCCTTGTAGAAAAGCGCAACGCCATCCGCAGCATAACCGAAGCGCTGCAAAAGGCGGGAGAAACCGTCACGAATTCCGTTCTGCTTAAAACGAGAACCAATCACAAAAAGCAGCTGAATCCAAGCAGATTCCGCACCAAAACTTCAAGCAATTCGTTAAATTTGTTATTAGCATCTACTCCTTCTGACTGTACTTCTTGACTGCATCAGACTGTCCTGCAATGAAGCCAAGAATACGGCCGTAGGGAACAGAAGGTTCTGGAAAGAGTGGCCTCGTTAGGTGCTTACAGCAGACGGGGAGAGGATCTTCGGCTGAAACCGTCCAGAGTACCCGAGCTTCTCCAGCCCTGGAAGGAAGCAGTCATCTGCACAGTTCCAAGCTCGTCGGTTAGCCCAATGGACAGGGGGATCCCCCTGCATGGGCCTACGCGATAGGAAGTTAGGGATGGGATATCAACAACACCAGAGCAGCCCGAGTTCCTACGTTTCTAACCAAGTGTAGCCATCAGCTCCCACTTAAGGAGCGGCTGAGACCTGCAGTAGTTCCGAAGCTTTTCTCTTTGGCTTTGTTTGTTCGACTTGTGTACATTTTGCGAGCATGGGTGAGGGCCGCAAGAGCGGCTCTGTAGAAGGCGTGGTGCTTGGGCTGCTTCAAATTGGCAGAGCGCTCAGCAGCAGAGTCTGGGGCTTCCTTACCAAAGTGGTTCACTTCCTGTAAGCAGATGACGTCAGCTCCTGACTCCTCAAGCTCGCGCAGGAGAACCGGAGCTCGGCTTTCCCAGTCCAGAAGTTTGCTGGGGACCTGCAAAAGGACTCTCTGATCTTACTACAAAATACATTCGAGACACCCCCATATAAAAGGCGACACCTCTGCCCACCTCGGGCCTGGCCGTTCCGAGACCAGAGTTGATCAGCTGTACAGTATGTGTGGTGCGCTACAGAGTGGCTACTTTCAAGGGTTTCTTCAGTAGTACTAGCGCACATAGTTGGAGATGTCTGTATCTCATTGAATTGTTATCCCAAGTCTTGCCCAGTGATGCCAAGGAGAGAGCTTTGAAAACAGAAACGAGTTGGCATGATGATTCCGCAGGGATCAAAGACTCAACGCAACTGACCTTGACAAAGTCCCCATGTTGGGCGAGCCCGTCCGCCAGTGTGTTCCATGTGAGAATTCGCACTCGTGAAGTGAGCGCTGGTATATCCCTCCGACATTCGTCCCAGCTATACTTAAACGTTTCTTCCTTAACTTCTCCTTCATTTTGGAATAGGGAATCAGGCATCCCCGGACTGTGACTCTGAGCAACCAGGTTTAAACGCTGAGCTGGCACCACTCCGTCTACTAAGTGTGCGCATACTTTCTTCTCAGCAGCATTGAGCGCCTGGTCCAGTTCTGGCTGTTTGTCCATATCAGAGGGGACACTGGCAGCCATGCAGCTTCTAAGATGAATGCCAGGGGCCCTGACTGATCTGCTGCGGAGTGTCTTACTAAAACAAAGGGCAGAGCTCAATGCTTGATTCCGCATATGTTTCAAGGCACTTGGTGGCAAGGTCGGCCTTTGCCAGCTGTGCACTCTGCTCAAGCAGCTGGAAGTGAGCATACAACCCACATGCTAAGCAAAGTTGGGAGTTTTGTAACCAGCACTTGAAAGCATACTCTCAACGGCCCGTCGTTTGGTGTCACCAAGTCGTGCAGCTGCTCCTTGTGACGCAGAACTAGGCAAAATGCTCACAGGAGCTTGGCTCTGAGTTTGGCCAGCGGTTATAACAGTGACTATACGCTCTTGCTGCACAGGAAGAAGGCTTCATGAAGCTAAGCTGCTGACCTTCGCTTCTCTCCTTTTCACCCAGGGAAACTTCACTGTCTTCAGTCTGCAAGTTTGCTCCGGCCCCCCAGGCAAACCCTAAACCCATGAAACCCTAAAGTCTGAACTTTTGTCAGATACTTTCATATAAGCTCCCAAGAATTGTCGATCTAACCTTTTCTCCACCTTAAAATTCCTTACAATCTTCTTGAACAAGCAATAAATCCATCGCGGCCTAAAGAAGAAAGCAAAGTTCAAGCCAGGAGTCATGGCGACGCCGAAGCTTATTGGTGAGTGATGTTCAATTGTCATCTCAAACTTCAGATAGATACCTTGGACGGTATTCTGATTTTATCCCGGAGCAGCATTGAAAGTACGTCTTTTTTCTAAGGGTCAACAAGTCTGAAGCGCAGGTGCGTCTGGTCGCCAGCACTGTGTCCTCAGCAAGTTGCTGCCGCTTGAGCTGGTGGTGACTTCTTAATGGGGTTGCAATTGAAGCGTGTCTTTCCGTGGACTCCAACTCCTCATCATTAGATTGCCGCCACTTCATCAACCTGCTTGCTCTCTCGAACTGGATTCTCACCTGCTTTCTTGCAGACATTGGTGCAAATCTGACTGATGCCATGTTCCGAGGGGTGTACAACGGGAAGCAGGCACACGCTCCGGACTTGGCGGCCGTCCTAGCTCGAGCATGGGCTGCAGGTGTGGAACGCATCATCGTAAGTGTCACACGATTATGTGGATGTGCCGTATCAAGAACATCCCTCAATTCCTTCATTGGAATTTGCAGTGGCGCATTGCTTCAAACACTGGTGGTGGTACGAACAGGATCAAGCAGCTACTCCTGCCAGAGGTTTTGAAACAACTTTGTTGCGCCGTAAGCTTTGGGTTTACTTGGGCATCCATGAGACCAGACCTGCAATCTGGTGGTAACCAGCTCACATGAATCATGATTTTTGCAGGTCACAGGTGGTTCTCTGAAGGAATCGCGCGAGGCTTTGGAGCTTGCGGACACCGATGGTGAGACCCCTGTGTCCTTTCAAGCGTGTGTTGTTGACGTAATCTGCCACAATTAGGCGACAGAAAGGTTCGCAAAAGTCCGTAAGATTTTATGACCTTCGAGGTAGAAGGGACGAGTCCGACCGGGTGAGCTTTGAAGCTTTATAGATTGAGAGTGGGTCGATGTGGCCGAGCCCCTGTCAACACATGAAGGTCAAGCTTGATGGCCTATCGCACCCTTCTGCAGAACAAGATTGATTCACAGATTTCTTCCGCGTCTGCTAAGCGAAGATCCTATGCAAGCTTTGCACAACGAAACTCTGAATTAAAGTATGGCTGGCCAACGGAGATAACGCCTATCTGTAAGAACTGATCGCTGAGCCCATATGCAATCATTCGAACTTAAGTAGTGACTTCCGCTCTTACCTTGTGCAGCAAGGCTCTTTTGCACAGTAGGCGTTCATCCAACACGGTGCTCTGTAAGTCGGCGGGCTTCCTTCCTACTCCAACCATGCAGTTGGAAGTGTGACCAATAAGCAATGCTTGGTTGTTTCTATGTACCAAAGTCGAGTCTCACATTCTGTCTCTGTGTCCTTCGAGCATGCTTTTGCGGCAGCTTCTCTTTTCGGTTCGAATCTCAGACGTTCGGTAAAAGTCGAAACAGGGGATATAAGCGCTTGGCCTCTGCAAGCATGCAATTTGCCATTTGAGGTCTCGGCAAACGTCCAAGTTGGGCCGGTGATCTCGGCAGATTTGAGCTCATAGACAATGGCCATGTATTGTTGGACGCTAAAGAAGTAGCCTACATTTCTCATCGAATCACGCGCAACTGAGATACCCGTCTTTGTCACCATCCGCCAGCAAGCCCGGAATGGGTACACACTTGCTCTCTTCGCTCAAACTTTGCCGGGACTTGAAGCAAACGAAACTTGAGAAACTTCATCGCAAGGTGTCTCCATCTCCTAGTCAGGCTCTCTCCTAACATGTTACACGTGTCCTTTGGTGATTGGCAGGAATTTGATGAAAGCGGCGACCCTGTGAGGCACTTGCAGGAGTTGGAGGAGCTTGCTCGGAGAGGGAAAGAGAGGGGCAAGGTGAGAAATATCAACAGATGCACATGTCTTTAGGGTCCAGCCGAAATTTGTCAACAAATTCCACTGTGCTCCTTCATCTCGCCACTAGAAAGGCGGAGATGTGTTTTGTAGTCTGTTGCATAGTAGTCTACCATTGCCTGATTACCTTGCAAGCTCGCCCCTCATGAGTCCTCGCAACTGTCTGTATCTTTGATCGACGAAGTGAATTTCTGAACGTGTCCTCCTTTTGCGAAGGTAGTCGCGATCGGCGAGTGCGGGCTCGACTACGACCGGCTGCAGTTCTGTCCAGCCGAAACGCAGAGAAAGTACGGCCTTCCAAAGCTTTTTCATCCAAGCCCGAAAAACTCCTTCGGAATTATTAGATCTGCTATAGCCCGTCCAAAGCTTCGGAGAAGCCGACGAGTCCAGAAAAATTGGCAATCTCGATCACATTGACGTGCTTCGGTTGATTGCCTGTGGCACCCCTCCACCTTCACGCACTCATCCGGGTCGAGTAGTACGTACGCCTGCGGGCTGCCGCAAACGAACAGTCTCTTTCAAGATACTCGTTGCCCAGACTGTTACTGCCGATTTACGAACCTCATTTCATCCTAATCTCCACCCCGTTCGTTTTCCCAGATACTTTGACCACCAGTTTGGCCTGGCAGAGCGCCTCGGTCTGCCCATGTTCCTGCACATGAGGGCCGCGGCGGACGACTTCTGCGCCATCATGCGACGAAACGAGAGCCGGTGCGCACACTGTCTATCTACTTTCTCCCGTTCCTGTCCGATGCAGCTTTACGCAGGATGGTGGATAGTCCGGGTTGCAAGCAAGGTCGTAAGGGCCATTGGGGCAAGGGATGTCAAGGGGCTGTACCTCCTTGATTTCTGACTGAGCGCTCCTTATTCGAGCGGCTTCGGTTAGGTTCAAATTAGAGAAGCCATCTCATTGGTGTCGAAATCAGTGATAGTCCATTAAGTTGCTCCTAGGCAGTCCTGAAAACTTGGGCGACGTACGCCCGGGGGCGATTGCGGATCGGTCGAGGATCCTCTTTACACAGTGACGCAGGATTCTTATACTTTGTACATGTTTGCAGGTTTCGTGGCGGTGTTGCGCATTCCTTCACGGGCAGCGCGGAGGACCTCCAAAAGTTGCTAGCCTTTCCGACACTGAGCATAGGTGAGTTTTCGCAAATATGGGGCACGTTTCCCACTCTCGAAACTTTATTAATCTATTGAAGCGGGTGAGAACGCTTTGCATCAGCTTCTTCAACGTACAGGTTTGTTGTAGCTTACGTTGATACCATAAGGAGCCGTTGATCAAAGGATTCCCGTCCCTTTCGCAGTAAAGTTTCTCCATGCAACTTTCGTAAACCCATCACGTTCCCTGACAACGAAACACGAGCGACTTTTGCCGGACATTGAGGCTGCGCCAATCGGCCTTCAGTCAGGGCGTTGATCGCTTCGGGCGAAACGATCTCAACGAGCCTTCGCCTCTCTTGAAAGAAGGTTCAGACGCCTTACCAGATATGACCTTACTCAACGCTTTCCATTTGTAAAATTTAGGATTGGCACCGTGTCTTATCTACAACGCTACTTTCTACGGGACTAGGAACCGCTTTCTATGTTCTTCTTCAACTGCTTTCGAATATGTAATCTGTGCTGATTCGAGTCCAATTTCGTGGTCCCAGGCATCAACGGCTGCTCCCTGAAGACCCAGGAGAACCTTGACGTCATGGCTGACGTCCCTCTTGATCGCCTCCTCCTCGAGACGGACTCTCCGTACTGCGACGTGCGATCCACGCACGCAGGGTTTAGCCACGTGGCGACCACGTGGCCTTCGAAGAAGAAAGAAAAGCACGACGCGGAGAGCCTGGTCAAGGGGCGTAACGAGCCGTGCACAATGAGGTGGGTCAACAAGAACATATGACGGGATGACAGAATTTACTCTTACCCGTGCTTTTGTCAAACTTTGGCAGCCTTGACTATATTCGTTCTGGCTACGGGATCTGGGCCGTCCGATGGTGCGTCTTGGTGCATCGAACCGCCCCCAAGTTCTGCTATTGCCGAGGTCAGGAAACTTTCAGCGCCCAGGTTTGACGCAAGGTACGATTTTGTCTGTGAACTTTCAAAAGGATTTGGGCTCGTCTCATAGTCCAATATGCCTTCAGCCTGGAGATTGGATCGGACTCCCGTTCCGTTCTGTATTCGACCTTGCTTTGGAGGAAAAGACGAGCTGAATCTTGTGCTAGAGCCGAAACAACGATGAGAGCGTCTCCGTGAGTCTTGACCTCGCCAGGTGGCATGCTGTCTGCACGATCCAGCTGTCCAGGCCGCTGCTAGTACTCAGGGCCGTTGGATCCTGCGGAACCTGTGGCGATAGGCTGCAGCCTTTGACCATTATTTCGATGCAATCTCAGAGTGCGGGCGGAGTCAACTAGGGGGGCATAGGTCGAACCAGACGGTCAATTGACGGGGCAGATTGCCGAAGTGGGTTAGGAGAGCAAGAACAGTGACGGTATATTTTGCTGCGCAGGCAAGTACTGGAAGTTGTGGCAGGTCATCGACGGGTCACGGATGTTGCGGGATTGGCTCGAGCGGCGCACGAAAACACCTGCCGGTGAGACTCTACTCATTTGCTTCCTCGGACGTTTCGTTCGATGGTCATTAGCAGATAGAGCCGGAGCTACAGTAGCCCTAAGATCTCGCAAGGTGGGTAGACCAATTTGCTTTGAGAGTATCACCTTGGTCGCTCCCCTCGCCGCCGATGCTTACTGATCCAACATACTTTGCAGGTTGTTTTTCCCGTACGATCTGGATTCGATAGCAGGGGCCGTCTTGGAGCGAAGAACAGAGTCTTAAGGCAAATTGTACTTTTTCCGCCCGAGTCGGTCATCCCATCTTGCATGCTCGCATAAAATCAATGAGCAACCCCCTAACAAAGGGGAAGCTACCTAGTGTGAGTATGCCTCGGATTAATGGAATATTGTTGTAGACCTACGTTCTAATACCAAGTCGATGCTGGTAGTGCGTTTTGATATTGCGAAGGCTGCAGCGTGCAGGAAACTTAGGCTTGGTGTCCGCCAGAATCAAGTGCAGATTTATTATAATTACTGAGTGAGTCGATGCACACAAGTGTCTACCCTCCAATGAGTCACTGCATTCGATCATCACACCATTGATGACAATGTCGCCGATCGTGTGTATCGATCAACATCTTAACCGCCGGCCCATGTCTGAGCGGGCCCGCGGTAACTGAAGCTGCATAGCAGCATGATACAGCCACAAGTCTGCATATGGTCGGACCGCGCAGCCTAGCTCTAGAACCTGGCACTCATGAGTCGGACGAATCAGCGCACCTCTATACGTATAAGCAATCATGAGCTGCCGTTACTGTCGCACATGTCTGGACGAAACCTCTGTACAAGGTGTTGTATCGCTGTGAACCTACATCTGATCGAGAGCAACATCTTGCTTTGGTAGCTGCATCAATGTGAGCGCTGCTTGCTTACAACGGAGCCTGCATGCATTGAACTACTGGAAATGTATGTGACGAGAATAGAGACGGAGATTCGTTTTTGGTTTCTAGCTTCTCACAGCGGCGCAATCTGTTTGAACGAATGGACGAAGTTTGACGTAACGAGTTCTGATCGAACTTTCTCATATGCAACTAGCGCAGCTTCGTACGCGACATGTTACTTCCTATCTACTGATCTCGTCTTTAACGAAAAACCGAGTCCGGCAATCCTCAACCGCAGCCTTCAGATTGCACGAAAGATGCCAGTAGACCGGACTCATCAGAGTTCGTACCAGAGAGTCCATCTACCTTTAAGATCCGTGTTCAATGTTACGTTATTTTCCCGAAGCTGCGCATACATTGATCTCCAACCTAGATCATACCCTAATGTGACTCTGAGGTCCTGATGCCTCCCTGGGAAGTTGGCTATGTGCCGTCGTCCCTCGATTGCCACCCGACTCCCCTGCGTGCCCTTTCTATGATGCAAGTTTACCTTCCCCTTGACTAGCAACTCCGTTGGCTTGTATCCACCTTCCAACTCCTCCCCAAACTGAAGCCGTAGGTCGCTCACAAGCTGCAGGCTTGGCAGCTTAGAGGGAAACGCACTCTCCCATCTAAGAGCTGTATAGACCGTGTAGGGATCGCTTACTGGTAGTCCTTCCGCCTTGCGTGTCTGCTTCCGGCCAATAAATGTTGGCAGCTTCTGTCGCAATCTAAGCACCCAGTGGTGGCGGCCCTCCTCTCCAGGCGCAATCAGAGCCTTGAAGGTGAGGTCAGGAAGGACTCCATTCTCATCAAGCGTGACCTTTTCCTGTAAATGCAATGGATCAGCAACAATGAGTCCAAACAAACAAGAAAATCCGTTCGTTGGCACTGCGAAGCTGGGATTTTAGATGAAGGAAGGAGGTAATATGCTCACCAAACCACGCAATCCAGAAGATCTCAGCATGTCATGTTGATCACAACGAGCATCCCCATGTTGAACCAAATGGTGGCGACAAGCTGTCAGAAGAGCTGTCAGACAGCAAAGTTGTTCTTTCCTTCAAAACAAACATGGCTCAGCAGTTTAAGAGCGGGTGTATAAAAGCTAGAAAGAGGAGAGCCTGTACAGTTGGAAAACCCAGCCCTTTGCGTCCAAAAAAGTCGAGCCGTTTGTAAGTAACTCTGATGGTCAGACACCTTGTTTGCATGCAGCATGCAAGGAGTCGGCTAATGTGCATCTTCAGTGATGAAAGACTCTGTGGCTAGCGCTTGACAGCTCACATAGAGTGGGTGATTCGTTCAAGAGAGCTGGAAACAAAAATGCTGATTCATGTAACCAGAACGCCATCCTAGTCTGCACTGTTGCCTTCCTGTTCACGACGCCTGTGCATTGTTCCAGGATCTTGAACTCACTTTAAACTGCAGGCCCATGTCCCGCTGAATGCTGTCGTATCGGAGCCATGCCTGCAGCGCATGCCCCGACATGTCCCTTTGACTTTGGGGAATGTGGATTTCAAACCTCTCCGCAACCAACGGAATAACTCTGGTTAAATGGAAAAATCAATTGTCATCAGCTCTCTTCTGCAGCTCGCAACAATCGAAATCATCTACTACACAACTCAAGGTTTTCAAGCTTGTCTTCTGGCCAGTTGGGCGCCCCTTGCAGCTTGCTGATCACGTCGTCACCAGCAAAAGCGAAGTTCAAGCTATCGTCATTTCTGACAATATTGACTTGCATATTGCACAGTTTGCACTTGATAAGCTCATGACCATAAGTCTAGGCGGGCACCAGCTTTTCTATCCAATTCGGCAAAAGGGGGCAAAGAGAAAGGTATAATCATAGCCCCCCCAAATGAAAGGACCGAAGATCTGTTGCGCGCTTATATCAAGCAGCTGCTCATATATCCACGCATGACGACCCAAGTAATACATTGCATTGTGGATCTAGCTCAACTGAGCTCAGCCAGAGCTCAGCTGTGAATTGCAGAAAGTTTCTGGCACCCTGCACAGGCTAAGCTGCAAGCAGTCGATACAGCTGCAGTGCTGCTTTGCAAGTACATAGATCCTGTTGAGGAGACGGGGCCAATGGCAAGGGACGCTCCATTCCTGCATTCATGAGCTGTATTGGGTCTCAGCGCCCGTCTAATACCAATTGCAGCCAACTCTACCCACAAAGAGCAAAGAGCAAAGAGCAAGACCTTGTGGCCTAAAGATCTGCTACATCCGCCTTGTGTTTCTGATCTGCACAGATTTCCGTGGCCATGACAGGTCCAAGTGCGTACAAGGTGCCCATGACACACGCATCGAGAAAGAAGCCCACTGGAAAAGCTGGCGGCAGTATATTGCGGCAGTTGGTGCCAATCAATGGAGCGGCGCCCAGCAAAGTGCACCCAGGGCCAGAAGGGCCGTGCAGAACCCTAATCTGGAATGCCAGCCAATTGTCCTTAGAATGTGGGGCTCTGGACACTTCAGGCAGTGGGGCTCAGGGGCAGTGCTTCGAAGAAACAGATGACAGGAATGCAAAAGCTGGACCATTGATTCAGATCGATGCAATTGCAGCTCAGACTGAGAGGGATCACTTAAAACGATTGACCCCTGATAGAACTGAGACAGCCAACGGCCATGAAGGAAGCGCCCGCTTTGAATTGGGTTCCAGTGACTCGAGCTCCCATCGAGAAAGAGTAGCTTCAGCTTCAGCTGGCAGTGACAACCCCTCCTCGAGCCAGCCTACATGTCACACTGGGCTCGCAGCATCTGATAGGAGGAGCTTTGCTGGGCAGGAAATTGACGCGCCAGTTCCCTTAAAACCGCTATTGGACGAGTCCGGCAGAACGGCGTCACCGAGTCAGGGCAGTGCGTCAGCAAGTCGAACGGATGATTGTGTTGCGGAAGACCGAAGGTTGTTACAGGATGATGCAAGGTGAGGAGGTTTTCACTCTTACGATAAGTCAAAAGAGAAAGATGTCTCCCAGCAGATTCTGGTCCGTGAAACTTTGAAAACCTTTCTTAGAGAGGACCTGTAAACTCACCCTCGTAACCAGCTAGTGTAAAAGTGTCACCCGCTTGTACGAGTAAGCAAGCGGCCACGAGCGGGGAGTAATCACCACGGACGCACTTGCCTGGTGAGCTTGTTTCATGTACGATAAAAGATTCAGATGTCAGGAGGCTATGTAAGGCTGCCAGATTTATCAGAGTGGGTCCCCCCCTCCTACTTTCATTGTTCTGTGTGCCAGCGTCTTCCTCGTCTAAGATGTGGGCTCCTGAGTAAAGGAGACGAGGATTGATCATTGCTTGTCGACCAGAGAAAGGTGGCATCTGTCAGTGGCCCATTTACTCCTGCTGCAGGTTGCATGGACGATGATGGGCAGACCGGATTTGGCCTCTTGACAGTTGAGACTAAGATAGAAATCTGTTCTCTTTGAATGATACACGGTCGCTGAATAACAGGACTACCTTCGTTGCAGGCGATGGGACCGTGCAGAGAACCTTACCAAGAAGATCAAACGAAGGAAGGCCAAAACGAAGTTGAGAAGAACGGAGCTTGCAGAGGAAGTTTCTTAATGCCTGCAGCTATACGAGAGTCAAAACGTCACTTCAATCAATTTTGGAGCTTAGGCTCAAAGCTCACCTTGAACAAGTACTATGTGAGTATATGTCAGAGCTTTGCGCGAAGAATAGCACTCATCTGACATGCCAGCTTTATTAGGATTGTAAACAGATCATGGATTAAAATAGCGTCCTACTGGTGAGGTCTTACAACAAGAGTGTGACGGTCTGACCAGTTTACTATGTGCTGCGGGCCTTATCAAACACAGATGAACTTGGAACTTTAAACAGATTGAGCTTGTAAAAATGTCTATGGTACCTTGGGCACGTCAACCGGACCACCTCTTTTACGTGGTACCCAAACGGGACATGCTCACCAGAGATTCGATCAAGCATGATGACGATATGCAAGGCCGAGTATATTCGTTCACCACCGTGGATATTCGAAGCTAGGCGAGCGCGACCTAGCTGGACCGTTCGTTTGGATACATATGCCTGATATCTTAACCACGCTTTTTCAAGAACCATCGACTGCAAGCATGCAATCCAGGTGCAATCGGACCAAAAAAAAACAGTCGGACAAAACGTCACTGCCGCGGATACATCTCGGCGGCCTTGCATGGAAGAGACCGTCTGAAATGCTGAAACTTATTAACCCACTGGTCAGGGATGATCATAACTAAAATGTCCCCCTTTCAAGATGCCAATTTCCAGTCAGATCTAGGCGCTTGTATACAGAAGCGATTCTGTTACTGTACATCGTCACAAAGGACATCCATATATGATGGCTCTCGATTGCACGACAACCGTCACGGCAAGAAAGACAGGTATGAACTTCACTGACTCCGTGTAATGGCTCAAGACACAAACATATGGCTGTCTCAGACCTACACGAATACTCTGACAACACGATCCTCAATTGTTCAGAGGCAAAACTGCTGAGTAGCTCCCTTCCGAGTTGGCGCTTGGATCCAAGCAAATGTAAAGCACGCCTACTGCGAGCTTGTTACCAGTTTGGCTTTCAGATCCAAGCAATACCTGACAAGCGGGCGGCCTCAAGCCCTGAATCTCATCGACTCCAGCAGCCGTTGCAGTGACCTACCTAACCCTGCGGTAACCCACCTATTTCGACAACGGTTCCAGTGTCATCGCTTAAGCCTTTCCCGTTTGTGCAGCGACTTCGGCTGCGAAGTCGACGGACTTCTTCTCGATCCCCTGCACACAAGTATAAAGCGATGCTTGAGTATAACTAAACTCTGCAGCCTAGAAGAACCCTTGTACCTTCACGTAGATCCAAACGCGCCCCGCAAAGCTTTCCTGAGCTGTATTCAACTATTCATGTCCCCACCCACAAAGCGCCTCATCATAAACCGCAAACACAGTCATCAAGGCTCCACACCCTGCTTCTCTTTCGCGCATGGCAAACCAAACCACCCCGACAGACACCGCTTGCAAACGAACCCCCTGCAAAAGGAAAACCCCTGCAAACGCCAGCTCACCTCCCCAAGGTTGAATCGCACGAACCGCCGCACTTGGATGTTCTCCCCAATCGTCGCGACCGCCGCCTGGATCACATCCCGCAGCTTCTGCTTGTCGTCCCGGATGTACGGCTGCTCCAGCAGCGCCAGCTCGTTCACGCGCTTGGCCATCCGGCCGTCCACGATCTTCTCCCGGATCGCCTCCGGCTTGCTCGCCAGGTCCTCCTTGCCCAACTCGATCTCGCGCTCCTTGGCGACAATCTCGGCGGGGACGTCGTCCGGGGAGACGACCGTCACCTGCAGTGATGCGCGATGCCTTGCCATTAGAAACTCGACGGCTGATGTTGACAGTCCAAATGCAAACTCAACGTTGCCCGTTCCCTTTCCGCCGAATGAGGGAGATCAAATTTTGTGTTTTGAAACCACGCCGATGGACAACGCTCGTAAACCTTTGCGCAACAGGAACGAGGACGTGATACAAGAGTACATACGGCCGGAACACTTCTTGGACACCAAGCAGCGTCTGCTGCTACGACACACTTTCGTTCTTTTAACGAACACAGCTCGCGTGTGCCCTCCAAATGCAGACGGTTGGAGTATGCGGCTGAACCACTGCGTGTGCCATTGTAATCCGAACAGTTGGGAATCGTCGCAAACTTCACTGACTGTGCCCGTCAAGTTTGGACGATAGGAACCTTTCGCCTAGGTCATTGCTTTGTCGTCCTCACCTGTGGGCACGCGGCCACCTGCATCGCGACGTCCTCCAGCAGCTCCTTGAACTTGTCCCCCCGCGCCACGAAGTCCGTCTCGCAGTTCACCTCCACCAGCACCCCGATCCGCCCGTCGTGGATGTAGCTCCCGATCGCGCCCTCCGCCGCGAGCCGGCTGCTCTTCTTCTCCGCGCTCGCGAGGCCCTTCTTCCGCAGCAGCTCGCGCGCCTTCTCCACGTCGTTGTCGCACTCCGCGAGCGCCTTCTTGCAGTCCATCATGCCCGCGCCGGTCTCCGCCCGGAGCTCCTTCACCGCCGAGGCCGAGACCGCTACCGCCGGCTTCGCTTCCGCGGGTGCTTCTTCCTTCTTCTCCTCCGCTGCCGGCGCGGGCGCCGGCGCGGCCTCCTTCTTCTGCGTCTGCTCCGCGACCTCCGCGGCCAGGTTGCTCGTCTTCTTGGTCAGCCCCTCGCCCAGATTATAGCGCTCAAAGCGCCGGATCTGGATGTTCTCGCCGATCTTGGCGACCGTCGCCTTGATCAGGTCCTTGACCTTGAGCTTGTCGTCCTTGATGAACGGCTGCTCCAGGAGCGCCAGCTCGCCCAGCCGCTTGTTGATGCGGCCGTCGACCATCTTCTCCCGGATCGCCTCCGGCTTGCTCGCCAGGTCCTCCTTGCCGGCCTCGATCTCGCGCTCCTTGGCGACCACGTCAGCAGGGACCTCGTCCACCGACACGAACTCAACCTGCGGCAGAGATATGAGACGCCCGTTTAAAATTGACACTGTGCCAAATCAGGCCTGGTCAGTGCAGTGTACTACCTGTTTTCTGGGCAGCTTTGCAACTGCCTACCCCGCTCAGTTACTGCTTTGACGAAACAGACGTTTGGAGAGTGTGCGATTGCAAGAGAGGTGTTGATTCTCCGCCAGCCAAACCTGTGAATTTGAGCCGAACCCAGTTGGGAATCCCGCACACCAACTTACAGACGCGCAAATTGCTCGATCAGAAAGCGGTAGATCAGGGAACCGTGACCAGAAAGTTCTATGATATCTCACCTGCGGGCATGCGGCAACCTGCATGGCCAGGTCCTCCAGCAGCTCCTTGAACGTGTCCCCCCGGGACACGAAGTCCGTCTCGCAGTTGAGCTCCAGTAGCACGCCGATACGCGAGTCGTGGATGTAGCTTCCAATTGCGCCCTCCGCTGCAACGCGCGCCGACTTCTTGTCGGCGCTGGCGAGCCCCTTCTTGCGCAGGATGTCGCGGGCCTGGTCGATGTCGCCGTTGGCCTCCGCGAGCGCCTTTTTGCAGTCCATCATGCCGGAGCCCGTCTCCTCGCGCAGGGCCTTCACCAGTACGGCGGAGATGCCACCTGTGAAGTGGGAATATGGGAATGAGAAAGAGATCCGACGAGCGTCGGGAGCGATCATGCTGTGATTGAGTTTGCGCCCACCTCATTGAAAAGCTCTACTTGCCACGGTCGGAATTCGATGCAGGACCATACGGCCAGGAAAGCGTATAAAAGTGACGGCGATTATCTGCCGACCTGATAAAGCAAACGACCACATCTCTACCCGCTTCCACAATGTATCGTTGTCGACTCTGAGAAGGTTGTCCGGCTCAAATATCGGACTGTCAGTTTGGAGGCAGCAATGGATGCTTCGGAATGTGCTCTCAGAACCCCAAGAGCTGAGAGACAAAAGAGTTCTCACAGCGACAAAAAGGATCACCAAGAACGGTTCAATGTGGGGAGTAAGGAAGCGTAAGCAAAACCAGGATTTGCCACGCCCTTTTGGACTCCCCTTGCAAAGTGTTTAGAGTACGGATCTAAAACAACCACCAGATTTACAGCAGTTTCAGAACAGCTTTCCAAGATGCCCAAGGCTGACTGCCAGCACACGCAAGTGCTCGTTTCAGCCCGTAAGCACACGAAGCCGTATCGAGTACGTAAGCACGACTTCAAACATCTCGAACTTTCTCAAGTCTTACTTCCGACCAATCGAGCAGGGACTGAAATGAGGAAGACGTTGCCAGCACAAGCGTCCTGCAAAAGGGCTCAAACCCCTCACCTGCCTCCTTGGGCTTCTCTTCTTTGGCCGCCGGCGCCTCCTCCGTTGCTGACGTCACCTGGTCCACCACCCCCGTCACCGCAGCTACCCCTGCGTCCGCCGCCTCCTTCACCTGCTCCGCCAGCGAGGGCGCGTCCTCCTTGGCCGCCTCGACAGCTGGCGCCGCCTCCTTGGTCTCCTCCGCCGCCGGCGCAACGGCATCCTTCACGCTCTCTATAACTTCCTCCACCTTCTCAACCACGGGCTCGGCCGCCTCTTTCACGCTGTCAACCACGTTCTCAACTGCCTCGGCAACCGGTCCCACGACATCGCCGATCCCCCCAGTCTGGATCGCCCCAAGCTGGTCCCCAACGTTGTCTGACGCCCCGGTGACGGTCTCCTTCGCCTCCTCTACGGCCGGCTCGACTTTCTCAGCCACGGGCTCTACCGCCTCGGTAACGGTCTCCTTGGCGTTTTCTACCAAGGGCTCCGCTTTCTCGCCCACGGTATCCGCAGCATTGGTAACAGTCTCCTTAACCTCTTCCACTATGGGCTCGACCTTCTCAGCCACAGGCTCGGCAACCTCCTCAACTTTCTCGATCACGGGCTCGGCAACCTCCTTGACCTTCTCGATCACGGGCTCCGCCACTTCCTCGACTTTCTCAGCTACCGGCTCTACAACTTCCTCAACCTTCTCGATCACGGGTTCAGCGGCTTCCTTGACTTTCTCGGCAACCGGCTCTACGACTTCCTCGACCTTCTCGATCACGGGCTCCGCCGCTTCCTCGACTTTCTCGGCAACGGGCTCCACAACTTCCTCGACCTTCTCGATCACGGGTTCAGCCGCTTCCTTGACCTTTTCGGCTGCCGGCTCTACGACCTCCTCGACTTTCTCGGCGACCGGCTCTACGACTTCCTCGACCTTCTCCGCAACCGGCTCGGCCACTTCTTCGGCCTTCTCGACCACGGGCTTTGCAACATCCGCGACTTCGTCAGCAATGGGCTCGACGCCCTCGGTCACGGCTTGTGCGGCGTCTTTGGCGTCATCAACGACATCCTCGACGGTCTCCTGGACGGCTTCAGCGGCGCCCGCGTTGGATGAGTCGTCGGCATCGGCCTCCTCGGGCTTCTCGGCGGCCGGGGCGGGAGCGTCGTCAACCTTCTTGCCTGAGAAAAGGCCAGCCTCTGCAAATGAGGAAGAGAGTGGTCAGGTTGGATAATAAGTGAGGGGAAATAGGAACGGAAAATGTGAGCTGCTCCCACGGAGGCTGTCAATCGAATCGCTACAAACGAAACCGCAGGGTCGTGAAGGAGGGGGTGAATTCTGACGACCTAGCTGAAACAAGCTTCCACAGAAGTGCAGACTTACAGAAGTGCAGACTTCCAGAGGAACGTCGTCCTTCTGTCCGCACTAATGTACACAACACTGGCACGCAGCAAAACATGTGCAAAAAGGACAAGTCCTTACTGCGACGACCTCAGAGCACAATCAATGTCCTCGAAACGTTTCACAAAGTTAGTGCACAGCCCTACGCTTGAGAAGATCGACAATATAACAACGTGCTGACTGTCAAACAACCTAAATGTGCTTAACAGCCACAAACAACAGATGATCACACTACTCTGCTTTTGATACCACTCACTCTGGATCTCCTGGGTCTCCGTCTTGATCTCATCGCTAGCGGCAGCCACAGGCTCGGGCTTCTTCGTCTTCGCGAGCTCCTCGGCACCTGGGAGCTTGTCCAAAACCAGGTTCGACTTCTTGAAGGCGGCCTCGAAGGGGTTCGTGATGCCGTCTGTGCCGAACTCAGCCCCCTGGTTGAGCTTCACGTTGATGTCATCCGTCTGCAGGATACACGGGCCAAAGTCAATCGCGTGTATTTGTCAAAAGCCAAGTGTTCCGATCAAGAGGCCCGATATTTGTGATCTGACAAAGCCGTACTCATTTCGAATACTTCAGAAGTATGCAACCGACCATGTGCACCAAGGTAATGCTCCAAAACAGTGCCGTCACAAGCAGAGGCGCAGAGTGCTTCCCTTTCTGTCACTTCGAGTTTAGCAGGTTGAGACTGGGAAGTAAGTGCTCACATCGACTCTCTCCTTGGTAGTCAGGCTGATGCGGTCTTTCTGCAACAACAAAAGGATGGGTGGATGTCAGGAATACCGTTATCCCCTTCCGCGAGTCAGGAGAAAGTGCACGACGAATCATCGGCAGGAGGGACACAGCAACGTGGATAGAGAACTGGCCCCCTCCCAGCAGAGCTCCAAAGCAGCTGAGACGCCAAAGAACAAACCGAGCTTACCGTGACAGACAGGACGGTGACGTTCACTTTTTGACCCATTTCGAGGTGCTCAGCAACCTCTACCCGCTCGCTTCCTGCAAAATCCAACAGCTCCAGTGAATCTCAAGGGGCTTCCCATACGAATCTGTCAAATTGAGGACTAGGGGGAACAATTTTCTGCCCCTACAGCTTGCCGTGCAGATTGGGAAGCTTTGCTAGCACAGAAAAGATTCACCCCCCTGGACAAACCTTCCTCTAACTGGCTGATATGAAGCTGCATTACTTCTTGTAAGCAGCTCTTTAAAAAAGGCAGTTAATGGGGACCGTCGGAAAACAGGACGCTTACCCTCTCCAATCTCGCTAGCATGGAGCAGTCCCTCGACCCCATCCTTCAGCTCCAAGAAGGCCCCGAAGGGGGCGATGCTGGTCACAGTGCCCTCAAACTTCTGCAGAGGGAAAGGATGGAAGCGACCTTTAAAATGGTAGTGCAGAATGTCAAGTGACAAAAGTCAAAAACAAAGAGAGAAGCTACAACCACTGCAATACATTTGCCTCTTCAGCTTACACTGGTGGCGTCGGTAGTGTTCAGCATTTCATCAGCGGGATACAAGGGGAGGGGCGTCTCCCCCCTACCAACACAGAATGCTGTCAATATGACCGCAACTATCCAACACCTAAGCAATGCGCCCAGAAACCCCACCTGTCCCTTCCTGATGCCGTGGCTAGGCTTGTCAGAGCCTCCCCTCCCCCCAGCCACCGCTCTCCGGGGCCTCTGGTCGCCGCCACGCTGCGGGCGCGGTCCGGCCCCCCTCTCGGCACGAGGTGCTCCAGCCCCCTCCGCTGGCTCAGGCCGCTCTTCCCGGGGGGTCCTCATGCTGAGCGAAATGCGCCCCTTGGCGACATCGACCTCCAAGATGCGTGCCTGGACTTCTTGCCCGGCCTCAACCAGATCCCCGACGTTCTCAACGAATTGGTCCTGCATTCAGGAAAGCAAGCTCGAGTGAGAGTGGGTCAGAAGGCTTGTGCCTTTGATGAGTGTCACTGAGGAGCTCTTCCCTGGACAAGCAAGGGGCTCGCTGAAGATGTTCCTCTTTTGAAATGAAATCCTGCCTTCCATTGAATAACGCACATACGAGAAGTCCATTCCACTCCACACCCATCGTCCCTTGTTCATTGTCTGGTCTCTTAAAAAGGAGCCAGCAGAATCACTTGATGCAAAGAATGTCAGTCCTCAGTTCCTAATATGATGCATCTTCGTATGGCAGCAGGCTTCCCACCATGCTGCAATGTCGCTACAATTCAGTACTAACACGATATTTGAAGCCGGTCGTGTGAACTTACCGCAAGCTCGGAGATGTGAATGAGGCCGTCGGTGAAGGCACCAATGTCCACAAAGCAGCCATAGCTCTGAATAGACCTCTGCACAAGCAAGACCAAAAAGAGAGTCAAAGATCCCTCCTGCTTCTAGGAGATAGGCCAACTGTTTGAGCCCTGAAGTCGATGTAGAGGAGTCCTTCCTAAAACCTACGAGCCTTAAAAAGGCGCTGAAAGGCCAGCCTAGTATCAGATATATCCTGCCCCTGCCAAGATGCCATGGTAATCCTTTAATCTTTGGTGGTCTGCTTGACCAAAACTGATTGTAATGTCCAGCAAATGAGACTTGTAGCCTCTATTGCAACAGCAATGACAACTTCGCGTCAGTGGCTAAGCGTGACTCTTGTCAAGGTGCATCCTATGTGACCCTTGTCTCAAGTTCCCTTACCCACTGAAAAAGCAGGCGGCCAGCAGAATAACATCCTTTCAGAGACCATATATAGATTTGTCCTTCCTCCCGATTCCTTCACTTCAGGCCACCCATGGTGCCACCCAGCTGCGCTACAGACCCCTCACCACTTTTCCAGGCACTGTTTGCCCCGGTTGCAAGTCCTCGATCTTCACGGTGATCTTCCTCCTGTTCTTGAAGGGCCTCCTGGCCGCCGGCTTGGCCTCTCCGCCCTCTGCATCGGGAGCGGCTGGCTCCGGTGCAGCATCTGCATCTTCCTCTGCCACAATCTCGTCCTCCGCAGTGGCTTCCTCAACAACAGTCTCTCCCTCAGCAACAGTGGCTGACACACTCGTGGTGAATGACCTGCCACTCCTTGAGAAGGGAGAGCCAGATGACAGGCGGACGCCGGACAGAAGCTTGACGCTTGGTCTGCAGGGCCTGGAAAGGGGAGCCAAAGCTGAGCAAGCAATGTGCAGCAACCGCCAAAGGCACGCACGTTCTGCAGTGCTCCATTGCAACTGAGAAGGAGCACCGGAAAAGCACGTGAGACGCTGCATTCTCCAAAGTGCAAGTTTCCGATACTAACCCTATGTGCTGCTGAAAGGGCTCTATGCAAGTTGCAGTGACTCTATAAGCAAGGTGCAATGCTGCCAGCAAGGTGCACAATCTGCCACAAAGCAAAGAAGGGCGTAGCGGTTCCCTGTTGACCGATCCAATACTTCTGAATTGCACAATCACTATTTAAGCGAACAAGAGACAACGGTTGCAATGCAGAATACGACCAATATCCTGAAAAGCAAAGAGCATAATGGAAGACTTCCTTCTCAAGCTACTTGGAAGCCAGGACACCGCCAGTCCCTGTGAAACTAGCTTAAAGCACTCCAATGAGACAACCATTACCATCATTTTCCTAAACAACGACCGTACCTCTGCTGCTGTAAACAAGGATCCTCTATTAGTGGATTCTGAACGCTGAAAAGTTCAGCACTCTCAAAGCAGCAAGAGCAAGCACCAAAACGACCCTCTTACTCCTCAACAAGACAGCTAAGTAAAACCATATGAAAATGTAGTGTCTTTCTGCTCTCAACCCGTACAATAAACCAGGGTTGTCATAGTTGCATTGATGTTAACAGACAGTCACAACAGCAACAGCGCAAGGGTTTTATCAAAGAGCTCACCGGAGGAGCTGGCACTTTGAGAGCGCAGCCGGCTTGGGAATTCTCTGTCTGGCTGATACCTGTTGCGAGAAAAGCATGTCAGCAGAAGGCCGCTGAGCCAATCCAGATATCACACAACAGGAACACAAGAAGCACCCACAAGAGAATGCCCTTCTTTGTGTCTGGAATTCTCATCATCGATGCGAGACAGCATCTCCCGGCACAGTGTTTTCCCTGTCCGTTCAACCCATGCCAGAGAATACCACCATTGCTGATGTGCACGCAGAGAAAGGCTCCTTACGTTGCTGTGAGCTTGGGCAGAGCACAAGGACACACAAGCGTGAGTCACCCCAGACACCGTAGTGACCGACGCCATCTTCTAATATATCTTCCGCAAACCCTCGTCAACAATGCTGCCGGTGGTGTGCACCGGGGGCCTCGAGGCACCCCACTTAGCGTAGAGAGAGGCTGGAGAGCAGCCCTAGAGCTACTTTGCTCGCCCTGTTCCCTCCCTCCGCATTTCCTTCTGACGGTCCTGAGGGCGAGGCAGCAGGCTGTGGTTTTGTGCTACAAGAACCCAAGTTTGGAGCTCGTGTTGGCAATCTCCTGACCACAAACGTTGCCCCCAAGGGGAAACGGCCATGGTCATCTAATGGACCGCATTCCCAGATTTTGTACGCAAATCCTGCGGATGGTCCCATAACCATGCCGTCATAGAAAAGAATGATGATCGGTAATATACAGTGCTAAATTACTTCTAGAGAGGGTTGTATCTATACATGAAGAGGAATCAAGCTGTGAAAACTGAACGCTTATATTCTCACGTACACGGCAGTATAGCTGCTATCTTTTGACCCTAATATAAGCGGCTTGTGCTGCTTAAATCAGCTCCTTGGCTCATAGACGCTTGACGTCATATACCGTACCTGTTGCGATTCCAGGCTCTGGAGTAGAACAGTGCCAGCACAGAGCAGCGCCATTTGCAGCGCAACAGTTCAGCATTCAGTTCTTCTCGATCAGACTTCTGCCATCCACTGTCAGGCATTCAGAAACTCCACACGCAAGTTGAAACTCACCACCCCTCAATTTCTGGGTTTGTGGCTTTTCCAATCACCTGGACCTCTATATATTGTCGCACGGTGTCCGCGGCGGCATGCGACCGTGTTTAGACTAGCATGGGTGGCAGAAAGCTGAAAGATGTCACAGAATATCACTTAAAAGGGCAGCCTGGGGAGGCAAATACGATTCGAGGTGAGATGCACTTTCACACAATTGCAATTGCCTAAAACGTGCTTGGTGTTTCTGCAATGCCACCTCTTCCCAGCCTCATGCCTTCGCTAGCGTCTTTCTGTTTTCTAACCTGCATATATAAGCTGCACTTGACAGTGAAGCTTTGAGAACCAAAAGGTCGATTTGCACGGGCTAAGCTTCATCAGGGAACACTTGTCTTGAACTGTGCTTCCATTAAATATCCTGAGGTGGTGCAGCCACGCAGACCGCTGCGTATGATAATAAAGGCAATCTCTCGCTGCCGATGGTGACAAATAACACCGGCCTTTTAAGAACTCCTCAGCCTAATCAATGCTGACAACTCCAAACGCTCACTGACACGCCCGGTCGCTTCGCTGCAGTGGGCGACATCGTGCTAATAACACCAGTGGAGGGCAAGTTGCGGTACATTGGGAAACTGGAAAAGCTATTTCCAGATAGAACCACCGGGAAGATGAAAGTCAAGGTGCGGTGGTATTACAGGCCCCATGAAGCCAAGGGCGGCCGAAGGACGGTGAGTTCAAGTGGGCACCTGTAGCTTATGCGCTAGTCAGCAAGTCTGTCCAGTGCTCTGATCAAAGAAAACTTTCGTGCATGCCTCACAAGGTCAACGCAAGGCTTCGTGGTATCTTACTGGGCATTATAATGTAGAAGGGCGACTTCGATCTTGTAATACGGGTCCCGATGGAGACTTTCATTGAGAGCTCCCTGTAGGCAAAGGACCCATTTGGCCTCCAACATATTGACTAAGGAGCCAGATCATTGTCTCAGATAAGTTGTGCAAGAGCCATTCTTGACTGCCCAGCTGCCAAGTTGTCATCCGATGGGGCAATTAAAGCATAATTTTCATCCGATTCGATGCTTCGGTGGGTTTAGGATTGTCATTGGGGCTCATTGTTCCCACTCAAAGTTCGTATGCTTTCCCCCTGACAAACTGCACAAGGGCTCCACGGCAGAAGCCCTTTCCGTTTTTACAATTGAGAAAACGAGATAATGCTCACCGGTCAAACGGTGTTCGAATTTGATGGAAATTGATGTTCACCCCCAACAAACCTCTTTGGTGGCCTGAATGTGAACGTCTTTGTTCGGTGGTCTTCCTCACATGTAGCAAGCCACAGTCTGAGTACTTTTCGCTTTTCGTACTTCTCTGACAACTTCCTTTTATCATGCATCGTGATCGCTTACCAGCGTTGACCCTCGCCACTTTCTGCGAACTGCCTGCAGTCTCGCTCCATTCTAAAACACTTCGAGAGATTGTTCCAAAACATAATAGGAGATCTGCCGTTTTCAGTGGGCACTCTCGCAAGCTCCAAAAGCCAGGATAGATCGGCGAATTCTGAAGGACGAGTTTCAATTTATGCTGCAACATTTGGAAATTACTCGACTGGCAGGAAAGAAGACGGTGCTTTTGTGCGAACATGCGTGTCTCTCTGTAATGCAGTTCCATGGCAATGCGGAGCTGTTCTTGTCGGACCACTACGACGAAGTCTGGGCGGAGGCCATGGAGGGGAAATGCAAAGTGCACTCCTTTCGAAAATACACGGCATTGGACGACGCAGGGCCCAACGACTTCTACTGCCGCTTTGAGTATAAGCCACAGACCGGGGCGTTCGCCCCAGACAAAATCCCTGTGTAAGTCGCTTTTATTGGCATTATTCCTACGCTCCACCTTAAAAGCCCCTTCGGTCGGTTGCTCCAATATCAATTGGTCTAGCCAGAAACCAGCCATCGCTGCGTCTGATCTCCTGCTTCAAGCCCCTCTTTTTGTAGGTCTCTCCCTCGTGGGTGAATAGTTGTGAGACCAGCCCTGGACACAGAAAGCGATGCCTGTATATGCAGCCAAGTGCGAAGTCTCAGTTCGGATTGCTCTGCACTCTGATGATTTCCGTGAGCTGACCACTCTCCGACCAATCTCGTCGCAGATATTGCATATGCGAGATGCCGTACAACCCAGACGACCCGATGGTTCAGTGCGAAATGTGTAACGACTGGTGAGCCCCATGTCAATCTGTAAGTCGAGAGCGCGTGACTGACCAATGCAGCCGTGTCCGTCTTGCCACCTTTCTTAACCTCTCTGGTCTGCTCAAACCTGGCTGCCTCACCGACAAACGAAATGGAGCTGATTAGGACATCAGGCCGTTTGGAATGAAAAATTCCACTGCTAAGTAGCGCTGAACACGTTTTGGAGAAGGTTGACTACAGGATCTTCGTGGCGCAAGACTTGCAACAACAGTTGGGCTAACTGGACTGTATCGTCACAGGGCTATTGTGATAATAGGGCCACGGTCTTTGAATGTTGTGGGACTGAATCGACATTGGTCGATTCAGCGCCGCAGTCGCTCTGTTTAAAAGATCCGAAACGTGCAGCGCAGATGTGCAAAAGGAGTCCAGAACGTCACTGCGCCTCAATTTGAAACGAGTGGGTTTCTACGTGTAGGTATCACTTCAAGTGCCTGGGTCTAACGAAAGCCGAGGTACGAAAGCTCGACCAGTTTTTCTGCGACGACTGTGGTCCGGGCCGGTCGCAAGTCACTGGTTAGGTGAGCTGGCACTCCTGGTCCGCATTATACTCATGAAGCCATACAACGTTTGTCATTCATCCTGGTTCAGTCGTTCCGGGATCAGGTCTTGTCTTTGTGGCGTCGTTGCTTGGTCGGCCTTGATCGAAATCGCTCAGATGGTGGCACAATATCAGTAGTTCAAGTGATACCCGGGTCTTGATTTTCAAGCAAGCGACGAGCTGCGTAAGTTCATCGAGTCATAGGGAGCTCGCCAAACCTGCTTCGCAAATGAACACTGGTAAGAGCTAACTTGGACAGAATGACGCATTCAAGCATCTTGTTTCTATTCACTAGGAGGAGCTAGGCCAGCTTTTTGAGTATCTTCATTGTTCTCAAAGATTGTGCGCTTCTTCCATTTTAGTATGCGAAAAGGGATTTCTTAAGTAAACGCGGACGAAGGTGTGGTGGACCACAGAACGACGTTTGTGAGTTTCCTAAGGGACAAACAACCAATCTGTTGTTTGTTGCTACGTTTTTTCTTGCACGGCCGACTTGAACTCTTGTTGTGATGCAGCTTGCACCCGCTTCATGCATGGCATGACAAACGACTGGGGGCACTCATCAGAGTGAAGTCCACCAATCCGCAATCACCAAGTGATACACGTTCACTTCAGGCAAGCAGCCCATCGTCGGGCGAAGCCGGCTTTTCAGCGCAACGTAGCAGTGTTTTCTCAAAGCCGTGGGGAAAAAGAGAATTGCATAACACTTGTACAGCTTACAGCACGCATACGACTTACCTTCGCTTTGTGACTACTGTACATACTAGTAGGCCCCCTGACCGCAGAAACTTTTGCAAGAGTCCGGCAAGTATGATCAGTGAGTTTAAGGGCTCGAATGTGAGACTCCTCTCATTGGAAGCGTCCTCGACATTCAAAATGTTGGACGGTCTGTGCCTTCGTGTAAGCTTTTCAATGCAAAGTCCCTTGCCGCATGTTAGAATGTATTAGTGTGTACTGTCTATGTGGATCAAAAGCTACCAAAATTCCATGCATCTCAAATATCAAGGATCGGGCCTTGATCGACATGAGCTCTCATTAATGATTCAACGCTTACAGCGCAGCGTTTCACAATGACACTGCTATACCTCAACTTGAGCATCTCCCTCAGTGCCATCATCTATTCCGAGCAGTGCCATGCAGATCACCATGCAGCCTGCACGCTGCAGAGTCCGCACTGCAGTTGCAAGCCGCGGCCGCCCGCGCGGCGACCGGAACGGCACCGTCGGCCAGCTGTGCGCGCGCTCGTCCCATGATGGAGCATGGAGAGTCGAGACACTGAGGCAAAAAGGTCAAAGAACGGAGTTGTAAAAGTGTTCACATGCTACTTTACGCGCAAGGTGCGTCAGCATATTTGGGCCAATTCAACAACCCGGGCACTCTGCACTCCTCGGTGAATATCCACACATTTGGGTTAAGGGCTGGGTAACCGCAAGACAACCGGATGGTTTGTGAGGGTCAGCTCGATCATGGTTAAAGCTTCCGAGCTGATACGGAATACTAGGTAATGGCTTCGGTATTTGGGCTTCAGTCTTTTTTGCTTGTACGTTCAGCAGGGTTTCCCACAGCCGGCACGCTGGGGCGGACCTGGCCGGTAGATTTGCCAACCCGGCCGGTGCCGAAGGCACCCTGCCGGCTGTGGGCCGGCCCTGCAGCCGGCTCTGCCAGGACCCTGCCAGCCAGAGCCTAATAGACTGGTCGCTTAACAATCGTCTTAACCGCTCGACCAAGAGTCTAGATTCTAAAAACATCGAAAAGGATCGAGAATACCTGCAGCTTTGTACGGCAATGTGAGGATACAGCTAGGCACGACAAGGCAACCCCTAAACTTTGTGGTCGAAAGGTGGCTTGAACCCCGGGGAGACCCAACCACCTGGTTAAAAGGGCCCAGCCCGCGCGGGGGGGTCCCCCGGGAGCTCCGGCCGTCACCCATTAACGCCAGGCTTGCATCATGGGCAAAGGTGGCCGGCCGGCGCAGCCGGCCAGCCAGCCGGTACGACCGAGGGGGTGCCGGCAGGGGGCCGGCCGGGACGAAAGTCCATGGGAAACCCTGACGTTCAGACGCCGGTTACTTTTAATAGTACTTTAAGTTGACTTGAGAAGAGGTGACTCGTGCAGGAACGCGCTGGCTGCTAGAGCTGTAGTTGGCCTCTGCCCGGTAGCTTGTATGAGTAGCATAGGGTCGCTCGGTGCTTTTGCTAAGGTTTCTTGCTACCGCATGCGCGAAGACGCAATCGTCGACAATCTGGCGGCCGACAGTGCCGGCCTTGGTAACACTCGGCTGGTAACACTGTTACAACTCCGTTCTTTGGCAGAGAATTGGTAGGAAAGGGTTCGCGAGGGCGCGCAATTTCCATAAAGTTCGCCGCTCTCGACGGAAAAGACCGTTTACTCATTGGTTAAAAGATTTGTCGTTAGCGCTCAGAAACCGGAGGCCGTACAGCCACAGATCGGACGGTGACACACCGCGTCCCGTCTAAACATTCAGTCAAGCTGAAACCGTCGGATATGGCGGAGCGTTGGCCACACGGTTAGTCCGTACGAGTTGGATCCACGTCAGCTCAGATGCAATGTCCAGGAAACGCGACTTGCTCACCGATTGGTTACATTTTCGGAACCCCCGCAAAGTAACCGAGTGAACGCGCGTCGGGTTTTTGTTCAAATCCAATGCATCAACCTATGTCTCAGGTCAGCTTCAATTTGGTTCCGCGTTTCGTGGTTAACAATAGGTAATGGGTTTCGTAATCCAACGCAGCCCCTCTGCCCGGGCATAATTGTACTACTTGCGACACTGAGCTAGGCTAGCGAGACTGCATTTACCGCTCAGCCGCAGCGCTCGCCTACATGACTAGAATTCTGAGGTCATCAGCAGTGCGCCAAACGCAATGGCGGCACAGCTCGCTCACAGCACGGCGCGTCAATGTGGGCCCTCATTGCCGGCGGCATCTAGCAGGTGCAGTCAGGGCGTAGAATGTAACCTGCCCGCACAATTGGGCACACCACATCGCATTTGCGCATCAGTGGCAATCCTGAGAACTTCTGAGCACCGGAGACTTTCTGCGTAAGTTGCTTCACCACCACCTTCTTCAGCTTTTGTCAGAAGGATTTGCAGAGAATTTTGCTGAGTTGGCTCGTATTATCTGTATTCAAGAACGGTGCAATTTTAAGGGCAATTGGTAGACTGAAAAGTGAGGTATGTTCAGTCAGAACAATCTAGCAATTGTCAATCTGGTGCTTGGGAATCAACAGGGTGCATAGTAACAAGGAACTTCTTCAAAAACTTTGCTGATACTTTTGGTTTTTATTTGAGCTGCAGTGGGGGATCAAGCGGCTACAGCGGGTATCAGCAGCATCCTCTTCCATTTTCAAGTGAGAAGATCTCTTTCATTCACACCACCAAGAAAGCGAGGCCCTGGGAACAAGTCGCAGCTTTTCCTTATTTGATCAGATCAAAAGGTTGTAGCAAGCAATGCATGCAAGCCAAGGCTTTTGTATCCTTGAAATGGTGCTTGAGGAGGGGTTGCAACTAAACTTTCGTGCAGAGTTGGACAACTAACTCATAAGTAGAGGCTTAGGATTGGGGAGATGGTCAAATTCGATGATCATCCTTACTGTAGACCCACAATGTGGTTGTTCTTTCAGAAACTTCAGGGAAACGGTTTTCCTGCCTTGCCAAGAAGGATGACAAGAATGGGGACGATTTGACCAAGAAGAATGGCAAGCAGAAAGAGCCAAAGGAGAAGGCGGTCATGGAAGACTTCCCCGTCCCCAACTGGGAAGGGATTGAAAGAAAGGTCAGTACTCCACCACCCTTTTTCCGTCTCCATCAAGAATATACACTGTCTGCAATACGTGCATGATGTTTCTGACCAATCTAGATGCCTTGTCCACATACGCCCCTGTAAAGACGATTGCGAATCTGTGGGATAATCAAGTAACAGCATGGGGTCTGGGTCAATCAAGTGGATATGGGAGCCCCTGTATTGAGATTGAACTAGTACCCTCGTTTTTGTGCACCAGGCGCACTTCTCAGATGATGCTTCAAAGACCCTCGTTTTGGAGAAGAAGACGGGAAAGCGGGAGTACAACTACGATAAGGAGTTGGAGAAGCTGCAGCTGGAGTTGGTAAAATTGCAGGAATGGATCAAAAACAAAGGTGAGAGGCAGCGCTTTTCAGGTGGAACTGCGCTTTGCATTGATTCCTGTGCTTGTTTCGCATCTACCTTTTTGAAGCAGGATGTCGCTGGAGAACGACCTTCTCCAAAATATACTTATCTCACTAACATACTGTCAATCAGTCGCTGCAAGTTGGAATATCTGTAGCTTTCGTAACAGTCATACTCCTCTTGGGGACAAATAGCGTTTCTCCTTCCTTTGCAGGATTGCGAGTTGTCACCATTTTTGAAGGCCGGGATGCAGGTGAGTTACAAAGGCCGGTACTGCAGGCCTTGCCGTTTCGCAAGGCGTTTCGGGCTTATATTTGGTCAGACCAGACCAAGGACACTGTGTATGTAGTAGTTCAACTTTTGTCTGACCACAGATTCATACTAAGAATTCTTACACAGAGCGAACCTTGTCAGCCAGGACGGCTGTCTTTGTTTCTTTTTTCCTGAGGCTTGTTCTTCCTTGCTCACCTCCTTTCCTCTCTAGCCTTGTAGCCATTTCGCCAAGTCGACTGGGCTTTCTTTCCCAACAACATTTCTTTTGTGCGGTGCAGCTGGCAAGGGCGGCATCATCAACACCATCTCCTCGCCTCTCAACCCGCGCATCGTGTCGGTCCACGCATTGGGGACGCCGTCGGACCGTGAAAAGACGCAGTGGTATTTCCAGCGGTACGTCAAGGAGCTGCCGGCGGCGGGCGAGTGGGTCATCTTCGACCGCTCCTGGTACAATCGAGCGGGCGTCGAGAAGGTGCGCCAAATCCAGCAAACCCGCTTTTGCGCAAGGATCAGGAGCCATGAATCCCCACGTGCACTTCTCTCCAATCTCAGCACACACCGTTCTGTTTTGTGCAACGTGAAATGGAAGAGCAGAGGAAGAGCCAAGTGGCTTTTCGGCCTTGGTTGACACCTAAGTTTCGTTCCGCTCGGGCGATGGACTCGCTGTGTAACGAAAAGTGGCGCTTGTCTCGGCCGTTCCTGCTACGTTTTGGCCTTTCCTTTCGGGTCCTACTGACAAAGATTAGCCCCTGAAGATTGATTTTGATAGCTCACTCGGCTTGCTTGGAATCCTTATCGACGTCATGCGTTGCCTTCAGGAAGCCCGAGCGCTAGACAGGGGTTTGAGCGGAGCAAAGTACGATCTGTACGAATGTCGTTCAAGGCCGGTAAAGCTGAATTGCTTCGACTTCCCGTCCACTGGTGCTCCCTTTATACACAGTTGTCTCTAAGGCAAGACACATCCATCATGGTTGCGATTGCTGTGCAGGTCATGGGCTTCTGTACAGACGAGCAGTACACAGAGTTCCTGGACTCGTGCCCCCTCTTCGAGCGCATGCTGGTCAGATCAGGTGAAGCCTCATCCTTGATTTTTCACGATGCACAGGTTCGATCTCTGACGCTCTAAACCAGACAAAGACATGCTCCCGATGTTCAATGCGTTGTTTCAATCAATCTGGTACAAGAACTCAGCAAGCCCCCTTTCTTGCCGGTTTTTGATGATTGAACACTCAGGCGTGGTAATTTCAACGCGCACATTACTTAAGATGTCTCGTCGAGCTCGACCTCTTGCTCGGGACAGATAAAGAGCGGGAGAAAGGCGCGAGGTGGTTTTTCATGGTCGAGTTTAGACCGTGAGCTGCTTAGCGCACTTACACGTTGTTGCAGGTATCATTCTCCTCAAGTACTGGGTATCTGTCAGCCCGGAGGAGCAGGAGAGGAGATTCAAGGTACGATCTCCAGTCCTCCCCAATCGCACACAACTCATCTAGACTCGGTTCCGCTGCCGCTGTTAACGCGCTTGTCTAATAAAGCCAGTAATACTTTGGGTGTGTTTTCGCAGACTGCTCATTTGGTAGGGTTCTCGATCTCGACTGTCGAGGGTACCATGTGAGTATTGTGTTAATGTTTCTCCCTACTTAGAATCCGTAGTGGCGCTGACTATTTGCCTTCAAGCAAAGATCGTATCGCATCCTGTCCAGAACAGCTCCTTTCTTCGCTTGAGTTGAGTTGAGTTGAGTTGAGTTGAGTTGGGTCGAGTCGAGTCCCTAAAACCCTAAAACCCTAAAACGATAACCCCTAAATCCCCAAATCCCGCTCACTTTTCGTCCGTGCTTTTGGATTCCAGGAGCGCCTGCACCGGCCCGAGAAGCGGTGGAAGCTATCACCCATGGATCTGTACGCACGATCGAGGTCAGCATTCTTACCGCCTCTGCTCGTTCTGCCTTTCTAGCCGCCCTTCGTTGCGTGCACAGGTGTTCAAGAACCTCTATTATCCAAGGTCCGGGATACATGATGAGTGCGACTTTCTTTGCAACAGAAAGCAACCGTGAGCGTTTCCGCCCCTGCTGTGGCCAGAACCCTCTCGAGGAACCACGTCTGATTGAAGTTGTGCATACGGCGGTGTCAGCCAAAAGAGAAATGCTGGCAACAAGGTCCCGGTCAGTGATGAAGCTTGTCGCTGAGCTGCCTGGGTACAGTGATAAGCAACTTCGCCAAGGTCGTTTGAATCGATCTTTTTCAAAAGCTGGGGACCTTGAACTCTCGTGCCCTTTGGCAGGTGGGGCGACTACTCGTATGCGAAGGACATCATGTTCCAGGCTACGGACACTAAGCAGGTAAGCTGATCCGCCTACAGGCGGCCTCCTTAAGCTGCCTCTTGACCCGTTCAAAAAAATAGAGTCCTTTTGCGGACGCATGTTTTGGAATCCCGTTCATTGATTCGTATATGCACTCTGGTGCTCTATGGAGGTCGAAAGATGCTGCCGGTTTCCAATAGAGGCGTCGTTCGTTTGTGGGCTGCCCCCGAGACGCTTGTGGGCACTCCGTCTTTCTCTGCTGGGACGAGGTCATCTGTCTACTCTTTACTCCCCGCGTTTGTAAACCGTAGTAACCCTTCTTATCCATTGTTGATTTGCGTCCTCCCCGCGTTTGTAAACTGTAGCATCGCTTCTTGTCCATTGTTGATTTGCATCCTCCCAGCCTTTGTAAACTGTAGCATCGCTTCTTATTCATTGTTGATTTGCGTCCTCCCAGCCTTTGTAAACTGTAGCATCGCTTCTTATCCATCATTGGTTTGCGTCGACAGTGTCCTTGGTACGTGATCCCCGGGGACGACAAGAAGGCGGCCCGGCTGAACACCATCCAGCACATCCTGGACCAGTTCAACTACGAGGACCTCATCGTGCCGGACGACCTGGAGCTGCCGCCCCGGCAGGAGGACAAGTACGTGCGGCCCCCGCTGCAGGACCAGACTTTTGTGCCGCAAAAGTTCTGATGAGACGATCGAAAGTCAGTTGTGGAAGTACCGTAGCTACATAGAAGTAGGATCGAAGTAGGTGGAAGCAGGTACGTATGCTTTGTAGCCGCAGCGGGGTTGTATTTGTAAATGCCTGCGATTAGTGCAACGTAGTGTTAGGCTCAGCTCTTGTAGGGTTTGTAGAACGACTGGCACTTGCAAGAATTACTTAGGGAGTAGGGTCGGAGCATCCAGTCGACAAGAACCAGATGTCTGTCAAGAGTTCAGGATAGGTAATAAGCCAGGGTTTGGGAAGCTTTTGAATATCGTTTTTAGGCAGAAGTGTTTGTACGCCCCATCGACTTGACCTTATTAATGCTCCTACCTATCGACTGCATACATATGTACGAGGCGAAGCCCTTTGTACTGCAGCTGCTACACGTGCCAAAACCCTGGTCCAGGGCGGTTAAGGGCTTGATGCAGGGACTCGTCGCTTTGTACGATCGGACACGCACTCGATCTCACTTGAATCAGCAGGACAGGTTCTCTCAACGCGAGACTCGTATACACTGACTGGTCGGAACCACGTGACACTCGTCTGCTATAATCTAAGGGTACTTCCTGATTATTTCAGCGGACGGTCCTTGACTGCATGAACAGACATGTTATTGAAGACCGACGGTACATGTCAGCCTGCATTTCAAGCATCGTCAAAGATCAGTGACAAGATAAGTCCGACAGGTGAATATGCTAAAGTAAATGTCGTGCGATCCATTCAACAAAGTCGCACAATCAGATTGCAGATTGCATGCGCATATATCATGCCTGCATGCATGCACGAGTGAGTCGCGAACGATCGGAAGACTGTAACGGGTCGCGAGCTAGCTGAAACGCGGCTGCTCAAGAATCAGCAATTATAACTTATATATATCCAATATCAGAGATCAAGATTCTCAAAGTCCCTAGCTGTTGTTGTACTCGTATTGGATCGATCGCCGATCCTTGTTTGATGTGAAGCAGATACCTGCACGAGGCTTGTGGTTCTAGCGTCTGATCGTGTGCTCAAGCATGGCGAGAGTGTTTCAAGCTCAATTCATGCTGATACCCATCATCTGCAAAGAGCAGGAAGAACGTCTAGTCAAGTCAAGGCTATGCATCTATAATGGTAACCGGCGGAGCCGATCAGTGTTGCGGCTGCACGTAATGGGCACTTGCCGCCTGCGGCCGCCATCCGAGTTGTACACGGCAGAGTTTGATCCAGGATCAGCTGTCAAATGTGTACTTAACAAACAAGAGATTTTCTCATCCACAACCGCATTGTTTCCCGAAGGACTCGGGACGAGTTCGGTGACATGTAAGGAATTCTGACGGTTTTCAAATGGAGAGCAGAGAGGAACGAACTTAAAGTCAAGAGCTTGTCAGCAGCAACTCGCCCCTGAAATTCAAAACTAGATTGTAGAACCAAAGTAGTCTCGGCCGCTGGATAGAAGCAAATACGTGACCACACGATATCGCTGAGATGGGGATGCATACGGATCAACGGGGCGACCACTGTACATCACCCGTTGACCCGTCGCGCTTCTACCAGTGGGCAGCTGTATCAACATACTGAGGTGTATGGAACTTCCGCCAAACCTTTCTGCTTATCCAGACTGAAAACTCACCTCTGCTGAAATTCCGCAACAAGTTGAGGCAATCGTCCCAATCTGGGGGACGGGAGTGCCCGTCCAATAGCAGCTTCACATAATACGCAAAAGTGATGACAATTCCACTGCGTCGCCCTGTATATCCTGTTCTTCACGCGAGTCAAGTAGTCAATAACCTTCTCAATCGTTGCCGTCGGTCGCACCTTGGGAGGCCACTGGGCTCCCTGCTTGTATCTGACCTTCACCGATTCTGCATTCGTCATGAGCTTAGACGAGACGTTTGCAACGCGGCACCGGACTGGGTCGGCATACAGCTCCAAACGCACCGTTTCCAGAGGGGCATGCAGCAACACCGCAGAGTGACGAGCGTCCCACACGTTTGAACGCCCTCATTCACTACCCAAACCAAAAGTGAGACTATCCAAGAAGAAGCTCGCAAGCCCGACTGGGGTGGTCATTCCTGGTTCGTCAAATTGCCCCTGCACGTGGTCTACTTGGCAGAATGCGCGTGCCGGGGGAACCGCTCGCGCAGCTCTGCAATCACGTTGTCAGCACCAATGATGACTGGGGACTCGTTGTCAGCATTCCGGGGCCTCTGAAACCCCACCCTTACCGCAATTGCCAGAAGCGAACGGGGCGCTAGACAGGGTTGAGGCATTGCTGCCCATGTTCAAGCACTCAGGCTATTGGAGCACAAAACAAAGGAGATTGTTTTCTGCTGAAATCGTGTCCCCTTCTTCTATTTTACCGTCAAGCTTAATCCTAGTTATGCTTCTAGACTTCGAGAGCGCCGCCTTCCCCTGAACCTTGGGGATCATCAAGATCAAAGTAAAGACGCATCGGAAAAAGGACGGCACTTGCAGAACAGAGATTCATATGGATTTGGCTAGGTCTCTTGGGGCTCTTCTTGAGGTGACGTGACCTGTTGCGTCGCATCCAAGCTTTCTCGTGTATCCTCTGAATTTTCCCCCTTGTCGTATCAACTAAGTATGACGACGTGACGTGTATCATCGTTCATTCTGTAAATTCGAAGTAACGAGATTGCACATTCACACTACCGTAAACCGTACAAAATTTACGCGCATCCGTCCCGCACGTATGATGATATCGATCTGATGATAGCTTGTCAGCTAAAAGAGACAAGCAAAATTTTTGCTTGACAAGCAATCTTTCAGCTTGACAAGGTGACACGCTGGCGATCGTTGTTCCGAAGAGACAACCTGCTGCACGCAGAGCACATGCGCAGCGCCCTTGCTGTTGTTCCACCCGAAGCAATCGTAGCATGCGCCACTGATCAGCTAGACTACTACAATGCAGTTCGCCGCTGAACGATCTGCCGCTGTGTCGCTGGACTGGTCACCGTAAAAATTCACGATTGATTTGCTTTGGCTTCCAAAGTACCTCAGCAAAAGCGAATGACAATTCCATCAGGCACCTCGTTTTCTCGTCCAGAGGCAACTCTGCCTCTTTCTCTGGGGTATGCGACATAGAACAAGCCCCAGATTTGCGCTGTGTTCGAAACAGTCGGCAAAAAGCAGCACCGATGTCTAAGCCGAGACCCGGGTAAGCGAAAGGGCGAGCTATTAGTATGGGCAAATCAGTTGTACAGCCTCCGTCTATGTAGTGGGACTTTACGTTACCAACGCTTCGCGACTTCTCCCCCGTGTTCGCTCCGACCGGCGTCTCCCTTTGTGCTTGGCATCCCTAGTTGCATCCGGGTCATTGAAACTGTGAGGCAGGTTTACCTGCATAACAAGGGTTTGATGCGCTGAGACTTCGGAACGTAGAAGCAGAGAAGAAGGAATGTTAAGAAAGTCTCAAAGGACCAGAATCTGCTGGTGGCGTGAGGAATGAAGCAATATTCTTCGTCCAAGCTGCAGTTGAGACGGGGATAGGTTGGATATCAGAGAATCTCCTCGAGCAGGTGCCTGCTTCCAGAAAGCGGCCACAAGAAAACGGCAAGGTTTGTCAGATGTCTGCCGGTCGAACTACTCCAAGCAGAAGGCTCATGATTGGCGCAAGAGCTCCCGCATTGCAACACACTCAATTGGACAACACAGAGGACTTCCCGACAAGTGTTTCTCACCCTCGTTCAACGAACCTCTCGCTGGTTTTCAGGAAATCGACTCGAAACAACTCATTTCCAAGTGTAACTGAATGTACTCCAGTACTCTATCAGAAGTTTCGACCCCTACAGCTTCCTTCGGGGTCCCATGTTCTCCGAAAGAAGAGCCGAGGTTTTCAATATTGACCATGGCTCTCGCATCCCCCTTAAACAGGCCGTTAGTCAAACAGGCCGGTCACGCGTGATTCACCTGTAACGGCGACAGCGCCACGCCCTCGATCGCGCTCTGCGCCTCGAGCAGCTGCCACGTCAGCTCCTCGCAGCGCCGCGCGGCCGCGTCGCGCCCCCGCTCAGATCGGTCGCGCGCGACCGCCATCTGGTCGACTTCGCCGCGGAGTTCCGCGCGCGCGGCCAGAAGCTGCTCCTCGCGCGCGGCCGCGAGCGACAGCTGCGCGCTCAGCTCCGCAACGCGCCGCTCGAGGGCCTCGTACGCGGGTTTCAGGGCTTGGAGCGCCTGAGGGAAAGAGGGAGTGAGCGGTCGGGACTGGGACTTCACGAGAAGCGCTCTTTGCCCTGACTTCCCTGGGTTTGTCCCATAGCCAGCCTTTCTCTTCCGGGTTCGATTGCATGTCGAGAATCGCTCACGAAGCCGACGTTAAACACTAGTTTCTTTGCGGAAGTTGAAGATCGTTAAGTTGTAGTGAAAGGGCGAGACTCCGCAAGAAGGCCTAAAACAATCTCACTGCAATCTCAGGCCGTTGCGCATCCTGATAAGAAGCATCTTATATGGACCCGGATCCAAGACTAAACCGCAACCCTTCCGCAACCCTTTCGATTCTATGAAGGGTAAGCGCCAAGAAGGGTAACAGCCACACTTACTCGAAACATTAAATCAAAGTTTTACACGCTCCGCATTCGTACCCACCCTAACCCTAGCCAACCCCACCCGTCCATAGCGTTTACCCTTTATGGCGCTTACCATTCATTAATCTGATCGATATAACCCTTCCCCTCACCTGTCGCAGTCCTTTGATCTCGTCTTCCTGGCCGTCGATGACGCTTTGCCCCGCCTGCGCCCGGTTGGTCAGGTCCTCCACCCGGGCCATCAACCGACCAATCTCCTCCCGCTGCTCCGCGCTCGCCGCCTCGAAGCTCCGGGCGATCTGCTGCGCCTCCTCCCGCCTGCGTGAATGGCAGTAACACAGAATATAAGACTTCAGATAACGAATATCCATTTTGTGGTGCTTTGATACAGCGGTAGGTGTTTGGTGTTCTGGGCTCGTCTGGGCTGGCTGCTGTCGATTAGCCCTCGGAGGGGTGCCGCCAAACACCTATGGAAGTGTTTCCGCTTATGAAGCAACGAATCTGTTCCCACGAAGCTGTGGATTGCTGACGAAATGAAGTACCTTCGTGAGGTCCATCTGAGTCAAAATCAAGGACCTGCTTACCGAACACTGAGGGGCTATAAGCATCTCCATGAGGTGCACGGGACACTGAATGTCGGTCGGGTTGCATGCATGCGCCCAACTTCACTAATGGAATTCCTCGACTGCGCCCGGGGCTTACCACCGGTTGACGAGCTGGTCCTTGGACGCGATGACGTCCTCTGCCTCGCGCGCGAAACGCTCGTACAGCGCAACGGCGTCGTCCAACTTGATCGTCAGCGACCGGACCTGAGGGGAAACGGAGCGTATCACTTCAGACGCGTAAAAGAAACGAGAACATCGCCTCTTTGCTCGTCACGACCAAAGTCACAGAAGTGGTCTGGTGCTTCATAGCCTCGTTAAGGCATGGTCATCAGCGAACGGACCTGAGAACGATGGATTTTACCCTCTGGGACACAAACGAAAGGAGGCAGAGCAGCGCTTGAAGTCCCCCGCAAAAGCAGAGCCATGCGCCCTCTCCGCTTTTAGCAAGGGCTCAAAAGAACTGGCTCGAAAAGGTGCTCTGATCCCGATGCTGCTGGGTCGATGCTCTGCCACTACATACCATCAGTATCAATGAGGAATTCGACCTTAGCATCAATAAGGATAACCTGTTATCTGCTTGTGTTAAGGGTTTTGGGATTTGGAGGTTTTTGCTTCTTTGTTCAGTTGCGAAAGGGCCGCACCTGGGTCTCCTTCTCAAGCCGAACTGCCTGTACTTCGTCCCGGGCTCTCTTCTCCACCTTGGCTTGGCCCTTGCTGAGTGCCCGGTTCGTTCTCTCGAGCTCGTCCACCGTCATCTCCAGCTGCTGCAGCACGCCTAGCTTCTCGTCCAGCTCGCCCTCTACACGCTGCATCGCGGGTTGTGCGCAGGTTTGAGCACTTTAAAGCCCGTTGGAGGGAGTCTTAGACGAATGATTTACACATGAATGAGGTTTGTAACCGAATCAGCTTCGGCCTTCGAGCAGGTTTAGGATGTGCTTGGTGCATATTGAGTCCGGATACAAAATGTGTGACAAGTGTCGAACAGAGGGGATGGACAGCGATCTCGTAGTCGGCGGCTGATTCCTCAAAACAGGATAGAAATTGAACAAGAACTCTATTTGTGCGATCAGTTACTGTCAAACGTCTTTCTCAGTGCCGCACAGCCAGGTGTCAACTGTAGCTGAGGTCGCGCGCCGTGCGGCATCCCTCGCACGCTCTCACCTGCAGCTGCCGCCCCAGGTCGGCCGCCTGCGCGAGCAGCGCGCTGCGCTCGCGCTCCCAGTCGTTCATGCTGCGCTGCGCCGCGCTCGAGAGGCTCGCCACCTTCTCGAGCGCCTCGTCGCGGCCGGCCTCCGCCTCCTCCGCCCGCGCGGTCGCGGCCGCCAGCTGCAAATATGGTGCCGAGGGAAAATTATGAACGACATTCGAGAAAGACGACCAAATAGAAGGAGGCACGAAGTGGCCGCTATGTCCTGAATGTTGTCACAAGAAGGAACTTTTTCCTTCGTCCGAAAATCCGAGATTTTAATCCTGTCCGGACAAACGAGTTGGTCTGCGGGAACGTATGCGACCGCCGCGCCTTTGCTGCCTATACAGCTGAGCACCTTCTTGATCAGCACTGAAGAAAGAATACGTCAGCAAGTCGTTTTCGCTCTCGCACATGCAGCTGCGAATTGAATGTAACCGCATGCTTTGCAGCTGATTCGTACTCCCACAGTCACTCTCAATCTTAAACTCTTCCAATATTCTTGCAACAAACTGCCGTCGGCTGACGTCGTCACCCCTCACCTGCGCCGCGTGCTTGCTGACGTCCTCGACGCGCCCCGGCACGAGGTGCACCGCGCGCGCCTTGAGCTGCTCCATCTCCGCGGCCGCGCTGCGCTTGTCGCGCAGCGCCCTGTCCAGCGTCGCGTGCAGGTCCGCGCACTCGGCCGCGGCCGCGCGCGCCTCCGACTGCGCCGCTGACAGGGCCTGGGCGGCGCGCGCGGCATGGCTGCAAGGTCACGAGGCAAAAGGTTTTACCTCGATAGTTATCGAGGCTTGAATGTGGGGCAGACTCGAACGACAGAAAGTCGTTGGGCTCTTATCCTAGGAAACTGGATAAAAATCTTGCTTGACAACAAACCATTGCCATAGAACGAGAACCTTAACTTCCAAAAACCTGAAGTGTGGTTGAGGAATCTTTCTTGAAGAGACCCACCGGTTGACTGGCACGCGTCAACTGCCCGGGGTCTTTCCTCGTAAGTTCGCAGAAGGGGATTGTGGGGCCCCTAAAGAAAGGTGCCCAGTCTAGTTCCGATGCTCGGCCCGCCAGAAATCGCCCAGCATTTTGGCTACAGTCACGAGATTCGCGGTCAGCGTGTGAGCGGAAACTTATGTAGCCATTTTCCCCACGAGGACTTGAAGGACTTGAATAATGAAACGCATAAGCTAACTCCGGCCTCGCGCGCCGCTCACCTGGCCAGGTCCGCCTCCCGTTTGTTCGAGAGCTCGGTTCGCTGCGCTTCTAACCGCTGGGTTAGACTAATCACCGCCTCCTCCGCTCGGGCCAGCTTGGCCTCCCCTCGCGTCCGCTCGCTGCGCGCCTCCTCGGCCTGGCCACACCGGAGCGCTCGTGGGTCAGCGAGAGCATTGAACAGAATGCTGGCAAGATCAAGAAGTTTTTCAAAGGTCGTTTATGCGGGGTTTCGTTGAGCTTCGGGCACAACTACAGACCACAGCCCGTGCGGTTATATCTAGATTGTTCTGGTAGGGCACCGTTCTGGGTCCTATGTTTCAATCTGTGCGGCTCAGAAGGCACAGCCATTATGAGTGATCGGGTCCGGAATTTCATTTGCGCACTATGCTTGAACTTTACTGTAGCCCATATAGTAGCTCAAGCTTCATATGTTGCATGCCATACCCTCACAACAACAGCTCCATCAGCAGTATCCCTTGATACATCTATGTTTTCGTCGACAACGAGATCTCATCCGCATGCACAAACTTGTGACTTTTCAAACGGCACCGATGTCCAGCACCGCGAGTTCTTGCACCCCTCACCTCGTCCCTTGCCTTCTTCACGTTCTGGAACGCCGTCTCGTCCTTCAGCTTATACTCCTTCAGTCGCACCTCCAGCGCTGCGGCCGCGCGCCGCGCCTCGTCCGCCTCGCGCCGCGTCGCCGCGAGCTCGCGCTCGCTGCTCGCGCACCTCTCTCGCCACGCGTCGACGTCGCGGCTGGCGGCCGCGAGCGCATCGGCGGCGATGCGCGCGCGCTCCTGGGCGGTCGTGGTTTGCGCTTCGAGAGCGGAGACGTCAGCGTGGAAGCGGGCTTGCGCAACTTCGAGCCGTCTGAGATCAAGAAAGCAAAAAATGTTCTATTATAACCTATGCTTGTTACAACGAGGTTCCTTAGTTGTAGGCTGGGGTACGAAGAAGAGTTGCTAAGTGAAAGGCTTCCTTTGTCGCAAGCTGTTGTACACACAGATGTTAGTGTTCCGCGAGTCCGCTCTGACGACCGACACTTACCAACGGGAGCACAGCAGGCCAACTCTAACACAGTACAATCGGCTTTTTAAAAGCAGAACTTGAGTTGAAACCAGCCGTTCTTTGTTTCAGAGGACAGAACTGCGTGGCGAATTGGTTTCTTCCTTGGGTGGCAGAGGATTCGTCCTTGCTTTCAGGGCTTAGCTCAGCATTGTTGCTTATTTCAACTTTGTTCAGACAAGCCCGTAGTGTTTCAGCCGTAACATGGATTTCGGCTTCCGCAATTTGCCACGTCCTGCACCGCCTCAAGCAACAGCCATTGTATCGCTTCCTCGTTTTTGACAGCCTCGACATGTCAAGAACCTAACGAGTTTTCTTGGAAAGCCACTATGAAAGGAAATAAGAAGAAAGCTTGACCAAAATCACTCATTCCTGAAACCACCCCCACCTATCTGCCCGTTAATTTATTTCCAATTATGCCCCTCCCAACGAAAAACAGTATTTCTCCTTGAAATTCCAAATCCCAACACCAAACAATCCCAAAGACCCGGAACCTGGTAACCAGAACTCTCGACGTAAATCTCGCTTTCATGAAGGTAAGCGCCAAGAAGGGTAACAACAACACTCAAAACTTAAACCCAAAATCAACACGCTCGGCAACCGTACCCACCCTAACCCGCTAGCCAACCCCACCCGTCCCATTGCCCTTCAAGGCGCTTACCCTTCACGATATCGACCGGAATCTGGTGAGCCCGACAGTCGAGATTCTTCTACAGCACAAACTGGGAGCTTAAAGTGGGCGTAGGGCTCGCAAGCTCATCTGCATCATGGACGGTGTTTGCAGCTGGGTTGAATTTATCGGACGGTTCACAGATAGCCTCTTCAACTCGCCCTCAGGACTCAGTCTCACTAGCGTGGTTACGATATACGACGCCCACTTTAAGCAGATTCCCACCTTCGGCAGTCTGCCGCGGTCTCCTCGGCGGCGCCTTTCTCGGCCTTGAGCCGCGCCACCTGTTCGATCACCGCGTCGTACCCTTCCGCCAGCTGGCGCAGCTCCTCCTGCCGGCTGCCGCGCTCTTTTGCGCCCCGCTCTAGTTCCTCTGCGGCGCTCTGTGAGCGCTCGAGCAACTGCGCGACCTCGCGCTGCAGCCGGTTGTCTGGAGGAGAGAAAGAGCGTTAAGAATAGGTTAGGCAATGGCGTGACAAAGGCGCTGTTGAAACTGGCTTAGGGAAAAGCTGGTTCAGGTTGGGTTGCGGAAGGGCACCTTATCAGGCTCGGGTAAGGTGGCAGTTGGAGCGGTTGAATAGTCCACGAATGCTAGGAGGTAAAATCGGCTACAAAAATCCCGTTTCTGTCACGAACTGCAAAAAGCGCTCCGGAGCGGCTTTCTGAACAACCTGGTAGGCTTCGAAAACGTAAGCAAAGCCGCAGAATATGAGAGACGGGCTCGAGAGTGTGAGGAAAAATGCATCAAGTGGGACTCCATGGGGCGTTCTGCGAAGAGATTTTGGCAGCCCACGATGTACGTTGGCAAACATTCAATAGGTCCGAAAAAAACCTTTCACCCAGTTCTAGGCGACGCGAACAACGGCAAACCTTGAATCAGTTCAAACCCAAGCTTTGACCATTCTAGGCCACACGATAAGACTGCGCAGAAATCGTCACTGAGGGCGCAGGTCCCGGTAGCTTACTCTCCGCAGTGGTGGTCGTGAGCTGCCCCTGAGCGCGAGAAAGTTCCGCCTCTAGTTCCCGCTGCTGATCCACCAGCAGGTCGTTCTCGCGCGACAGCAGCTCCAGTCGGGCCATTGCGTCGGAGTCGCTGCTCGGAAAGGTAGGCACGGGTTAGGCTAAGGAAGAACTAGGTCGGGGGGGAAGTTTTTCGAGAGCGGGCGTCTGAAGTCACCGTCGAAGTGAAGCATGCAACGGCTAGTTCAGAAGGAACAAGCTTCCTTTGGATATCTGGCCAGAAAAGTTTTGGTCATTGGCCTGAGCATAGAACAGTCTCTGGCGGACAAGAAAGAGTCTATCATTCTCCAGTAACAAAACGTTGGACCCATGCAATAGGCTGTTTGTCTGCTTGAAACAACTCGTGGTCCCCACGTAAGCGAACGACGGGATGCTTCCAGAGGCATACAATCAGCATCTAGTCCCTGCCTTACTCATCAATGACACAATTGATGAATTTAGTTTTTTCTTTTCTTCGTTCTTTTCTTTTCCCTCTTGTAAAGCCGCTGGGGCTGGTCCGTCAGCCCAGAGTCTTCGAGCTGGACTTTGAGGTTTCGTGGTGAAACTGAAAAAGCTGAAACCTGAAATGCATCAACTGCCGCAGGGTAATCACGCTGAACCGATCAAGTTCCGCACAAGGATCTCAAGAGCTTCCGAGAGGCGGAGAGTTTTGCTCGACGTGGCCCATATTGCTTCCGTGCTGCAAACAATGGCAAGAATAACCTTCTGGAAGCATGCCCGAACAAGTTTCCAAAAGCCTCTTAACAAAGCCCCGGTCTTAAAATGCTTCTGGATACACATTACAACCACACCACGTCCTCTGAGCTCGATCTTCAAAAGCTCAACCAATCATTACCTGCCAGGTGGCGCTCCCTCGGCCTCCCTGCTCTGGATGACGTGCATACAGCGCTGCACTTCGGACAGCAGGTGCTCGTTTTCGGACACAAGCGCGTCCACCTGTACGGACAGCTCCTCGGCCCGGGCCTGCGGACAAGCAATGACACTTTCATATTACAGCTGTTTTCAATCAACCTGGCGATCTAGATAGAGAGGGAAGCTTAGAAAGTTAGAAAAGTTAGTTGTTGCTATAATGTCGCAGACGGGACTACTAGTCTATCCATCTACCTTTTGAACTTTCCCTCTCCTATCTGCATTGGCAGGTTGCGTCAAAGCGCTGTTGTAACCAAAAGGAATAGCCCTTGGGACGGGTAGGGTTGCTTTGGGGGTTTTTGGTGGTACGCTTGTGGAGCAGGTAACCCTTACAGGTTAGGATTCTAGTGTTTGGTTTTTGAGCTTACTAGTCCTAAGGCTTACAATCCTAAAGTGTCGCGACATCCCCCAGACATGCTATGACAACAGACAAGACTTTGGTAGCCGGACAGTGGTGCAGGCGAATGGCTAGTCACGTCGTCCACAAAGGATTTAGCTATCAAGAGATTTGAAGTGAAGATGTTGTATCTCGACATCAAGTGCCCCTTATACTCCTCCTACTCCCTCGGTCGTTGCTGAGGCTGCAGACCATGAACATTGCTTACCACGAAAGCAGGAGTGTTTGACAGAGGGGGAAAACGTGGTTGGACACAAACGATAAGGGAGCAAAGTTTGGGTCTCCTGATGTCCATCATAAAAAGTGGTTGGAAGTGTTAAACATGGTCAATGGACACAAAGCGCCTCATCTTGTTTGGTGCAAATAAGTCCCAAGACAGGACTCACTCAACAATCCACTCTCTGTCCTGCCTCCAGACTTTCAACAATTGCAGCTCACAGTGCCTTTCCTTTCCCAGCCACCGGGAAAGAAACTACACATTGCCCCGTACAGTTTCCTTCCGCAAGGTTTGCTGTCAAAAGCAGCCCCTAGCAACTCACCGTCCGCTCCTCAATCACCTCTTCCTGGTCCCTCAACCGCCGATCATATGCCACCATCAAGGGAGTGACTGCATCACTGTCGGCCAGCGACTGTGGCTGTGGACGGGGCCACCCTCCCGGGGGGCTGGCCAGAGGGCTGCGCCCCAGCCCCAGGGATCCCCCTGGAGAGGCGGCCTGGTATTGCGCCAGCTCTGCATTTAACCGTTGTACTGCAGAAGATTGGGCATCGAGTGCGTTATAAATCTGGTAGGTTGTGATGGGTATTGCGACCAAAGGCTTTCTGATGCCTTAAATGCGGACAAGTCAGAGGGCCGACAGGTGGCTGCCAGCATATGGCACGTCATTATCCACACTGCTCCTGTCAGCTGTCCAAAGAGCAGGGACTTTTTGTTGGCTTCATTGATCGCCCCTACTGCACATCGTCCTGCTGTATTGGAGTGTTCGAATCAGGCTGGGTCGACCTGCACTATGCTTTGATGCACACCTCATCCATCCAGGTCAGAATCTGGGTGCAATAAGCTCTTCATCTCACCACCTCGCAGGCATGCCACCGCAGGCATGCCACCTCATCGTTTGGCAGCTGATTGTGATGATGACAGCAGCATTGGTCACAATGTCTTCAGCAAAGCCTGTTTGAGTCAGCAATTCACAATGCGGCATCTCTTTGCGTTCCTGCATGAAGGTAGCTCTAACCTCAGTACATCAAACCCGCCAAACTCACCAACTCTCCCTCTCAGCGTGAATCACGACCTGACTCCGGTTCAGCACTTACCTTGATCCTCCAGGAACCGCATCTGCTGCAACAGCGCATCAATTTGCTCGCCCTGCGCTTCTTGCGTCTCTGAAAGGACTGAGCTCAGCAGCTGTCGCTCTGACTGCCGGCGGCTGGGGGGCACCCCAATGTCGCTTTCCACCAGGACCACCGAGCGCGGGGGGGAGGGCTTGTGGGCTGGGGCGTCCTCTGAGGAGCCCGCCATCTTGCCAGCAGAAAGGGTCAACTGTGGCCTGACTCGGTGCTCTTTGAACCAGCTGAACGTGCACAGCTTAAAGTTCAAGCGTTGGAAATCGGACTTTGGTCTATGCGGAGAACTACCGTTAAAGAGGTCTTGGTAGCGTACCTGGTAGCCCTATAAGATGGTACCTATAGGTAACTCTGAGCTGATCAATCCGCAAATGAGGTGGCCTTCAGCTAAGCGAGCTCGTTACTGTGCATCGAGACCGTCCAAATCGTTTCATCTTTTGATCGGACGGCATAACGCTCCCATTTTACGCTCGCGCGCAAAGCATAAATTTCCGGCCGGTGGCAACTACAAGGTCTGCCGCGCGAGGAATCATCATCCTTGGACCATCATCGCAGCTGGTCAAAAGCTTGTTCAACTCACTGCGCGTATCGAAGCTAATTCACCTATACAGCTTAGTGTGACTCCACGCGATTGATCAGATGGAAGCAGCTTGTGCTCATCCATGGCGAGTTATAAGCCCGCTCCTTTGAGTCGAGCTATTCAGCTATTGGTTGCACCTTCAAGACATATAGCTGCGCACGCATGCATGGTTTCCGCATGCAACGTTGATGCCAACAAAGTCTAGCTTCGAAATAGCCTATGCACCTTATGTTGCATCAACTTTTTGGCCCGTGATAATCTTGAGCAGTTGCAATGAAACGTGCATAATTGCATGTGCACGACAAGTCTTGTGTGGCATATCATCTGTGGAAGCCTAGCGAGGAACTTGGAAGCATCAAATGCACCCTCACCATCACTGAGTCACGTTTCACCGTCAGAAGCAATATTAACTCAAGAGCGAGACTGTCGTTCTGGTGGTTTGTTTGGAAGCAGCTCTTGTAGGGAAGTGTAATTTTCATTCACAACTGCTAAGCTGTTGTGTCAAGTTATAGTAACTCCTTTCCGGCTTGTGTTCATGTTTCTCACCACGTTTGTTCCAGGATATGCAAGATTGACTAGCCTCAACATGATCATTATCTACAGGATGCACCTTTCCGTCTTTCTATACAGGTTGGGCGTCTCATGAAGCCACCGTCGGCTCGTAGCTCTTTCAAAAGTTCGTAACCTCGTAAAGTTACTCAAGCACCAGTAACGTAGGGCTAAAAGGCAGCCGTGTCGTACGACTTAATGCCACTGTCCATCCTCGTGAAGACGGGTCCATTGGCCCCGGAAGAGGGTGGCGTTTTTGACACTCTGGGGCTCTCGAACAGGGAAGCGTAGTAGGTGGACGTTGGCGGTACTGCAGCACAGGGGCGTTAACGTCAGTAGTTTGTTCTCGGCAGCCAAATATTGAGGTTAACTGTTAACATCTTTCTAAGCAGGGTTTGGCAAAGCTGCGGCCAGTCGGGTGCCCCCAGATCGTGCTTCGGACGAAATGACGGTTGAGTGCGCTTGCAAAGCTGACGGGAGTGAGGAATGAGCATGCATGTTGGACTGGCCTAAGCTACAGTATCCTTCTCGACTCAAACGTGAACATACAGTATCCTTGCAGAACAAGAAAACTCACCTTACATTTACCTTGATCAAGAGCATGACAGCATATGGCAAAATCGCAGGAGCTTCCATATGTACAACACAACTGACGAGTAGCTTCCTAGCACCTCGAACGGCAGCATTTGGCAAAGAACTCTCATCCCTGTAGTGAGCAACTTCTTCTCTCAAGCAACGCAGCCACCAGGAGCGCATAACTTCGATTGAAAGGTACCACATTCGACGAGCGTGCTAGTGTTTCGAGCAACAAACCAACGGCACAAGCGCGGATAGCGTACCCTTGAGATTCGGCAGGTTATGGCCGTTCGCCTCTCCGCTGCGGAGCGACGCGCGCGTGGGGGTACCGAACGCGACCGCGTTATCCATCAGGGCCTTCACCGGCTCCAGCCCGTACGGGTCGTTCTTCTCAATCACGGTCAAAACCGTGCCGCCGCCTGTGAACAAGTAGTACCTGGCAGAGGTATCGGATGGCATGTGAAAACGCAATCAGCCAACCGGAGCTGAAACGCCGTTGCAGGGGCTGCTGTGCTAAGGAAGCAAAGCGTCGAAGTTAAGTGTTCGACTCTTTTTTTCAGATACCCGGTTTGAGGTTTGTGCGAATGCTTCGAGTCTGTACCGAAGCACGGAAACCAACACACAATAGTCGAAGAGCGGTTGTTCGAAGCAATGACGGGAAAGGGAAAGGGTACGGTGAACGAAACTACGGAGTGCGCATGGTCGTATAAGTTCAGAGACTTCACCAGGTTCGCGTAAGCATCTGAGAATCTCCATGCAAGCGCCTTTCAAGATCAGGCAGGACGCTGGCAAACTTCGTATGATACCTGGCATTCCTCCTGTCTCTCGGCGCCGGTCAACCCAAAACCGCACATGCCGCAGAAACACTGCTCCGCAAAAAGCTCGGCTAGGCTGCAAATGTTGCCGCCAAGCGACAGAGGAACAAATCGCTCTGGGCGAACAGGTGTGACGTCAGCATCGCAATTCTAAGCTGCGGCGGTGCTCACTTTGAATTGTCGATCGCGGCATGGTACAGACCGGGGTTGAGCGACTTCAGCTCTTGCAAAGTGTCACCACCGCCTGCAGGAAGAGAGACCACGTTTTCATTTGTCCTTTTTCTTACGTAAAGCAACTCGGCCTTTTTGTCTTGCGTTGAGACCTTTGAGTCCAGGCCTCTCCGATCCGAGGAAGGTACGGACCGCATCCGGAGCAACAGCGCTATTCGAACACACGAACTGTGACCAAACGACCCACTTCTCAAGATCCAAAAGAGGACTCCTTATAGGGGCCTTCCAACTTTCTAGGACGAAACATAAGCCTCGACAGGACCTGCAAACTTTGTGTGGGACAAGAGGGAAAACGAACAAGGCAGTGCAAACAACACTGGGCACGTGTCAGATCTCCGACCTGCTCAAAAGCCGCGACGTCCAAATTCAGAATGCCGCACGCATCTGAGCCTCACCGTAGTACTTTTGCGCGCCCGTGTTGCTGTCGATGACTTCGTCCATCTTCTTGGTGCCCTCGAAGAAGAAGGGCGTGAATCCCATGACCGCGTTCACGAAGATGGTCTTGGCCTCCGACAGCGCGCGCGCCACCTCCGGCACCTCGAACGACTTGGGGTCCGTGTCCAGGATGTAGCCTGCGGGGTGTGTCTATAAATTTCCGGTCAAGAACTTCCGTATTCGTTACGACTAGCTTCTTCTTCAGGGTCGTCCTTGAATCGACTTTCGAGTCCCTCTCCAGAGAGTCATAAAACATGTGTGAAGTACTAGTAGTGACACTTGTTTGCGGAACACCCTTCAATAAGTGCGGCCAGCATTTGGATACCTTCTACGACAAACAAATTCGATGCTCAATTGGAGTAGGCTTCTTTAGGGCCTACCTCTTTCGAAGAGGTTCCCTTGAAAAAGAATCAGCTCGCCATCAAGATAGTCGGCGGCTTACCGTACGAGTGGCCGGGCTTGAAGTCGGCGGTGCTGATGGTGCGGTACTGGCCCTCCTTGCGGCCGTCCAGCGTGTCCGACTCGACCAGGTACGGCAGCTCCACCAGCTTCTTGGCCTGCCAATCAACAGCCGCCACGTCAGACCCTGAAACCGCGCTAATGATTTGAGGACGCGAGCTCCTTCAGAAGCCTCTGCGCGCACTGATGCAGGGTCCTCTTGCCTCAGAGAGACTGTGAGATTCTGGAACCTTCGTTCATTACTTTTGTAGGCTGGTCGGAGCAGCACGAGGAACGAGGAAGCAGAATCGCAGCCCGTGAAGCGAGAGAACGAGCTCATATTTTTGAAAGAAGTGGACCTCGGGTTGTCACCTCAGACAGGTCCCACCCTACCCCGCGAAGTGCAAAAAGAGCGACGAACTTAGGAGGTACAAAGGAATGACAAAGATCCCAACAGAAAGCCACGAGTGCTCAACCGATTGAGCAGAGCAATCAAAGTCAACGAGAACGACAAAAATCCTCAATCTCAGCCCGGCACAGCAACGCGGAAGAGCGCGCGCGCACCTGCTCGTGCCATTTGACGAGGCCCTTGGCCAGGTGCACGTCGGACCATCACAACACCTCTGGTATCTGATTGATAGACAGAGCAATCAAAATCGACAACGCCGAAAACAACTCTTGATCTCAGCCTGGCAAACGCGCGCGCACCTGCTCGTCCTGCTTGACGAGGCCCTTGGCGAGCTCGACGTCCGAGTCGTCGACGCCCTTGATCTTGACGCCGTACTTGGCGCACAGGTACGCGTTGTACACCACGCCGCCCAGCAGCAGGTGGTCCACCGTCTCGTAGATCTTGGACAGCGGGCCGATCTTGGTGTCGTACTTGGACCCAGCCACAACTGCGCGCGTGCAGAAAAAGGTCAGTCAAGGGGGTGGAAACGCTACCTAATAGCGGGCCGATCTTGGTGTCGTACTTGGACCCCACCACAATTGCGCGCGCGCACAGAAAAGGGTCAGTCAAGGGGGTGGAAGAAACTTCCTGCGGATCCTCAGCGGGCTGGCGTTGTACTCAACCATTGCGCGCGCTGTGGACCGGGGGAATCAGTCGAGGGGTAAAAAACAGCTGCCTACAGGATACTAGCTTCTTTCGCCAGCGGGCTGGTTTTATATTTGGTACTGCTTGCATAGTGTCAGGCGCCACCAGCAGAAATGATACAGCAAACCGGACGTTCGGGGTCGTACTTAAGCTAACGCACTTATGTCGCACATCACAGTTCTGCTCCCACCTCGTTTTTTGGGACGGTTCCTTCTTTCGAGCAGAAACGTAAGAAACTCTCAAGAACGGGCCGACGGGATTGGATGCAACTTATTGCTGTCAGGTGGGCGGCCGAGCTACGGAAGCTGCAGTTTGACCTTCCGCCCATGCACGCCCGGCACAATGACTAAGTTTCGACCCAAGATTCAAAGTTACATCTGAAAGAGGATAATGGAAAGTCAAACTCACTGGAGACGAAGGGGCGACTGGGCCGCAGGATCTCGCTGACGTGCTCCAGCTCCGACTGCATGAGCAGGCCCGCGTAGCTGGGCAGTAGCTTGGTGATGTGGAACGTGGTCGCGTGCGGCTGCCACGACCCGAACGCGTCGTTCACGTAGCAGTCCGCCAGGCCCGCCAGCTGCACCACGAACCGCTGCATCTGCTCGCCCTTGTCCTCCTCACCCTGCACGCAGCAAGTAAGTCTCGATGAATTGGAAGCTCGTTCTATCAGGCCTTAAAGTGGAAAAGCCGGATCCCGACGTTCACGTGCCAGCTGCACAACGAACCGCTGCATCTGCTCGCCCTTGTCTCCTCGCCCTGCACGCACAAAGAAGTGCAGCGGTGTCCTGGAAGGTGACAATCATAGATTCTTTTTGGGGAAAGCCAAATGGTAGTAAACAGCGCATTGTATGATGACCCGAGGAATGGTTTTTTTGCCCTGCGCACTTGTCTCCAAGGATTCAAGCGCGCTATTTGTACGGTTCGGGACGGCAATCTAGTGCACCAATCTGTGATTCGGAACTCAAATCCAAGTGAATCGCTGGGGTTGTCATGCTGGGCTTCTCATCACGAGCCTAGCAATCAAATGATGAAGGCTGCCGAAATATGGTCTATCTGCAAATTCATTCACCTCCGCTAGGTACTCCTGAGTATGCGAAGCGTGGGGGCCAATAGACGGGCAGTCGACTCCCGCTGCTCACCGCGAACCACCGGGTGTTTGGCAGGTAGATTCCGCCAATGCGCCTCTCTCGCAGGTCGTGGATCAGGTGGTTGATGCTCGTATCGATGTCCAGGATGCCCTTGTCTCCCCGCGGCTGGAAGTTGGGCACCGCAAACTTGATGCGCAGCTTGCGCTGCAGGTACGTCACTACGGCGTCCACGGCGTCGTTGGGGTCACACTGCATTGCGAAAACGTTATTAAAGAACTCGCCTTTGCTTCGGAGCCAGATCCAGCATTCGTGAGAGCAAGGGATCTGGATCAAGGAGTCTGCTCCATTTTGTGAAATTGTTGGTACTGGAGAATGAGCGCCTATCCGAAAAGTGGAAACGGCTTTAAGGACAACTTTAATCGTAGCAGACGACCAGACAATATACAACAGAATTCGTGTGCATCAAAGCTGTTCAATGAACAGGAAACAAGGAACACTTTTCTATCCAGGGGCCTTTGTCCGAATCCTCTTCTTCCTGCCTTTGTCTCCTATTCACCCCTGATTGAAAGCAGTGGTCGGCGCTGACCTTAAGTGTCTTGGTCTTTTTGTCATAAGGCCGATTCACGTGTGTCATCAGAATGGGGCGCCCTCCGCGCTCAGCAATGTTGTACCTGCCAGGAGGTGTGCAACTCGTCATCGTGGCCAAATGTTCAGTGGTGCATCAAGCGTTTCTAGGTTGACTAACTTAAGAAGTGAATTGGAGGGCGGCTATGCCTTCCTTCACACACTGATGCTGTGAATGTGTTTCAGGAGCGGTTAAACTTTTCCCAACAACAAAAACAGAAGACAATGAAGGCTTTGGAGTCGGATGCCCAATTTGAGCTTCGATGGAAAACATCTCTGTATAGTACTTCCTCGGGTTCCCAGCTCGACACACTAGGTCGAGATAAATAGGCAAATCAGCGATCGAAGTTTTCCAGCCACATCATTAGGTCTCTACAGCATCTTGTATGAACGACTTCATGTACCACCATCGACAAGCCAGACAACAATCTCCCAACAATTGAGCACTTACAATGTCGCCAACGTGCAGTCAATTCTGTACTGGTCCAAGATCTTCCCCTTCTTGACAACGTTGTGATCCTGCATGCAACATATTTCACAGAGTGTTTCCGCAAAAGTTCCTGCATAAGTGACCCTTCGCTAATCAAGATGAATCAGCTACAATCTCTTGCACCCGTTTTTCTCAATAGTACATAGATCAAGCACACACAAGTCAGACTGCTTATCACCGATCACTGAACAATCTGTGATGCCAACTTTTTCAAGGCCTATTTCTGTATCATGGATGAGGGTCAACGCTAAAATAGTTGAACAATCAGTAAGTTCTCTTTGATGCTACTTAGAGCGGAGAGAATCGGAGTATCATACAACAACTAGGAGGATCTGCCACAATAAGTGTCCTTAGAGGCACCGACTTGTGCAAATCAGCACAGTCAATCAGTGCAAGCCCTGCATTGTGCAGTCAGACCTCAAAAGAGATTTTTTACGCACCACTCGAAGCAGAACGATTTTGTCCTGCAAGTCCGCATCCTGGACCTGCACCAATCAGAGCACAGCATGAGTTTGGACACACAAGAACCAGTGCTTGATGTGATCAATGAGCATGAGTGATGATGGCCAACTTTTCATTTCATGTAAATCTACATTGAATTTACCTCCCAGAAGGTCACAGCCATCTGGTGGAAGCTCCCAGATCAAATGCATAGACCAACTCACCAAGGGCAAGCGTGGGTCCACCTTGTACTCATACTTTGAGTCGCCCATGCTTGCAGGTGTGGAGGAAACGCAAGTAGGCAATGTACTAAGAGTTGGTTATAGATCAATTCGTCTTCTGCAAATGAATCTTGCCTTTCCAGCGTCTTGAACAATTGTAGGGGAAACACGGGACTCTCAATTGTCCCTTGCTAGCAGAGAACGAAATGGCACCTTGGGATGCTGCCTAATCAGTATGCACCAAGACACCTCTGACACCTTAAAATCAGCTGCCAGCGAGAAATGATCACCAATCCTGCAAACATTCATAAACCAGCGGGTCGCCTCCTTCCTTGCAACATGTGCAGAGCTGGATGACAAGGAGCAATTGCGTCGCTAGCAACGTCTTGTTTCGATTCTTCGAAGTCAGGTACCTACATACGGTAGAAGAACAGCTGCGGAGTCCACGTGAAAATCTAATTCCCTCCTGACGCAATCTTATCAATGCAGTCGCTAATTGAGGAAGACAAAGTTGAAGGGTGTGGCGGCGCATGGCCCCGTTCAATCGCTTGCTGGTTTGTCGCAGAAAGAAAATGGCGCAAGGAATATCCAATCATTGCAGCCGAAAAGGATCACGTGGTTTGCAGACAAGTCATCAGTCGCTTCGCATGACGTCTGTTTTGCCCCTCGCTGTGAGGCTGGTGTCGTCAGCGGAGGCGGCGACGAGTGTATTCACTTTGGATCATTCGTGTCGGAAGCATCGAGCCAGGTAATCACTGAAGCCGTTCTCTCCGGCCAAATTCCTCTCGATGTAAAGGGGCCCCCGCGTGGATTCTGGAGTCCAGTCAGCTTCAGCTGCCAAGTCAGCAAACCAGATAAAGTCGCGAAGGCCCTGTGACGGTGCTTCTTCACTTCCGGAACCCACCATGCGCCCTGAGAACCCCCAGCCGAAATGGTTTGCTGACCAGCGCAGGGCCTCAGGCTTTGGTGGACTTTCTGTTGAAGCGGAACTTGCAAGTGATCATCGTCACGTGAAAGCCTGCAGCACATGCGGTAGGCTGGTCTTGCATTTGCTTGCCGCCCTTCGGCAGCAGACACGATAGATCTCCAAGCTGAAGTTCAGCTTCACAAAAGCTGTCTTCCCTCAGAAACTTCTGAAAAATTCTTCTTTCCGGCCAACTCTGTTTTGGAAAGTTGGCGCCTCAGCTGCTCAACCCGACCCTTTCTCTGCAAGGCTTCTCAATTCAAGTGACACAAGATGGGTGAGTGCTCCACCAGTTGCGATGTTGTCACAGGGCCTCTGCTGCAATTGGCTGCTTCATGCATTCTTCTCGTCAACGACTTTCTAATCCGATTTAAAGAAGGCATCTCAGCAGAAGCCTGCTTGAGTTTGTAAGGCTGACTAGTCTGGATTCTTGGAGCCTGCAGATTTTCTTTGTCTACTTAGTTTGGGGTGGTACTCTGCTCAGAAGTGGATGCACAGAGCGTGCTGAGACACATGTTGATTGTTTTGCAGCTTCATCTGGAAAGGCGAAAGTAGGGATCAATGGCTTTGGCCGTATTGGAAGGCTTGTGATGCGCGCGGCCTTGGAGAGGAGCGACGTGGAAGTGGTGGCAGTCAATGATCCTTTCATTGATGCAGATTATGCGGTCAGAACCTGGTGTTCTTCTCAACATATCTGTTGTAATGTATTAGCAAATTGGTTGACGTGCCAGTGGTCCTGAGCTTGCTCCTCTTCGGAACCATGGTGACCAATTCTCCTGCTTCTGCTAGTATATCTCTGATTCCATGCTTGGATCAGTTTCCTCCGGATATATGTTGTTTTGCGCCCCTGCAGATCTACATGTTCACCTATGATTCAGTCCATGGGAAGTACAGTGGGAAGATTGAGAAGAAGGACGCCCACACTATCAGTTTTGACGGACATGACGTGGCTTTCTATGCGGCAAGGTCAGCTCATACAACTTCTACAAATGCGATGGTTCAGACTCACATCCAGTAGTTTGTATTGAGCAGCGAGAATGTTTTGAATACTTTAGTCCAGCTTTCAGAACGTTTAGAAAATCTGAGTTCAGCTTTCTGAATGCACCCCTCTAGAAGTGGAGGGTGAATTGACATAACGCATTTGTTTGCATGATTTCAGAATTCAATTTGGCAACTTTCAAACTCATTGATGATTGAAACAAAGTGGATATGTGGCAGGGATCCCTCTGAGATTCCCTGGGGCAAGCATGGCGCCGATTATGTGGTGGAGAGCACAGGCGTCTTCACAGACATGGACAAAGCAGCAGCTCATTTGAAGGTGTGTGCTGCAAAAGTGATAGAGGCTGTCCTTTCAACTCATAGCATCTGTTTCGAGAAACTTGTGTGGTCAGTGTTGTTGGAATATAAGACTTATTAACCTGATGAATGCAACAATCTCCTCATTTCAACCCCTTGAATAAAAAGCTTGTCCTTGTATAATTCATCTATGCTGAAGCAATTGCTGAAATGCGGACATTAGGGATGGTGCAAGTCTTCCAGTATGTGTTTCAATAAATGCAGGGTGGCGCCAAGAAGGTGATCATCTCAGCGCCTTCGAAGGACGCGCCAATGTGAGTGTCTGCTTGGTGATGCCTCAGCCAAGGGCTCCATTTATATTGAGGGTTTATACGGCAGATCGCACTTCTCTAAGCATTCAGTTGAGCCACAAGGACAAACGGTAGCTGACTTGACAGAATCCCACTTGACATTGTTGGGTGAGTGCTTCGACTTCAAAGACTTTGTGCAACCAGTCTCAATGATATGATGTTCCTTTCCTCTTTTTTGGGCCACGTGCCCTGTTTGTAAAAGGATCGGTGACATCCTCTTTCCATTTAGGCCTATGATTGGTAGGCTGGAGTATTTTGCATGTGGTGGAACCTATCAGGGGTCAACAGTGGCCTTCAATAAATGGAGAAAGACCTGAAGGCCTTCAGCTCACCTGTATAGTTCTGCGTCATGTTTTGCCGATTTTGTGGTCTGTGGTGCTCAAGCTGCTTGAATTACTGCAGGTATGTCATGGGTGTGAACCATGAGAAGTACAAGACCTCTGACAACATCATCTCCAACGCCAGCTGCACAACGAATTGCCTTGCGCCACTTGCTATGGTGAGTCAGGCTATGCACCGCCACCCGCGCATTTCTCTTTTTGCCAATCGCAACCATGGCAAGTGTCCAATCCCTGAGAAACCTTCGCATTCTAGGCAAGCTATTGGCGTGTGCATCGAAAGTTATTTTGGTGGGCTATGTATCTAGCCTTCTTTTCTGGCAAATTACTTCCCCTGTTGACGATTTTTTGCCTTGAATCAATTGTAGGTCGTCAACAACAAGTTTGGCATCCTCGAGGGATTGATGACGACTGTACATGCTACTACCGGTAAGTTTGCGATCCACTCTGTTGCTCGTTTGATTGTGATTTCTGTATCCGCATCCTCTGTGGCACTTCCCAGCTCTTAGGACAGTTGGCACCATTCGAGACTTCTGTCTCGAAATTTGTCACCAAATCCTGATTCTTTTACTTGACAGGGTGCTGCGTTTTATGTCTCCCTTGTATGCATTCTAGCTCAGTGTTGTCTACTAACTGCTGCAGCCACCCAAAAGACCGTTGATGGGCCGTCAAACAAGGATTGGCGTGGAGGGCGTGGTGCCAGCACAAACATCATCCCCAGCTCGACTGGAGCTGCCAAGGTGAAACCTCCAGACATGACCTTTGACAAGCGACGCAATCTTCTTGATCGGCACGAACAGACTGTACCATGCCTATGAGAAGACAAGCCTTATATTGATCAGAGCGTAGGATGATGGCCAACGGGAAACGCACTCACCTTCTTATGAAGTCTCGTATAAGTACTTTGCCAAGAACGATTGACAATGGAGAAGCAATCAGGCGATTTGAAAAGTGGCAGGTGAAGGGGCTCAAAGCGCGCTTGTTACTCAAGGTTATCACCAGATGGTTAAAGTTCATGCTGCTGTTCTGTTTCCCAGGCCGTTGGGAAGGTGCTGCCCGAGCTGAACGGCAAGCTGACCGGCATGGCCTTCCGCGTGCCAACTGCTGACGTGTCCGTCGTGGACCTGACCGTGCGGCTAGAAAAGCCCGCCAAGTACGACGACATCGTGGCAGCCATCAAGTAAGCGGTTGAGACAGCAGAATTTTAGCTTGCGAGCATATTTGTGACGTATACTGAATCTTGCTTGCGACTTAGGAGTACCGTTGTATCAAAATTGCGAGTACAGAGAGGCTTCCTTGGACACGAGTCTGCGTACAGCGTCGAAGTGCACGTGAACTGGAAGCTCGACTCGTTTCGATACCCGGCTGGCCGTATCGAGCAATTTGTTCAATATGCTTCCGATGGCTTTACGAGAGGTTTTCTCGATGCGGTCGTGAGTCTGGGTTGACTTTGCATTGGCTTTAGATTGGGCCGGGCGCCATTATGCACTGCTGACTTGGCTGCGGCATGTGCCCCTTGCGGACGTCATATTTCAGACTTGGCGCCGCAGAAGCCTACTTGAGGAATGACTTCAGCAAAGGTCCGCTCACGAGCTGTTTGCTCTTTTGGTGCAGGGAAGCTGCAGATGGGCCGCTGAAGGGCATCTTGGGCTACACCAGCGATGACGTTGTGTCTCAGGACTTTGTTCACGACAGCAGGTGTGTTATCTCTTTCCGCGACTTAAGCAGCCTCGTCTTCAGCGCATTCGAGCGGCTATCCGTCACTCGGGTCTTTTGGGCCAGTTGATTTATTCAAAAGACTTCTTTAGCGCTTCCGATACCTCGTATGCTCGACCATCGTGATGGATTAATGGTCTGCAACACCCTATACGCTTGCATGGTAAGTAGACTTTACTTCCCAGCTTTTCCTCTTAAGAGAGGTGTCACTCAGGTCTGTCGGCTTTGTACCTTACATCTCTTTGTCTTCCTTCAGGTCGAGCATTTTTGACATCAAGGCCGGTATCGCTTTGAACGACAGCTTCGTCAAGCTGGTCAGCTGGTACGACAACGAGTGGGGTTACTCGAACCGTGTCGTTGACCTGCTCACCTACATCTCCAAGGTTAAGTAAATTGGTAGTGTCGGCGAATTGACGACCTCGAAGCAGATCTCGTAGTGAGGGACATGCTCAGCGAAAATACTCTTAGCTAGAGGTTGTTTCGAAGCAGTTGACACTGCCGATACTCAAAAACCACGAGCTGCAGCAATAAAGCAAGGCCCAGCCGCGCCTTGCGAATAGCAACACGTTGCTCACATACAGCAGATTGAGGATTTGACGTAGCGCCCCCATTAAGCTCTTGTACAGAACAGATATTACCGGCTTGCAAATTATCCAGAATGATCGAGCGAAACGACTGCGCCAAACTGAAGTCCACACATGCGCGCATGGGCAAATTTGCAACCGTTAGGCGTATGCATTGACTTTACCTACAGTGCTCGGAGGATGTTGTATCGCTGAGTGATACCCTTATAAGACCCGATCATGGCTAACCGCGATTTTGACTTAACGCAATGGCCGTATCCTTCAACGCAGCCGGTTCCGACTTAAAGTGGGTCTCGTATCAGGCATAATCTTATATCTGACAGGCTACGTGCTTCGAAGAGGTTCAGATAGCCAGGCCGGGCCGGAAAATCGATCCGACATGGTGCAACGTGGTCATGCAAGCTCTCGGCAAAAGACAGTAGCGGTTACAGTGAGCATTTTCTGCTCGGCGTTTTCTGGATACTGAAATGCTTCATGAGCAGCTAGCAGGTCCCGCATGCCATTATCATGTGGATCGATGTTCAGGCTCGAAGCTTGACCATGTTTGATCTCTTTTTGCGGATCGCAGAGCTAGTTGTGAGTCCCAATGGTCATGCACCGTTTCATGACACCTCTTGAGAAAGCAGCCTAATCGAGCACTCTTCTATCTCGGCTTTGCACGTATCCTGTCTTCAGCAGTCAGCTGCGAGCCTAATTTTCTGTCTTTCTCCTGGTGTGATTTCAATCAAACACGGTACTCAACAGGCGCAATTGCCCCAACAGAAGGCGTATAAGGAACTTTGCGCCAGAATTTGGTAGCGGGAACACAAGTAGTTAGCCTGCCGCAGCCTGCGCCGTTCCGTTGACACCCGCTGGCCTGTTTGCAGCCGCTCGCTGCTGACGGGCCTTCCGCAGCTCCTCTTCACTTTCGTAGTGAGCAAATGCGGCGTCAAGCATCTGCATTCCAGGATAACCAATCATCTGACGGCGCTCGTGGTGAAGACTCAACCAGACATCGAGTGCGTGACTCCTCCTTCATTTTGAATCAAACATTTCCAAGCAAGTTTGTATGTTTCATTGCAGGAACCCTCGTGAAACAGCGAGCAGCCCAAGAGAAGGGGAGGCTTTCGGGCCCACTTCAAAGCAGAGGCTGCTTTCGGCAGCCTGCTTACTCAAGACCGTCTCCTTTTTAAGCAAGACAACTGTGAAGAAGCCTGCGTTCAGGTACGTCATTCAGGCGCACTCGGAGAAGAGCTCCGCTTCATCGCAGCTACAATCTGCTGCAGCAAAAGTAAACAATCAAAAGAAGTGGATCACCGGATGCCGAGCAAATTGCCGGCCACGTGCACTCGGTACATGGGCCCCGGGCGACCCTTACCTGAAAGACTGGTTTGAAGAGCTGAGAGACCGGCTCCCGATACTCTGAGGGGATCCCCTCCTTGGTGCGCTGCATCCGCTCGTACAGCCCCGCCATGGCGTCTTTCAACCGGTTGGCCTGCAGTCAGCGGACCTATATATCATTCGGCCCCCGGGGGAGAACGCCGGGGCAGCTGGTCTTGCTGCAGTAGCTAGGGCTCCACAACAAAGAGTGCCACTAAAGAAGCAACTTTTGCCACTTCTTGGGAGCATTTGCTTTGAAAGTTCGATGGCTTGCAAACCACGAAAGGAAGACCGCTGCTCAAGCTTGATTGCCATTGAATCGAGCCCAACGTCCGATTCGCGGTTCCTTCTCGGCCTGTTCTCTACCGGCCCGGTGTTTACGCTCCCCTCTTACCTCGATAGCTGATTCCTACGCTGCGATTCACGAATTTCATGCGCCCAGGATCCGTCGAGCAGCATGGAACGGTACCACTAAGCAGAACCGTCGTTATGTGAAGAGAGCGGGGTCAAGAAGAAATTCGTACTTTCAAGGACCGAGGCCGGGGACGCTGTTTGAAGGGATGACGTGGCGAGCTTTCGGGCTTGACCGGGAGCTTCTCGATCCAGGATTGGCCCGGAGGAGCCAACCCCAGGCTTCCGCTCCTAAAACCCGCCACGTCATTCCTTCCAACAGCGTTCCGGATTGAGGAAGGGACACGCTTACCTTGTTGAGCAGAGTCGCGCTCGTGATCGGGTACGCCCCCCAAAAGTGCCGCAGCATCTCGTGCGCAGTTGCCGCACTCTGCGCCACAAAGCAAATGGAAACGGTCATACGAATGCTGGGCCTGGTTGATTCCGAGGTCACTTTCAGTCATTCCATTGTCGAGCAGGCATCTCCGTTGGAACAAGGTCCGCGTCGTCTTAAATACCACGGCTTGGAAGATCGGACTTGGCTTTAGGGCCAAAAGTTGGGTTATTGGGGTTTGCCTTTATTGACCTTCTGCCGGCTTTCAGATTCGACACATATCAATCTCCTACTATCCTCTTGTCTAGAAGGGTCAACGTACTCAATCTTCTGCCGTCCTCGTGTCCACTTGGATGAGAAAGAAGTCCAGTCGCTCCCTTGCACTTTCCCCTCAACTTTGATAACCAGCACCAATTCTTCTTCAAATGGCATACAAACATCCATGCTTTTTACAGTAGACAAGACAAGACGCTAGAGCGGCAGTCCAATCTAGGCGCGGCAACGCTTCCAGAGCTCCTGCGCCATGGGGGAAACGCGAAGCGTCCAAACGTACCTGGAAGACGTCATCTTTGACGGACGCCGGCAGTTGTTTGAGCAAGTCCTGCCCGGCCTTCTTGCCGGCGCTCGCGACCGACACTTGGATCTGCTGCTGCACCTCACTCAACACCTGGCGGTCAGGGTTGCACGCGGGTTAGGGTATAGGGTGGTTAGCGGTCAGAGCCCAGGCTATTTGGAGCGAGTTCAAATCAGAGTGGTGGTGGCTAGCGTTTGACGGGAAATGCTGTTTAGGATTGGGGTGTTTAATCGTTGGGGCTTCAGAAACTTGCGGGCACTGCGGTTGAAGCTGTGATGAACGCGCTCAACAAGTCGACTCGGGTCCATCGTCTAGTGATGATTGAGGGCGGGTGCAAAAGCCTCTTTAACTTGGTCAGCGCTCAGGAATCCTGCACCTTGGGCGTCAACGTAGGTTTTAACCCGTTCCCATCCGCCGTACCCACAGTCAATCATCCGGCATAACGGACCGTCAGAAACCTTGATGCAGCTCAGAGCCGCCCGTATCCGGCTTGGCGCTAACCCAATAAAAGTGGGAGTTTCAGAGAGTACGAAGAGAAATGGGGGAGATGCAGGACATGTAAACAGATCCGCGTGGCTCTCAGCTGCCACTCCATCTGCAGCCTCGAATCTCTTATCAGATTTCATGGAGAAGAGAAAAGTCTTTGAAGCACCATGTGGCAGAAGTGCGTGGCTTTCCCGTCGGTGTGGCAGCTTTTGCGCAGATTGCCGAGTAGCGGAGTGAAGGGGCACCTGGAAGGCTTTCGCGGGCGGCAGCACGCCGCCCAGTCCCTCGGTCCGCACCGCGCCCGCCTGCTCGCGCATTGCCGCCCAAAGCGCGCCGTCGGTCTGCGGCCCTCCTGCGCTGGTGCTTGCAGGACCGCCGGTGCTGACGTCAAAGTAACGCCGGGGGTCCTGGACAAGGCAGTGAGTGTGACATTCACGCGGAGAGGCTTTCGTCAGTGCGGAGGGAGAGACGTCTGGCGACTTCGTGTGTCGGAAGCGTTTGAAGGCTGTGTCCCAATGGGCAATAACCCGCTGTAATGATGCAGACAAGCCAGGCCGGTATCGTGACTTCGTGTCCTTCTCAAAACCTTGTAGAACCTTGCACAGATTCGCTGAGAGTCCTCAACGCGAAATGCTCACTAGGCGTTTTATGTGACCAAGAACGCGAAACCTAGAATCGTATGCAGTTCAGGGACCTTCCGAGATTCCGCGGAACCGTTGCTTAAAGCATATACGCGAGCTCACCTCGATGCGCAGCGGCACGGCGGGCGCCTGCGGCTGCGGGTGCAGGTCCGGCATGTCGGTCGCCTCTTGCAGCTTCTCGTGCCACCGCTGCTCGCGCGCGGGGTCGCCGTTTTCCGCTCGACTTCCGGCGACTGCAGCGGAAAAGGAGGCGATCATCAACATTGCAGCGGAAAAAAGCTGATTAGCGTCTGGCCATTTTTCGAATGTCGCAGCGGAAACCAGTTTTCGCTTTTTTAGGACTGGACATGAAGTCTGTTTCTCATTGAAGAAAGGGTCAGCATAGACTGCTGGTAGGGGGAGTTACCGCCTTCACGACAGCTGTATACCACAAAGAGAGTCAACAACTGCTCCAGAGGCAGAGACGGCGTTTTCCACTCCGCGTCCGGCAACTGCGACGGAGAGGAGGTGTGCAACGTTTCATACTCGATGAAACGGCATCCAAGCAGGAGGTTACAAAAACGAATCCGAGGCAGACTGCAGACGGGATTTCGTGCAACGGGTTGAAATGCAGGGGAGCAGAATGGGCAGCGTTGATGCGACTCAGGTGTTGGAACTTCAAAACACGAACAATTTAGAACTAGTTCTGTGTACTGGGGTATCCGGCGATAGACTGGACTACAGCGCCAAACGACGAGCGAGAGCTAAGCAGAGGAAAAAGCTTGTCTCTCTGCATTGGTGTCATCGGCCTGAGACCCTTGAAGTCCACAATGCTGTTCCACGTTTTTCCAAATCCAGAACCCCAAGAAATGAACGATAAGCGTCGCTCACGCTGCGCGGCCGCTCGGGCGGCATTCACGGCGGCCGCAGCGGCGGCGGGGTCCTTGATGTCCTCGCCTGCGAGAAACGAACGGTGTCAATAATTTCACAACTTACTTGCCAAAGGAAACATGACACCATCTATATGGACTGAAAAGGCTTTGCAGCCGCAAAGCTTCCTCGTACACATCACGCATGATTCAATCCTCTCGAAGGGACAGCTCCCTGGGTGCTTCGTTGTGAACTCTAGCGCCTAGATGAGACGCCGCCACGACGCATTCGTGAGGACCTTCACTGGGAAGCTGTGACGAGAGGAGACGCCCTGTTCTCTGAGCTTATCTTCATAAACCTCCCTATCATGTTGAAAAGTGTGTAAACGGACGCGTCCGGAGTGACGTCAAGAGCGACAAAGGGCCGATAATAGCAGCAGTGTTGGTCGCCGAGGGATGACATCAGCGCCTGACCACGAACTACCATCTCGGCCACCAAAAACCGGGCCTTCTCCAGTCTAATGTCGCTGCGTTTTTTGTCGTATCGCCACGGCCTCTTGAAATTGTCGCTGCGAAGGGAACTAGACTGGCAGCCTTACCTGCCGGCCTCCCGTCCAGGACCACCGCCGCGTGTCGGTTGATGTCGTGGGCAATCTTTCGTTTCTTGGCGCTTTCTCGTGACGGGCCGGCTTCTTTCCCTCCGTCCCTCAGCAACCCGTAACCCTGCAAATGGTCAAGATAAGTATTGAAGCAATCGCAGCTTTTAAGTGGCTCGACTTCAATGAGCGGCGATCAGCCCCTCGGTCACAAATGGACATCTTGACTTTGGTGAGAGTATCGCACAATCTTCCAGCCGGTTGTAGAAAGGAAAATTTTCACACGCCTTTGCGACGAAACTGGCTTCAGCGGCCTTTGCAGACCCAAAAAAAGTTGCACTCGAAGCTTCAAATCAAATCCTGCAAAATCGCCACATAGTTGGCGGATAGGATGCTTAAAAGAGGCTCATTTCAGGCATCAATCTGGCAAGATAAATCCAGCAAACCAAAACGGACATACGAAGGGAAGGTAGAGACGTTCTGTGATTCACACCTCAGCAATCGATCGAGCAGAAGAAAGACAACAAAGACGTTGGCTCACCGACGTGCTCTGGTAATAGTCGTCCGCTTGGTCCGCCGCCATGTTGAGCGTCGGGTCCACCCCGCGAATCTGCAAAGACAAATTGGACAGCTTGAGATGGGGATGAGACCTCCCCGGTACAGACTTGCTCAAAGCAACGGATGGAGGCAGCCTGCTACATAGAACGGTAGGCGTCAGCCTCGTACGCTCTACGCCGGATTGTTCGCAGAAAAGTCCTGCTGTCGAACCTATTCACCGACGAAAACCAATAAGGCAGCAGCATATGGGATTGAGCGGTCTTTTGAGTAGGGAAACCTTTCACACGCGATTCGGCAGTTAAGGCGTCAGCGGCCTTTGCTGAGTGCTAACCGGCTAGGGAACGCCCACTGTGTGCGGTCTGATTTACACCCTGCCGCTTGTAATCCATGCCGCTTCAGTCCCCAACAGTCTGTCTTGAGTAGCCATGTCAACGCACGATCCATTTGATGATACCTTTCGACCGTGAGGCGCCAGCGACCCTCAACGCCGGAGTATCCTTAGCTTTGTTGCTTTTCATACCACGGCCCCTCGTCCGTCACACTCTTCCTTGATTTCTATCCATCACATGCCATACCCTAATATCCAAGTCCTTTGTATCTCAGATTACGATCTATGCATCTTTCAAATAATCGAAACCCGCAGACAAACCAGGACTCCATACTCCGTAGACTCGTTTGTTCCTCCAGCGACCACCCCGCTTGGTCATTTACTAACCTTGGTTTGTTCCTCACGCGACGGCCCCGCTTCGTCGCTAAACCGAATCAGCTTATCTTGATTTGTTCCTCCTGCAACGGCCCCACGTCGTCGCTGACCCAACATAGTGAACGTTACTTCGTTCCTGCAACAACGGCCTGCGTCGTCATCAACCCGAAATCACTAACCTTGGTTTGCTCCTCCCGCGAAGGCCCCGCGTCGTCGTCCCGGAACATGGCCTCCGCCTCCTCGTCCATGTCGGCCACCGCCGCCTGCGCGCCCGCGCGCCGCTGCGAATGTAAATACTCCGCCTTGCAGTAGCGCGTCCAGAACTCGGCCTCGCTCAGCTGCGGGAACAAGGGGCAGAGCGTGAGCAAAGATTGACGGAATAGGGTTTGGGGAAGCATGTTGAAAACTTAGTCGGCCTCTCTTAGCTGCAATCAGAAGGGGGCAGAGTGTTATGAAGATGGGAAGAGCACGGTTTCAAATTGTGGAGAAGCATATTGATGACTTATTTGGCCTCACTCAGCTGCAATTGGATGGGGCAGAGTGTGAAGAAAGATTGCCGAGATAGGGTTTTTTTTTTTGTGGGGAGGCATGTTTGATAAGATAGTCGGCCTCGCTTAGTCGCGAACATAAGAGGCGGAGTGTGGGAAAGGAGCGGGGTTTGAAAGGAGGATTCCAAGAAGTGCGTGCTCAGCACTCAGCCCTTTGCTGAGGGAGAATATAGGAAGATGATAAAAGAGGGGTTTCGTATCCGTGGCAAAGCAGGTTGTTGTTCAATCTGGCTCAGCTACGAAATGCAGACTATGAGGAAAGTCGCAACGACGAGAGTATGTTTACACTACCCATCTTCCTTTTACGTGACTTGGACAAGTGAACATAGAAGCGCGTGGGGAAGAGAGTGATTGCTTTGCGTGTGTCGAGGCTTCAAGTAAGTAATTGTAAACTCGTTTACTCTCAGTTTCGAGAAGGTAGATGGCGAAACGAGACCGAGGGGCTTCCTAAGCATGGAAGACGCATATAGGGCATAGTCAGAATCAGAGCGCTCGCCGTTCTTGACGGCAGTGGAGTAGCCAGTTACCAGGACGTCATTCTTCGCACCATTACTCACTAGGCAGAACGGCAAGGGGGGCATAGTGCGAAGCAAGGTCAGGATTTAGTTTCGCTCTCACCTTGTCTGGCACGTTCTCCATGTATCGTTGCAAGACGAGCGGTCGCTCCTGGAAGATCTGCATGAATGATCGCCCTCGTTTGTCATCCAGAAAATCAGTGCCCAATAAGCCGGCTCCGTCTGATGCCCTTCAGCTTTAAGCATTCCCGTTTCCGCTCGTTCCGTTTTTGTCAAAGCCCCCTGTTTTTCTTGCAAAGGTCTGGACTGCTGGCCTCCGTCTGTGTACATGCTGCCTCGTTACGCGCATTTGTGACCGTTTCGTCTTCTTCCAGCAACGAGGATAGGCGGATAGCATTACGGCCTAGCCTCGAAAGAAGAGGGTAAGATGAAGTGCAGCTACTCATATCGATGCCGGGAGGCGGGAAGGACCCAGACATGCAAAAGGCTGCTCTTGCGCGGCAAAGAGAAGGAGCGGAGTTGAAAGCATACCGACCTGGTGGATGATCTGGGGGGTGAGGTTGAAGCTGACTTTGTTCGTCTGCAAGGACATCAACACAACAAGCTGTTACGAAAGACGCATTCCCGAAGTCTTCGTCCTCAGAACGCAATCTCCAAACTTTTCGTCCTCAAAACGCTCGTCCTCGGACTCTTAATCGCCTACAGACAGCTTACAGCGAGCGCGAAAACGCTGGCTTTCTTCTCGCAGGGAGCCCATTCGCGAAAGGGCCTGGTGAAAACTAGATGTGGGGCTCACCCGGCCGTCAACCACCGGCTTGAGGGCGGTCAGCATTTGGCTGGAGAGCCCCGTCTTCTGGTCCGACTGCTTGGCGGCCTCCTTCTCGAGCAAGCCCTGCGAAACATGCGCTCAACATGCACTAAGACGACTTTCATCCTGAGAGGGTCAAAATGCAAAGAAAGGTACCATAAAAGCTGGGCTTGAGGGTCGGATCGTTGCCACGGACAAGCTAATAGGTGCATCGAAGCCCGGAAACACACTTATTGATGGACAGGGAACAGGAGTAGACGGTGCAATGTGTTTGGGTCGAAAAGAAGGACCTTGGTAGGATAAGATGTGTCCGGCCACCATTTGCGGAAAGCAGAAGATGCGGGACCCAAATCGCCGCGCGTTTCCCCAACATTTTGAACAGCATATCCAGATTTACCGACGGGTCTTTGGTTCAACCTAAAATCCTATCACAAATACCCCCAAAACCCGAAAACCCAAAACCCGACAACCCGAAACAATACATGCGTCGGACGCTCGTACCTTCCGCGTGCTCCAGAACTCTGCGTCCGTAAGGATTCCTGTCCCGACGAGCTGCTCGTGCAGCTTCCGGAGATCCCTGCAGCCGGTGGCGTGGCGTCAGTCTCGCTTGGAACGTGACGTCACTCTGTGGGCTTGACTCGTCAGGCTAAGCAAATATTTGTCATACCGCACTGCAGGTCAATAACCTACACATGATTAAAAGCAAAACTAAACTTATGATAAGAAGTGGCTTCGTCCTGACGAGTTGGCTCCGGCGACAATCTGGTTAAAACCTTAACCAACCAGCCAACTACAAAAGCCTCCCAGTAAACCTTACCAAACAATCTCTGTGTGAAGTTGCTCTTCCCAAAGGCTGAATTGGGTGCTTGTTCCGTCCTTAGAACATTCACAGCACATGGTTCGAGTTTCCGCAATTGCAGAGTCTTCCTTATCGTGGGTACACCCAGACCAGACACTTTGCTCAAAAGATTCTTCATTAATTCGTTTGATTGACTTCCATTCCAAAGAGACAAAGCAACTTCCCAGTGGAAGGAAAACAATGGGTAGAAAAGGCCATAAACAGAGCCGAAGAGCATCTCGGGCTGGCACGTACGCATCCTTGGCAAGCACCGCCATGCGCTGCTCAATCTCCGCTTGGCTGACGTTCTCGAGCTGCGAGGAAGCCCGCCCTGCGCCGGAGGGTTTGGAAGTTTGGGAGGGGGCGGTCGGTCCGGCGCTGGCGGCCGCTCCGCTTGAGCTTGGACCGACCGGCGGCTGATGGCGGGCGATGATTGAACCTGTTGGAAGGGTGGTTACTTTGTCAAGCCTGAACCGCATGCTCGCATAGGCTCGGTTTGCCAAAGTAATGTTTAACTACGTCACGGTGTTTGCGGACCGGCCACGTCGGACCAAAGCGGCCTAAACAAGCGGCATTGGACACATTCGAAACGGGCATAAGAGCTGATTCGCTTCCTCTGCTGGGCGATGCGCAACACGTTCGTTTGCATGATGCAGGTCGTCTAGTCTTTGGTTATTGACAACGAGATCGGATTACGTCAGTGGACGAAGGCCTAACCACGTTCTCGTTTGTGACAAGGAAGCTCTATTGTGTGCGGGTGCACCATATGCAGAGAATCTTAAACCGACACCAGTGACTGTTCACGGAAGTTGCGTATGAAGGCAATCAGGCAGGGCACTCACCGACGATTGGGTTGGCCTTGTTCCGGTCGTCGAATGAGTTGAACTCGAACATAAACCCTGGTTTCTGCAGGAAGTTGAGACCTTGGTTGAGGTGTACCTAGTCTGGAAATCAAGCAACAAATGTTCCGACTTTGTGGGTACCACTAGACCTTTGTAGGGCTATTTCCACGAATTGTATTGCTTTTGTTTCTATTTTCTTGTTAAGAGCTCAGTCGGCAACATAGACAATTGGTCAACATGTAACATGAAGCATCCAAAAGGCAAAATACTATAGCACGGACCTTATTTGCACAAAAGATTCATCTGAATGTCAAATCTGGAAGTTACTCGTTGAGAAAATGTCTGGCTAACAAATCTCCGCCTTTTGAGTTTGCAAAGAGGCAAGAGCTGTACCTTGGGATCCACGTCTGTCATCAGCTTCATGAGCGCCTTCTTCGACTCCTCCTTTGTGTTGAAGTGCTCTGATGCAACAAAGAATAGAACTGGACCATCGGAGAACGCTTCTTGGGGCCCACCATTGAAATATTAGATTGAAAGCAGCAGCTATCACATGGTCGAGAGGATGGTCATCGAAATGGGAGCGAAACCACTGTAAGTGTCACCACATTAATGGGGCGTGCGTGTGTACCACCACTACAAACTCGCCAGGAGGTGAGATTTGCCTGTTCACACCATCGCGCAATGTCAATGATTCGCTCATTCATGCCACCAGTCAAGGCATAAACCAAGGAGAGAATTACAATGCTTGATCGCACTGCGGCTATACTGTCTCTGTTTTCCTGGGACTACTTTCCTCAAACTGGCTATCATAGCCTACCCAACTGCAGTGATACATAACACAACCTGTTCTGATCTCAGTACTGATTATTTGACCCTCAATATGGCGTACCACCTCAAATAGGATCTAGGAAGATGGGGGAGATGAAAGAGCTCACTTTTAATGGTCTTGAAGTCGATGGAGAGGGGCGTAGCGGCCCCAGGGTTGTTTGGGGTCCATTTCGCGAATCTGGGGGTCTGCACGGCCAGAGCAAATGGTGGTATGCTTTTACAATCCTCCCCACGCTGCTGACAATGATTCCGTTGGGGCCATGTGCTTGAAAAAGTAATTTAATACACCAGACAATATTGGCACCCTCTGGACGAAAGTGGGTTTCTAGGGGACCAACTTTGTAGCACGCTGCTGCAACTGATCACGCCCATGTGTTTCATACCACAAGGAACAAACACAGCTAGTCCTGTTTGATTTACATGCGACACCACACTTTCCGTCCTGTAATACTTCTCAGAATAAACTGTAAATGACCTCGGAACTAAAACGTCGAAAGAACATGAAAGATTTCAGGATAGTGCCCATCACTTGGCTTCAAGTATGAGCACTGGCGCAGCATTGGCGCCAGCGATCAGGATTTCGGTTGCGGCTCTCACCAGCATGAGTACTCCCTCCAGCCCCGCCTCCTTCATTGATGGCTTGTACTTGGCGCGGACGGTTAGCAGAACGCTCTCTGCCTCCGCCATCGCGTCCTTCTTTCTTATCTCCTCAAGGCGTTCCAAATTGAAATAGCGTTCATGGCTGCCAGCCTATCATAGCCTGATCAATCTTTTGTGCTGAAGCCACATTCAAACCCTATAATCTTCGAAAGCCTGAGGCAAGCGCCAGCGCCCGGGCGGCTGCTTGAACTCAAACCCAGGGCGCAAACCCCGTCTGGACAGCCTGATCACCACAATACCGCCCGCGGCGCGCCGAATGCGCGCTTCCAGCTTCCCTTAGGTAGATGTTAGCGCGGCCTGCTTCTTTGAATGCTGCGTTGAACTTGTGGCGGAGGCGCAAAACATGGCCGGGATGTAATGAAGCTGAGAAAAGTGGACACTGGACTAAGACTTATATAGTGGCATTTCTAAAAGTTAGAAAAGCCCTATCGAGCAATCGTGAGCTGCAACCATTCTGTCCAACGCTAATCTGAAGACACCACTGCAAGTTCAACCACAGACTGGACAGAAACTGAGCAGGTGGGGCCTGTTGTCAGCCTTTGCTCAGATCTCCTAGTCGGCCTATTAGTCTCGGTGCTGAAGTTGCGTTGGGGTGGTGCTGAGGAATCAAGAGTCTTTGGTTTATGAGAGTCTCCCGCAATGTCCGTTTTAAGGTTCTGCCCTCCCCTATCCACCAGTTGCTTCTGTTTTCCTCTGTGCGGCGGCAGCATGCTCTTCAAATATGTGACCTGTATCACTTTATAAGGCTAGTGAGCAAGCAGACCAATGAGGAAAGATTGTGGTGAAGGGGTGTTTGTTCACCAAACTTGTTCAGGTCGTCACAGCCACCAAACTGTCAGAAAGTTGCTTCTACTAGAAGGAGGCCCTATGAGCTGAGAAGCATTCACTAAGCTTGAGACTACCGTAGAAGTTTCTTAGCAACATATTCATTGCCTCTGTCTCAACCCATCATCAAGTCAGTCTGCTACTAGCTCAATACCTGCAGCTGACTGGCTAGTGTACTTGTCCAGCTTTTCATGGATCTATCATCATAGGCTGGCAGCAAGCGGGAGCCCATCAAAAGTCCGGGCTTGTCTGAGGGGTGCAAGAAGGAGGACTGGAGAAAAGTCTTTTCTGCATGTACAAAGCATCTTAAGTAGTTTGCCTCTCTGTCACTCTCAAGGCCTGGAAACTTCCATATAAGTTGCTCAAGTTACCTCTTCCAAAGAGCTCTTTGCTTGTTTGCGCAATGCAGGGGATGGCCTGGCGCCATGCGGTCATTCATTTATGCATCACGCGACTTTCTGAGAGCCCTTGATGCCCTGAACCAAGCCAAAGAGAAAGGTGGGTGGATGTTTGAAGGATCTTCAACAAGCTCAATTTGTAACAAGTCCACAATACAAGCTTGTTCTTTGAATACGACTCCAGCAGATATGCAGGGACTATGAGACACAGTCATGGTTACGTAAGTATTTGATGCAAGCTCTGACATTTCATGTGGTGACTGGTCTATGAGATTCAGGCAAAATGCAGAAGGGTGCTTCAACCTGCACTCGCTTTGGTTTGACTTCCTTGTGATTGGTTAAGACTTCCCACAGGTGGAAAGCTCATACTGGGAAGAGCTCATCTGCCTCCCTGGTCAAGGCCTCCCTTCTTCTGCTTGCAGCAAAACGGCCTATCAGGTTGTGCCTTGCCATACTCTTTGCCCTGGAGGACAGCTTCGGAGGTACGAAATATGCTCGGCTAACAAGCAGTGACACTCGCTTAATCAAGGAATATAAGAAGAGGAGCCAAAACCGAGGGACACATTGAATCAGGCCGATAAAATTCAACCAGGAGGCTTATCAGTGGTTCGGTAAAGAAGGAAAGTCTGGCCTATTTGGTGGTAGTCACGCACTGCAGCCTGGATCAGATCCTCTTCAGGTAGATATCCCCTGGTCAGTAGTATTCCGAGCAGCTCCTCCCAATCCGCCGAGGTTGCGAATGAGAAGCAGATAGACCCCAGCCTTGCAGTCAGCTTTTAGTGCCTGCGGGGCAGCGGCATGCAAGCAGCAAGCGCGTGCGCAGTGGCGCCGTACAGGTCGCTTCTTCAGAAGGCTTTCCTGTGTCTGGTGGCGCTAGCATGGGCGTTTGAGGGGGCGAGTGGCTGTGCTGTCAGCAGGCTGCTGGGCTCTGGTCAGGTGAGTATTTCCTAAACTGCGACCCGTTTAGTGAATTCGAATGTGGCAAGTCACCTCTTTATCGACTTTAAGGCCCGGGCGCTTTTTGAACTCTTGACCTGCGATTCGCATGAATGAATTGCGGAAGGGCCGAGAGAGATTGGAGAAAAGGGGGTACTGCTCAAGCCAACAAGCTGCGCGCCAATTCGCCACACGCCGCCTCCGCCGCAGCTCGCAAACGCTTGTGTCCTTCATCTGACTGCAATGTAGCTATCGCAGAGATGCCTGGTGTATCCGCTTTCCGCTCCATCCAGCTAATCAAGACTGTCCCTCGCCTTGCCGTCGGATGCAATAAAAGTCTCCAAATTTCCCAGAGGCAATTTAGATCCCTACCTGATCAGACTTCTTCTCCCATCTGAAGATCAAAATTACTTCCTGCAAAGCCGAAAGCGCCCACTCTGAGAAAGGCACCTCGGTGTACTTGCAGGCATCGGGCTTCCACACACTCGGCTCTATTTTCGAGTGGCGCTCTCGCGGGGGCGCACTCCAGCTGGGGAATCCAGGGAGCGGCAGCAGCGGCTGGCGCCTCGCCGACCCCTCGCCCCTCTGCCCCCTCCTCTCAACAGCCCTCTCAGCTAAGCCTCCGGAATGTGTGGATTCGACCAAGTCGCGGGAAACACGACAATACACGGAGAAGACGCAGTGCGAAGCGGCGAAGTCAAATGAAAGTTGCGCGTGGGAGAGCGACGGTCCTGGGGGGCAGTTTTTGGCTGCAGATTGGCCCCCGCTGAAGTCAGTGATCGTCCTGCCGGCCCCGCTGGATCCGGTTTTGCAAACCGCGCTTTCTGCCAGAGTCAACCTCCGCTGCCCCGACGGTTCGATAGGAGAACCCTCGAACGAAGAAAGAAAGCCGTCGCACATTGGACTGTACTTCCACCGCACACCGGATCTAGCTGAAACCTCGTACGAGGGGAGCGCAGATGAAGGCATAAGCGGAGCCGTCTCGGGGGAATGGACGGTCGGGGGAATGTCCCGGGAGCTACAGGGCTCGGGGGCGCATCGCCAGTTGTTAACGAGACTGGTCCTTTCGCCGAGGCGGAGTTCGAGCGGGGGGCAATCGGTGCGATTCGTGGCTTTGGTGGAGGCGCTGCCGACCGGAGTGTATGCGGACAAGTTTGAGGTTCGAAGGCTGGCGTCGGATGGAGGTGAGGCGGACAGAGGCGATCTTGTTTTTCCCTTGCTCACTCAACTCCACGAGAGTTAGAATAGTGCTTGCAGGGGCTTTCAGAACCAACCAGATGCCGCTGTCCTCTCACCAAACTATGTTCACAGGGCCTCTTCTTGAAGTAGATCTGCTCAGTCTTCCTTGATGCGTCAAGGCTGGGGGGGTCTTGTTCAGGAGGGAGAGATTGATGCCCGGGTTTCCAACCAAATCAAGATTCAAGCCAGCTGACGACATTGCTGGCAGTCCGCTTATCATTCTCTTCTCAGATGATTTTGCAACTCTGCCGGTCATTCCTTCGACGAGCGGATGCGTTCTTCCTACGGACGCGTCCGACTCCTTTAGAACGAGTCACCCAGATCCACCTCTCCCTGATTCGCTTCCTCCGCTCCCCGGCTGCTCACCTCCTCTCATTCACGCCGTCCTCTCGAAGCCTCCACTCTTGTTGGTTTTGCTCCTGTTTACCATCCCTCTAATCAGTACGCTTCGTCGCTTCGATTTTGGCCCGGTGGCCATCGAGCGCCCCGCCCCCGGGTGCACCCAGTCGCCCTCTCGTAATCTCCACCTTTCTTTGGAAGATTTCACATTCTTCAACCGTCTCTTTGCTCAGCCGCTTCCGTCGCCTCGATTTTTGGCCCGGTGGACATCGAGCGCCCCGCCCCAGAGTGCACCCAGTCGCTCGCCATTGCTTACGCGCGCCCGGTGGAGCTGCCCGGGGGCGGCTTCGAGGCGACGTTCGTGCTTCCTCTGCACTCACGCTATCCGGTGAGAGAGCGCGTTCCGTCGCAGCTTTTGCGTGTATCCGTCAGATTCTGGCCAAGACGGAGAAGGCTCTGATTGCCTTCGTACTCGATGACGCTGCGAAATTGTTGAAAGAGTGTGCTCTGCCGGATCTCCTTCTTATGTTGGAAAAGCTCATCCGGTAAGAGAGCGCGTTCCGTCACGGCTTCTGCATGTCTTCGTTCGATCGTTGCCAAGACGGAGAAGGCCCTGTTCGCCTTCGTACTCGATGACGCTGTAAAGTTTTTGAAAGAATGTGCTCTCCAGGGTCTCCTTATGTTGGGGGAACTGGATTCGAGCGCGCGGCTGGCACGCTGTCAAGGGTCAGTCACGACGAGGCCGTATTGTGCTGGACAACCACTGTCGTAACTTGATTGCGTTGAACATACGAAAAACTCGTCCTTTCTAAGTTAGCTTCTTCATTCGGTCAGGAAACAGTTTGAGAACTTTACTGCATTGTTCATGCAGGCTGTCGCCCCTATTCAGTATAACGGAGCTGGATCACAATCAAGTCCCCAGTTCACTGCGGTTGATATTGGGCCCCCTCTCTACGTCCTCTGGACAGAGGGCCAGGGGCTTTCCACCGAGGAGGACCTGCGGATGCACACCGAATGGCGACGTGCCACGTGGCAGGGGATCACGGACAGAGATACCGTGGTTCAATGGCGGGTCCCCAACGGAAAAGCGGAGCATGCAGATATAGTGCGGGTCGGTACGGTGTTGGTGTGCTTAGCTGGCACCGTGTACTTGCTGTCAGTTGTTATGTTGAAGAAGCGAGAACCACGAATCGTAGGGTAACTCCAGTTACATAGCGCCGATCCGTTACCTGTCGCGTGTTCCTGATCATCATGTACCTCGCAGTGTCCTACTTACAAGCATTAAGCAGTGTAGCTTTGTGCACGTCTCATGTCATGCAATACGCGATCAGAGCTCTCTATTGATGGCTTGCTACTGCAATCAGACCGTCTGTTTTCATGTCGACCGTACTTCATTCGATCAGGTTTTTAAGCAGAAGAGACAAAACGCAATAACCATGGTATACATATGCGTCATATACCCTGAAACTCAGGTGCGTGGCACTACTATATAGTCATTGACTATAATCATTGAAAGAATCCCCAAATTACAGGCATGCAGATGCGCGGGTATGCATTATTGCCCCAGCCACTACACAGTCATGTCATCATCCGGTCCATCAACGTATGATTAAGTTGACGGCTCCTCTATGTATGCTCAGATGCACAAATCCGTAATTTGCACACAGCAATCGAGGAGACAAGATGTTGGAACGGATGTACGTTGCCTGGCATCGTAACGTAAGCATCCGACCAGTGATAAGCTGGAAGATAGCGAAATGTCTTCTGGGTGAGCTTTCTTTAGACCTCTCAAAGAATGCAACAAGTTGTTCATCACAACGGCGCTGGTTATGCAGCGACAGACCTCTCTACAACGCTCTCTCTTTCTGGGCCAAGCCCTACAGAGTCCTCCAACAGCAATTGCAACTGAAGCTGCGAACTCCGACCGGGGAGCACCATTCGGCGGCTGGTAAGGCATTGCGCGTAAACGACCTTAGCAGTTAGACCATGACTGGGAAGTACACTCTAAGTGAAGAACCAACCGAACAGCAGTGCTTGAGTTCACTCGCCTTCCTCGTCTTCGCCTTCATCCTCGTCGCCCTGTAAACAATTTCGACAAAAGAGTCAATGACAACCTCATGAATACAAAAGAGAAAAATGGGGGTAAAAGCGGGTTAACAGTCGCTTGTGGGGGCGATCTTCCGTATCCAGGCAGGTCAGAAGCGCAGGCCGTTCACTTTGCGTTACATGAATCATTGACGAGGCTCTGCGTCGGCCGTAAAGGCTGGGGCAAAGACCCTGCCAGCATAGAACCTCAACCTCAGGTTATTGACCGTGTTGTGACTTAAAACTCGATGTTGGCGGGTCAATCAATCCCACACTGGCTTCTTCGTTCCCCAAGATCCAAATCCTAAGTGGAAATTCAATAAATCCAGAGGCTCACAGCAAACGCGACCTTCAGAGCCCAACAAGACACTGAGCATTGAGGCCCAATGAGTCGCCGCAATATCTGATAGACACCCGGTCAATCAACCCAAACCCTGCTTCATGCAGCGGCGAGAAGTGATGCGCTCACCCCCTCTTCGTTCCCCTCCTCGTCGCCCTCGCCCTCCTCGCCGCCCTCCTGAAATGGACAGACCATTTTTTTAGCGCTGCTCGGTCTACTTCACAGCAGCCATGATTTGCAGTCGAATCACTGCGGTGCCGTCCTGCTCTGCCGAGACTGTTCAAACGAAATCAAACTAAGTCAAACAACCACAACAGACACACACTCTATACATAGTCAGTCCGCCACCCAAAACGACGGTCTCACAATCTGGTCCAGATGCGGCTTGCGCCGGAGATGGGAAGTGTCCGCTCAAAAACGGCGCACGACTGGACCACGAACGCGAGAAAATATGATATTTGAGCAGGGGGCCAGCTGTGACGACCGCAGATCATCTTCTTAGCTGCAAATCGTCTTCCGCATGCGCAAGTCCCAGGCCGTAAAAGTTGGGCCGATATGAAACGAAGAACAGGTAAAAGAGCAACTCCGCCCGCTTGCTTTCGAAGTCGCTTCGCTCTCGCTACCACTTCACTGGATCAAGCGTTCGGTTGGCACAAAAGTCACCTGTCTCGGCCCTTATTCTTGGCCCCTGATGTGCAGAAGATGGTGAGGCAACTGGTTGGCCGACGTCGCACCAGATCGACCTAATCACAGAGATCCTTGCATATCTGCTTTCGTTCCGCCTTGGCACTTTCTAGTCCCTTATGGAAACCAACAAGCAACAATACTGACCACTCCCCCTTCCAGAAACTCACCTCTTCTTCCCCTTCCTCTCCCTCTTCCTCTGCCTCTTCCGCCCCTTCTTCTTCCTCCTCCCCTTCTCCCCCCTCCTCTTCTTCCTCCTCTTCGCCCTCTTCCTCCTCCCCCCCTTCTTCTTCCTCGCCCTCTTCTCCTTCCTCCCCCTCTTCCTCTTCTTCCTCCTCTAGTTCCTCCAGCTCTTCTTCTAGATCCTCCTCGCCCTCGTCCTCCTCGTCATCGTCCTCGTCGTATTGCTGCAGAGGGATCCCTTCGCATGAGTCTATGCATTTTTAGTCTTCTACAATGTCGCTTCAGCATTAATCCTTTACCACTGCAGGACAGCTGTTTGCGACACCCTTTCGAGGACGTCGGGGGCAATCCGAACAGGTGCAAGATCCCCGAGTCATCTTCCGAAACGTGAGGTGACCTGTGGGGCAGTTTGCATCTCGGGGAGGTCGAGCATTCAATTCTATTCTTTTCTGTATCTTATTATTTGTCGCACATCAAGGTGTGCGTAACAACTCCTCGCCGTAGGCACCAATTACACAGCGATCAAGCGAAGAGAAGCTATCAAAGCCGACGTTCTGGACCGACTTCCTGAGCGACATTCTGAGCTGCTGATTCACTTAGGCAAGCTGCCTTTCGGTTACGAGCACGGAGTATAGCCGTACAAAAGTAGACGGAGAAGGATCCCGGCTGCAACCCTAGACCAGAACCTTGAGTCAGGTTAGCCGAGATCTTGCAGAGAAGCCCACGACGCCGTCTGACGAGTACCCTCTGACGGATTCCCGTTCTAAGGAACTTCGAAAAGTTTCTATCCGTCTCGCTTCTGTGAAATACCCTCAAGAAGGCCAGCCTTCGAAGGTTCGAACGGTCGAAGCCTGTGTTAGCCGTCCCCGCAGGTGCAAATTCGATAGAGGATCCGAAACCGCGGCCCGTCATGGCCCACAGCCCTTCAGCAGAACAAACAATCGCAGAATTCATGCGCGGATCAGCACTCACGTCGCTGTTGAAGTACTTGAGCGGGTTCGGCCACAACTCGTCCTTTATTACCTCGGCAATCTGCAGGGGCGCAACGAGTGACGTCATCACTGATATCCGGACGCTCGGCGCGCACCAACACCAGCTGGCACCGAGTGCAAGGGGAAAACCGGAAGCCCGAGCCTCGCCGTCCTTGACTTTTCGTACTTCGTTACAGTGGTCCTCTGACGCTAGTGATGTTCTGCTACGCTCAAAAGATGGCACTTTCATCCAAACGGCACCGCTTTTGGCCACAGAATACTTGGGTTGCATTCGGGAGCGCGACCATAGAAGCCGGAGTTCGAATCTGACGCGCTCTTTAGAACTGCTTGAGAAACCGGGACCGGATTTCTTTTAGAAGAGGGGTCGCGATTTCGATTGGCGCTGGCCGACAAGCCAGCAACACCGCCAAAACGTGACGACGAATCCCCACCGAGAAAGGCTAGGTTTTGAGAGACACAGTCCGGTCAAGTCAGCGGTAATTGTCGGAGTCGACTTGCAGTCTTGCACGGTAACTATGGGCTTGTTACTACGCCCCTTGGACAATGTCCTTGGATATAAATTCAGGCAAGCAGAAAAGCGCTACAAGCTCTCGAAAGCAGTGCGCGGCGCTCACTTGGTCCTGGTCTTGGGAGGGATCGTACGTGGCGTCGCTGTCGTTGAACCACCGGAAGAAGCTGCGCAGGAACGCGGGAGGTGAGCAAGAGGGGTGAGCTGACGTTACTGACGTCGGCTACTTTGCAACCCGAAAAGCCGGCCCACAACGGCAGTCCCAAGGTGGACGCAGGCCGTTGTAATGGTCGCTCGGTTCTTTAGCGGCAGTCCCAAGATGGATGCAGGCCGTTAAAATGGGCGCTCGGTTCCTGTAAAGTTTGGAGGGTTACGAAAGGGGATCGCTGAGCCAGCTGAATCGAAGACGCGCTCAAAGGCAATGTCGGAGTGTCTGGACAGACACCCCCACTTCCCCTGCTGATTGTGCTTGTAGCATTGACCGTGATTGGCCACGTCATAAGGCGGGGTATCCGGAGCATAGCGCAAACACTGAACGACTGCGACAATAACACCTCCCTGCCTGCGGGACCTCGACACGCAAGTTTGCCCCGCTCTCTGGCGACACCGTGCTTTTTGCGCTTGCAGGACAGTGGGTGGAGTTACAGCGCACCTGTCCTCGCTTCTGGCCCGTTTCCGCCCTTGCTCGTCCTTTACGCTGCCCCCGTTTACCAGGTCCTGCATTGAATACACACGTGTGGGTTTGCAAACGTGTTGTCTTCCTCGTTCTACGGACCCTCCAACTTCTGCCGCCTTCATGTCCACTGCGAGTGCAACCAGTCCGACAGCCCTGCCGCATTCGCGCCCTGAAAAGACCGAGTCCTAGGCCGATCTTTGGAGGTGATCTTTCGTGAGGAGGGATGTTTTCAAATGTAAAGCCAACGCTAAGCTCCTCCAATTGACTTCCGAAGCCTATCGGCATTGCCTTTGTTTACTCAAAGCATCCAGATCTGGACAGAAGATTCTTTGTAAGCATCTCATGGCTATCCAGAGGTCGTTTTCGTCATCGGTACAAGCGGAGAACGAGACAAGTGAATAAGATGGTGCTCGAAAAACTTTTCTGTCGTCATGATGCCATTGGCTGCAGTCCCCTTGCTGACTATCCGCGGGAACACCAGAGGGGAGAAAGCGAGAAAGGATTTGAATCTGGACACATGTAAACCCTCCACGAAAGCGAGATTAAAGAAACCCAACAGCTTTCGCAGAATGAAACAGCGCCCGTCTCACCATGCCCTCATTCCAGCGTGGCATGGTTCCCGTCACGGTCACCAGGCCGTCCTCCGAGAAGCGGAACGTTTTACTCAGCCTCTCGTCCTTGAAGAACGGGTTGGGCTTGAACGTCTGCACATAGCGAAAACCGGTTTGAGTCAGGTTACGGTGGCTTCATATCGTCGCTAACGGTCCTCTTCCCACCCTAGCCTTCGTTTTGAGTTATGTTGGCAAAACTTGAGCCGTCGGATGTCACCCTATTAATGGTTCAACTGTAGCAACCGCAATGCTCCAAGCGTTCGGAAGCCCAGCAGCGACTTTGGCGCAGGAAGCCATAGAAAGTCACAGACCTGATTATGCCGATGTTGTGCATCAGGATTACAACCATTCTTGAGTTAGATACGCGTTTGCTGGGTAAGAGACGGTTAGCCAACCGCAAAACCTTTTGCAAAGCCAGTTCTCACTCTCGCCGGCCATGTAAGAGCAAGGCGGGACAGAAAGCGTACCAAGGGGGGCAACACGAAATCGCACAGATATGGGCGTGACTGGATTGATGCACGGGCCAAACGATACAACGTAGGTCTGAGCCGGGATTGTCGGCTCACGAAGGAGATGGTGTAGCCGGACTTGACGTCCTTGAAGTCCTCGACGTTGAGCTCCTTGAGGTACTTGAACACCTTCTGGTCGTCCTCCGACAGCACTTGCGACAGCGCGGGGTGGCTCAGAAACTGCACGAGCGGCACGCGGCTTTGGTGTCAGGGAGAGCCGTTACGATAGTTTAAAGCGAGTGCAAAGCAAGGTAGGTCAAAAAGGAGTCATCGTTGGCACCCGCTCCCCTCGAAAATCCGTCTCCGCAAGAAAGAAAAGGCCCAATAATAGTGAACAAAGGTCTATGTATAAGCACAAAAGCTCCCGGTTGACAACGATTTGAGAGTTGCTTTGCCAATCTCAACGCGCTGCACGAATCTTGACGAACTAAACTTCTGCGGCGATGTCATACGAAGTCAGTAGTTGACAGCAGGAGCTACTGTGGACAAATGAAGCCGAGGCCGTTTTGCAGTTCTGAGCCTTGGTCATACCACAGAAGCGGGACTCACGCTTCCAACAGACGTCTCTGCGACAAAAGCTGCCCACTGTGCAAAGCAAGCGGTACCACCTCTGACATGAGCCACCAGCTGATTTGTCTGCTTTCTGTACTTCAGTACAGATTTCAAGTTTTGGACGCCTACGAGACAGAATAATCATGAGCGGCCTCACCGCTGTGAGCCAGAAGTCGGAGATGCCGCCAATGATGTCATTGCGGCGGTTGTAGACGGGCCGCCGCACCTCGTTGTACTTCTGCTCCACCTCCAGCACCTTGTCGCTCGCCTCTTCATTCACCTGGCAGGGAGCAAAACGTTGCTTTTCCAATGACGAATCTCGTCTGCTGTAGGGGGTATTGTCTTGGTCTTGCAGGAGCAGAGGCTTCTTCTGTGGAGAATCTTCCCTGCGGAAACGAGTTCCTTTGACATGGGAACCTGGGAACCTGGGAACGTCTGTCCGTTGACCTGGCGGGGACAGACGTTATTTCCTAGGTGGAAAAGTGTGCCTGCTGGAGCAACCTCTATTTTGAATATTACCGTAGACAGTTCAAGAGTTCACAGGGTCACTGTAGTTGCAGCGCCTGTCACCAGTCGCGGAGCCACCGTACAGAAAGATGACGTGGCGGTGTCTCGCTCCTAAGTGATCAAACTTGTCAAGAGTGTTGCCCATGCTGAGTCAATCATTGTTGCCATCTTGTTGCCATCTAAATTATATCTACTTTCACTGACAACCAGCCACCCGATGCGCAAAGGATTGTTATGAGATGATACACATTAATCTCACCGGTGTTGTTTGTCCATCAGTAAGTGGCAAAGCGAAGAAGCCATCAGGCAGTGCAATGAAAGCCAAAGGGCGAGCGCCTGGATGATGGAAATTCAGTGGCAGTAGGGACATTTGATGTCTCCAACACTTGCCACATGCAAACAGATATCCAGATTTTGGAACTTTATCTGATTGACAGACCTTCAGGTAGTGGTGACCATGATTGGAAGGCAGTCTGACGGAGCCTATGATTGTGATAGTCACTCGTAAACTAAGAAACCCACAACAAGCCTTTCCTCCTGAACCTATATATTGAAAATACCACAAACACGTCATGGCGTCAACAAACTCTCAGCAAATTACGAATTCACCCAATCTTTTGCAAGTGCATCTTGTTGCTATATCAGCCTTGCCAAGAGACCTAACATCTGAGACCCAAAGTCAAATTCTCAGACTCTGATCAGATTGCAGCGATCGCATGAATTCACAACCTTGCCTTCGAACCGTTTTGGGACCCAAGTCAGTCCCACATTTGATGCTTTCCGCAAAGAAGCACGCGCAAGAGTGAGATTCATAGATATTACCGGCTCGCGGCCAATTCGCGGGTAAAAGTCGGAGGATACGGGGCGAGGTAAGTCTGCGGCCCCAATTAAGCGGAACACAACCGGGCAGAATCAAATTACGTCGCATTGCCTAATGAAAGCCGCAACGTTTGGTTCCTGGACAGATATCAACACGAATCTCCCATAAATTTGAATTATGCCGTTATTTCTCAAAAGTGTAGTAAAAGTACAAGTCTGACAATTGCCGCACCTTGATTATCGACAACTTCGCTATCAGACTCTATAATGCAATCTAGAAGTCTGTTTAAGAAGGAATTTCCAGGCACCCACCCTTTCTAGCTCGTCTTGCACCTCTTGCAGCTTCTCAATGTCCTTGAGGAGCTTCTCATCGTACTCCGGAGCATCCGCATCGCCCCCCCCCTCCTCGGCCCCATTTTGTTGCCCCTCCTCCTCCTCCAATCGCGCTTTCTTGGGCTCAGCCATTGAGGCGGTGCACAATTTTCCGGCTTCCCACTCGACGTTGCTATCAGATGATCACAATGAGATGCCAAAAAGTGCAGGATACGCGGTCAAACTCGAGCGGCTGCTTTTCCCTCTCTGCGCAAATGCAGAAAGGACGGAACCAATCGCTGCATTGCTCAGGCCGGGCCTTCCACCTCCAGGCAGCTCTGCCAGCCGCCCTTCTTGTGCTCCCCACCCCCCCACAGAAGAAGACTACCGTAGCCTTAGGTAAAAGTGCCTTTCAATTTGTCGAAGAGAGCCAAATGCGTGGCAGGGGACTGTGCACAACGTTGCAGGAGCTTGAATGCAGGGTGCATTCTCATGCTGACTTGGGATGTGTTTGAGGGCCACGATGCGTCGATTGTGCGAAAAGGCGCCATCGAGTGTGCCATCGGTAACCCCCGGCTTCATTGCCGTCCGATTGTCCTTGAAGGAATTGGACGGTTCAGTGAGTACTGAGCCAAATTAGGGTTTGCTCTTGCCGCGCTGCAACTTCAAGCTCGACTCGGCGAGGATCGACTTGAATATTATGTATTATATATATCCCATGGGTTGTTGCATTGGCGCTGAGCTCATCTTTCAATGATCGAATCTCATGAGCTTTTTGGAGGCCTTTGCAGACTTTGGGACGCCATCCGCCTTTGCAGCTCAGTGCTCTATCGCTTTTACTCATTACCCCCGCAGGCACGTACGGAAAGAAACCATCAAGACAATCACCAGTCAATCCGTAGTGTTTCCATTCTTCTGAACGAAAGCTTTGAGAAGCTTCTGGACAGAAGGGACCCCATTCACCTGACACTTGACAGAAAAACAAGTCTCGGGCAAGATGACATGCAGCTGATGATGTCAGCGCGAGCATGAGATGGCGCCAGCCATAGCTGGGGCGTCGGGAGGGGGGGACGCTCAGCAGAAGAAGGACATCTGGAGCTTGATTCTCGAGCAGAAAAAGGGGGCGGGCAAGGCGAGAGGTGCGCTCCCATGATTTTTAGGCCCGGAAAGAGCTGGGGCTCTTGGCTTTTTGGTGCTTTTGGTGGGGAATTTTGCTTTTTCGCACTCGGTGCATAGAAAGGAGGTGACAGGACTGGTATTGATTGGAGACAAGGTGGCTGTTTGGACTAAGCGGTGGTGCTAAAGATCTACAAGTAACTTTGCAAGCAGATTGGAACTCAGTTGCCAAGCTCTCTTGAACAGGCAATGTGACACCTGAGAAATGATCCTTCTGCCACCCCCACCTCACATGGATGCAAGCCTTATCGCAACTCAACCACCAGTCTCAGTGTTAGTCTCTGGACTGCCCTCCGTTCATTCAAAAGTTTTAGGCAGACCAACTGTCTCATTTGATCCACCTTCAGTACAAGCAGATTCCGGAATATTCGTACTTGATGCCTTCTTCAGGAGCTGGCGACCTCCCTGACTCGCATGTCTACTTTGTGGGGGCCGTGCGTGGGGGCAAATCCACTCTAGTTAGCCGCTTCCTGAATCCCGACAAGGAGGAGGAGCCTCGTCCCGGACAAGGCCTTGAGTACACGTTTGCAAGGCGCTCATCTGCGGCGGCAATTGACAAGAAGGTGAGCCTTCAAATCGAGCCCTCTCTTCTTCATATCGAACCTCATCTTCCTTGTTTAGAGACGTGCCAGGGGTTGTGATGGGGGGCCTCTGAGTGGGCATTCGAAATGAGCTTGCATTCCGTGCGCAATCGAGTCGACAGTTGCGGAAGAAGGGGGCTTGGTTGGAGTGTGCTGGCACCATCGTTCGGCCAGCTTAGCAGGTCTCAGTTGCTCAGCCTCTTGATTAATCTGGCCTTTTTCTCTTGGCGGCCTTATCTGGTGGCACTGGGGCTTCTTTGGAGCGTTCAGACAGCCATGGGCCTTGAAAGCACGTCCGCTCAATCCTTGGAAGATCTTGTGTAAAACGTCATCCGAACCACGATCCACGTCAGTTGTCTTCACAAAGTCATCTGAACGTTACATACATCAGCTGAAATCTCGTGCCCGTCATCTTGTGTGTGCAGGACACGGCTCACCTGTGGGAGCTGTCCGGCGGTCCGGCGCTGTCCAAACAGCTCGCGGACGGCAAGCACGCGTTTCTGCCGATTACCGCAATTCCGACCGCGGTCGTCGTGATCGTACTCGACCTCTCAAACGTAAAGAAGACTCGTCCCTCTTTCCTACGCATTGTGATTGGTGGTTTGCGCACAGTAAGACCTGAAAAGGGGCCACCTCGATCCGCGATGCTTCAGGCCTTTCGAAAAGAAGTTGGTGGGTTGCAATGACGATTTCAACGAGTTTTCTTTAACGGTTTTTGTGGAAAACTCAAAAACCACAAAAAGAGGTTTGTGCAAACATAGCGGTTTTTTATCAACCCTTCGGACTGCAGAAATCAAAGTAGGGCTTGACAGGTGGCAACATTTGGGTCTCAAATTAACAATGAGGAAGCTTGACTCTGCCGCTGAAAACATCAGTCTCCCTCGTTTGAACGGTGCAAAGGTTGGCCGACTCTGAGCCAAAAGAAAGTGGCTCTTCAACGGAACGAAACGTTGGAACGTCGTTGACTGTCTTGGCAGTCTTATGTGTCACTAGTATCGTTTCGTCTATGTGTCACTAGTATCGTTTCGTCTTGATTGCAATTCCTGACCAACTGCACTTCCCATGTGATGCAGCCGAGCGGCGTTTTGGACACGCTGACGTGCTGGCTGAACAAGGTGAGCTCAGGCTGACGTCACATTCTTAGTAAGACCGTAAGAGCTAGAGTAGCTTCAAAATGCGGCCTCCGAAGTGGACAGACACTCTGACGCAGTGCATGGAATGGCAAAGGGCGCACAAACAGTTCCGCACTTCAAAGTCTTGTATCGTTGATTCCCATGGCCGCCTCACCAAACTTCGGCAAATGGTGACGACGAGCCGCAGCACTCCATCATCAACAAGGAAGAGAGCACTTTTGGAACTCCCGTTGACTGAACATACTCTGATTTCCGTGCAGACGCAAGAGCGGCTCGACACATGTTACCGGCTGCTGGAACGGAAGGGATCCAAGCTGCCGGAGCAACTCAGAGCCCGCGCCAAACAGGTGTGTCGTTCCTTCCCGGTGTCTGAAGCAGTATCGTTCGAGACGAGAAGCTCGATACCTTTGCGAAGTGTCTTCGATCGACACTCTTACGATTGCAACTTGAGAACAGCGCAAGGAAAGAGGCGTACTTCTAAGGCTCCCGCACCGATTCGTGCAATCAGTGCGGTAGTGCGCAACATTTTCAGATATGGCCACTACCATTTACATGAGCGGTTTCGTGATCGGAGCCAAGCTCGAGCGGAAGTCTCTGCTCGCACTCTGTTGAGAAATCAGCTTTGAAAGCTAATATAGTAAACTGAGCAAAATTTCGTTTCACCGTTCCAACTCCGAATTCTACGACAAACCGTCTGCTACCTCGGGAGGTTAACGGAAAAGCAAAAATCCCTGAAGAAAAAGGGCACTTGACTTTGCGTTCGACGTTCTGCCTCATCTCCTTACCAGTTCCAACATAGATAAAGAAGGAAGATCCATGTTGTCAGTCTCTGTGTGACAAAACGTCCTTATATGAACAACAGTAGTAAAAGCCACTCGGCCTGACTGGACGTCCGTTCTGCGTCCGCAGCGCTTTGGCAGCGAGCACGAGGATGCGGACGCGGTGCAGCACTCGGGCGTGCCCATCGTCATCGTCGGCGCAAAAGTGAGCACATTTGGAGCTGCTTTGTCGCAAAACACTTTGCCTCCGCGGTTAGATAAAGCGGCCAGAGTTCGCCCTGAAGGCCACTGTAAAGTGCTAGATCCAATATGGCTGCGGCTGGTCAGGGCGAGAGCCGTCCAGCCGCTTTCAACCCGTCGAGATTGGTGACCTTTGAGGTTTCTAATTTGAGGATAAGTCAGAATGTCAGATCGATTTCATGATGTTGTCAGAGAGATGATTTGAATGGATTGAAAGGGTTACCTATATCAAATGTGCCGGACCGTTGACCGCATCACGTCCTGATCCGCTCTGGGGATCCGGAATTCCAATAAAGTCTAAGAGGATCGTCTAAGTTACAAACGGTGCACTAAACGCTTGCTTCGTGACTTTGAAAAGAGTCGATTTATCCGCAGTACGACGCTTTCATGAACGCGGATCCCGAAGTCCGCAAAGTCATGGCGCGGACGCTCCGGTACATCGCCCACAGCCGGGGCGCGTCGCTTATTTACACCGGGGGCTTGGGGCCCCAGCCGCCCGCGTCCTCGCAGCCGGAGGAGGCGGTGAGAATGCGCGCCACCAGCAAGGCGGCCCTCAACGCATTGAGAACCGTGCTCAACCACTATGTCTTCCGCACGTGAGTCGCCGTTTTGGGTGTGTGCTTCGGGCTTGGGAACCAGATTGTGGATGCCGGCGCTCGTTTCAGGGGTTCCGACGTGTGGAACCTAGGATTTAGCTTCGAAATTGAATGGTTCGGGAACTCTGGACCTCTGGTATGGGGTTAAGAAGTGAAGTCAAGGTCTGGTCAGAGTCTCCCCGACATTCTAAGCTGGTCAGATTCTCCCCGACATTCTAAGGTCTACGGTTTTGGCAACTCTCTCTGTTTTTGGTGTTAGCTTTCTTTAGCTTCTGTCTTGTAGCCCGCGATGTTGGTTGAATCCTTCAGTCCAGATCCGCTATTTTGTCAATATTGGTCAAAGATAGGAATACTTACAAGAAAGCAAGGCCGAGAAGCTTGGCAATCGCGTAACGGCCCGTAGCAACTCCAATTTGACAGTTTTGCCTTCCAGCATGCATCGGCTCCCATCGTATCGCTCAACCTGACTGCCAGGTGTCGCTTTGCTACGCAGGGCGCCCTTGAAAATTGTGGAAGTGGATCATACGCGCGCGCTGTGCATACCCGCAGGTGCGGACCGCTTTCGAGAAATCGGACGTCCGAAGGTCAGTTCCCTGCAGAGTTTGTTACTCTGGTCCGCAAGTTGGACAGGCGGGCTTCTCCAGGAGCCGACTCGAAAAGAACCGAGATCTGATGCACAGCCTTCGAAGGATCCGAATGCTTCCCCAAGGTCCTTTTTCTCAATTCCTATTTCGCAGCGAAACATTTGGAGTAAGCCAAAGCGCTCGTGCCGAAAGTTGTCCGCTGATGGGCCCTCGTGCGCTCAGGGCTTTCAATCACTTGCTTTCCTTTCTCCATTCTCTGATTCCTTTCCTGCTTTGCTTTTCTGCTTTTCGGCACCGGGTAAAAGCTCGAGGATTCTGACTGTTTGCTCGTGCTTTGGATGCAGGGCGGCAGTAGCAGCGCGGACCTGCAAGCGGGTTTGTCGGAGTGGCGGGCCATTCACACCGCCGTCTTCCCGCCACCCCCCCCGGAAGTGACGGAGCCGCAGTGGAAGCTGGACCGGGACAAGTACGCGGAACCTGAGGTGGATTCAGTCTTGATGCAGGTAATCCGATTCACTTAACCCGGGTGCAGGTAATTGTATGCACTAACCCGTGCCAAACCGGTGCGTCTTCCCTGGTGGCTGACTTTCGACCGTTTGTCACCACGTGCATTTATGTACGAGCGACCCGTTATTGTGAGACGTTTTGGAAGTTGTGTAAGATTCTGCGGCGTAGTCCACCCGAACGAGCTGCGATTGTTATTTTTGATGCAATTTCCGGCAAGGAGATTTGTAACGATCTGTTTTGGATTGCCTCTTTCCAAAATTTTGTATGCGGTTTGGCTTCACATCAATGCGGAATGACTGACGCGTCTTAAACCTTGATGCAGCTGCAAGCCGGAGACCGGAAAGCAGAAGCCGAGGGACAGGAAGAGAGTAGCAAAGGAGTCCCAGTCCAGCGGTGACATACAGGCACGCGACGGAGAACGTCTAGACTCTGTCGACTCCGCATCAACTTCTCTACGTGTTTGCTGTACTTGCCGTTCCTGACGGTTGCGAGGAATCATTGACGCCATGCAGTGTTGCTGTCTGAATGGTCTGCAAGCGCTAAATGCTGGTCGTCAATCAGCCGCAAGCGCAGAAGCCGCGAGGTGGGTTACGAAGGGACCCGTCAAAGAACTTAAGTTCCAGTGCTTAAGAGTTTCAAGGTCTGCTCATTCGTTTCGCCTCATGGCAGTGCCGTCGGTCATGTCGCGCCCACGTGCAGCAATGATGCTTTTCGAAGGCCGGGCGGTTGAGATGGCTCACGTTAGGAACTTGCATGCTACATGAGAGTTGGTGATGTCCAAAGCCCCTTAGCTTCGAGACAAATGTTAAGGTCGTGTCCACATACTTAAGATCAATTGAGTCGTTACGTATGTACACTGATCTACTGCGTTTGGAACTCGATCGAGCTATATGCTGCCAGCGCTACGGATATCATATGCCGCGGCGACGACCGGCGCTAGCTTGCGCGAATGAATGATGATAATTAAGTCTGCGCATGTGCATAATATCTCATGTTACTGCGCGGTCAAATGCATCATGTGTGCCATCATTCAAGGTGGCCGGGATCCCTGAAAACGAATCCTCTCAATATGACTGATTAGTGTGTCCTTGAATACTATATAGATTATGCGCGCAACGATTGCATCGCAACCACATTAGAACGTCAATTCTCATAGGGATGACCTGCGGATAAGAGAGCATGCTGATTACTATGCATTTTTCGACCGCATGTTGAATTGAACAAACCCGGCCGGATGATCATGTATGTACCCTGGCCTCGTCGTGTCAAGTGCGGAACGTGTCCTGAGCCTACGGTATCTCAACCACGATCTCGTTGTTTCATGATGTTATGAACGTGTTCATGCATCCAAATTGAATCACTCCATATTTTCCACAAATTGTTTGACCTGAGTCCTACCAAAATTTACAAGCAGCTTTTAGAACTCGTGTCTCATCTGGTCTAATGCTGACGCGATCAATCGAAGTTTCGTTCGAAATCCGCTTATAAGGTTGCAGCCAAGATCAACCGTTCTTGCCAAAGTACGATTCTATAGCCATTGTCTAGGTTGCCTAGTTACTCTTCGTCTAACTTTCTGTAGCTAGCCTGCAGTTCTAGGAGCGTGCTGAGACACACCAGCAGCCACATGATGCTGAGCGCTCCACCTTGCGGAAAGACGACCTCCTGAAAGTGGTTGGCGTGACCCAGAGTTGCAGGATAGACCAGTGCGGAGACCCAACCGATCGGATAAACGATTGTGACCACCCGAAAGCTGAAGTGGACATCGTCCTTTGCCCTGCGAATCGCCCCTGCCAGGTTCTCTTTTTCCTGCGACCGTTATAGCTATCTCAGCACGGGGTTAAATCGTAATTTTCAAACTTTTTGAAGGGATTTTCGCGCAAATCAACGATAACAGCAAGCCTTAAATACCGGAGGCGCTGATTGGGGGCGCCGTTTATCTTTTCAGCGAGTACCATATAATCAACAAAGCTCCTGTATAGAGCTGGTGATTGACGACCGTAGGCATCGAATCCGCCAAGATTTGTGTAGCAGTCTGCTCACTCACCCCGTTCTTGTCCCCAAAACTGCGCGCCATCACCCTCGCTCCCAGGGGTTGCTACAATATATAAAGATAGGAGAGAATGAGGCTTTGCGCCAAGGATCTAACAAGCCAACCAGGCTCCTTTGTCCTTGCACGATGCGGAAGGTCGATAAGCCGCCAGTCTGCCGCAGTCTGAGTTGGGTGATTGATGAACAGCTGGTCTCCAATTACAAGGAGCAGAGTAACAAGACCGGTCAAGCCAAGCGTCGTGTCGTTTCGACCAGATTGTCATTGATGCTACTAATTTTTCGGTAAATTTGGCTCAATCTGGACACATTCGCCTCATGTAAGCGTGTGCGATGATCTACCTGCTTAGGGTTTTCATTGCATTTCACCCTCAGAGTGCGGCTCCAGACCTTCGGAACCCCAAAAAGCTGCAAGCACACTTGAGAAGATGAATTAGATTTTGAAAGAAAATCTGAGCCGCAAAACTGTGTCAGCGTCATTTTGTCAAAGCTTTTCGAAACCTTTTCATATATAAGGGTGTCAAAAGCCAAAAATTTGAGGGTAACCAAGGTCGATCACAATGTAAGAAATATTTTCTGGACATTGCGGTGATATCAACCATGCACAAGGACTTTAGTAGGCCAATCTGCAAAGGCGTGTTGAGTAGATGCGCAAATGCAAACTTTGACTCAAGAAGCAAATCTTTCTCGGCCAGAATGGAAGAGATTGACTTCAGCTATTGATCAGCAGTCGTGCCTGATTGTGCTTCATGAAAAACTTCAGAGAAAGACACGATCCAAAAACCTTCATGTACCAAACGACGACTAAGGAATATTTAATGGTCTTGCACGTAGGTCTATATTTCAGCATTTTTACAACGAATATGCCTCAAGAAACCCAAGGCGTTCAGGCGCCCCTGCTTGATTCAGGAAACGGTAACTTGAAGCAGCGCTCAAGGTTCTGTCTGATAAGGTGCATAATCTTCTGCCAAGATTGGATGCAATTCCAAGATCTTCTAACTCATTGTGATTTTATGAAAGACATTCGACCTACCTTTATGAGCAGGGGTCTTCTGTGATCATTGAGTCCTTTGATCGATGCATGCCCCTTGCCAACCACCACCGGAGAAACTAAGCTCCTCTCGACCGCCGCTGCCATCTGCTTCGAGGTCTCAGTGCTTGCAGAGACGAAGGTTCAACGTTCACAGTCTGCGCAAGTAGATGGAGCTAACTTGCTCTCAGGCGCTCCTGCTCTCTTTTTGATGGCAAAGATCTGCTACCAGGAAAACCTCCAACGCTTTCTGATTGGATGCTCGACGTCGCTCGCCAGCTCACACTGTGGATGCGAAGCGAAGAAGTGCGAAGCCCATTTTTGGAGCTGAAGGGAATCGACCAGATCAAAGCAGTCCTGTGGACCATAAGGTTACACTCTGAGGACACCATTCTGAGCGCGCGCGGCTTGCCGCGGCCGCATCCAAGTTAGATCTTAACAGCCGCGCATGCCGCCGGGCGGCCTGCGCGGCCGGTCTAGCAAATAGGCTAACTTGGCGCGAACCTTTGTAGGTGGCGAAAATGTGATTCTGCACATTTTTAAGCAATGCGTCAGGCGGCTTGGAGTAGCAGATTATGTGGCCATCCATTCTAAACAGCTGCCTGTCGGCGCGAGTTGTATCTTAGGTAAGAGGAAGAGGAGTCTCGTGGTGTTCACAACGCTTCAGATCTTCGATAGTCGGAAAGGCTGTCACCACAAAAAAGTACAAAGGAACGGTGAAAACCACTGCCAATGGCACGAAGGGAATGTATACTCATGGATTTTTTGCTTCTTTGTTACCGTATACCTATATACGAACGGGGCTGCTACAGTCTTCCAAGTACGAAAACGAACATGAATCCCTCCAAGTGATCCTGATTTTACCCGGATCACTGCATTCTTTTGTTTCAGGACGGATGAAATCTTCTATGCAGCTTGATTTCAAGACTCATGTCTCATATGAAGTCTCGTGTCTTGAGCTGACGCAATCATTCTAACTTCGCTTGAATCACGATTCTTGAGAGTGCAGGTATACCAACCTTTCCAACGTACGAATCGACAATCATGATCTAGGTTGCTTGATTACTTTTGGTCTAGCTTCCTGTAGGTAGCCTGCAGTTCTAGGACCATGCTGAGAGACGCGAGAAGTAACACAATGAAGAACGATCCATTTAGCGGGAAGACGACCTCCTGAAAGTAGTTGGCGCAAAACCATGCAGGAGTCGCCAGTGCAGAGATCCAGCCGATAGTATAAGTGACAACCACCCTCTTGAAGTTGGTGAGAACATCCTTCTTCCCCTTGCTGATTGCTTCTGCCAGGCGGTCTTTTTTCTGCAACCGTCGAATCCGTGTCAACGAGGGGTTGAAGTAAAGCTCGAAGAGTTCAGCACTTTGACCGGAACCCAGATAGGACCTTGAACCTGGATCACGGAAGGCGCTGATCGGGATGCCGTTGACACCTCGAAGCAGATTGCAATCAGAACAAGCTGCGGTACTTTCTAACCATATTGCCAGGATCGTGTAGCAATCACCTCACTCACTTCGTTCTCCTTCTCGAAGCTGCGTGCCCTTGCCCTGGCTTCCATGGTCTGCCACGAAAGTAAGGAATCAGGATTTAGCGCTTCGATAAAGCGAACTTCTCTTCCCTGTTTTCATACCTACGAAGACCAATATCGACCGGCTTTTCGCGAATCTGGATGAATCATTGTGTGCGTGGAACCACTGCAAATATTGCACTAAAGCAGCATTTGAAAATTGGTCACGCAACATGGTCGTTTTGGTTCAAAACGAAAGTGTCAATTCACGTGAGATCCCTCCATATATTGGCGTTGTTAACCCCATGAAAGCATCAAGAATGGATTGATTGCTTCTGATCGCATCTCACCGGTGGAGTGCCGCTCGAGACCTTCGGGACGCCAAAATGCTGCAAGCAGAGCTGCAAAAATTACAAACCTCAAAAGACAAGACTCTGAGCCGCATGATTTTCAGCCTTGTCGGATTTCATCTAGGTCTCGAACATCAAGAAAGACCATTTGAGTGTTAAGGACCACAATCAGTAAACTCAGTGTTTTCTGGAAGGCATGTGTTATGAAGTTGGCCATGCACGAGGAAGGCAGAGCCCTAAGAACCGAGAAAAGGGCGTTTCAAGTAGGTGTTCAAGTCTATATTCTGAGGTTGTGAGCCTGCGAAACATCAAGAAGGTGAGATTTGTAGCCTGCAAAGAAAAATAACGTTGTTTGAACGATATTATGGAAAAGCCCGTCCTGTGAGTCCAATCATGGCTACAATAACTAAAATGACGAAATTAATGTGACACCCTTTAAGACGTTTCAAATGAAAACTGAATCCACCTTTCAGCAGAATTCTTTCAACCCTCGTCATAAACTCCAGCTTTTCAGGCCTTTCAGCTTGTTTATGCTGGAGATATCTGTGCGGGTTTTCAAGCAATCTCTTTGGAAAGGTGCATGCATTGTACCAGTAATCTGAACACTCCAGGATTGAGCTCTTATCCGATGGTTGAACTTGCGCAAGTCCTACAACCTACCTTTTTGATGAGAAGTCTTTCAGCACGACCTTTGCTTGAAGCGTGCCCCCTATCGACCCCATTCGGAAAGCCCAAGCTCCTCTCAATTGTCGCTGCCATGGCCATTGGCACAAAACCTCAGGTACGAATCCTTTGCAGAATGAAGGGTCACAAACTTGAAACTGCGCAAGAGGATAGATCGCAGGCGCTCCTGCTCTGGTCTTCGATGCCAGTCGAAGTGTCCTATGGAAGTGAAGCGCAGGTCTTTTGATCGGCTGCTCGACGTCCCTTGCGCATGCTCACAATCTGCATGTCGAGACAGTGCGAAGCGCAAGTTTAAAAAGGATCGACAGAGCACTGCACTTCAATCTTCGTAGACTCTAGGTATAGCTAGCGAGCATCGGTCATCAGCAGCTAGCCGCCAGGCTGTGCGCGTCGAGTCTGCGGGCGCCGCTTGAATAACAGCTAGTCGCGGTGAGGCGCGGCCGCATTTTGCCTGGCCCCGTGCCAGGCCTGTGCGCGGCCGCGCGGCCGGCTTGGCGCAAACCGACTCGAATGTCATTTCGACTGTTGCCTTAGCATTCTAAGTCGACCTGCATGAGCTATTCCTACTTCAAGCTGCCTGGACGCAAGTTGCAAGGTCAGAAGCGCACTCCTTCGCTGGAAGCTCAGAAGCGTAAGACGGTAAGTTGCAACACGAGGGTGGAGCTTGTCGAGTTAGCATACCTTCGAATTAATGTAAAAGTTCAGCTTTTCTGACCCAAAGACGTCTGCATGATGTCTTTAAACAAAGCCAGACGTTCGTTTGTATTCAGTTGATATATTGCTGAGTACTCCTGTCTTCACTGGCAGCGTTTTTTCTGTGTCGAAAGCAAAACAAAACGCTGTCCTTTCGATTGACCTGCCACAGTTCAAAAGAACACCTGAAAAAGAAGCGGGGTGATTTGTCCACCAGCTTCTTCTTCCTTTAACTTAGAAAAGCACAGGGGTGATGAAGCTCAGGGTAATCCAGAGGCAACTGCAAAGCTTGAGGTTTTTGCTTATTGAGGCTCCATGCTGAGGATTGGTTCAATTCTAAAGAACGTTTGTTAGCTCTTCCCTGTACGGTCTCCTAGTAAAGCTTTAAGACTAGGTCTCGAATCAAAGTTCTTTGAAAATGAAATTCAGTCAAAGGTATCCGTTTTACGGCAAGGGAAGCAGTGCATTACCGTTCTGGTTTTGTTCGCAATCTTCGATGAATACTACTTTGCAGTTCGGCTACTACAAGCAGGATAGCTGTAGGCGTCTGTCAGTTGAGAACAACACGGGAGAGTGTCGCTCGAAACCAATCCAAAATTTGAGGGAATCTTGAGACGCTCCAGCAACGAGTCACAACCTCGTAATGGTGACCATCCGTTGAGTTTTTGTTGTACATGACAAGAGAATGCAGGGAACGTTATCCGAGCCCAATCTCGAAAAGTTCAATTTTCATGCCTTTGCAGATGGCCTTCGAAGTCGCTACACCCCGTTGTCCTTTTTCAAGGATCTGATGGTGCAGGAAGCTGTACTTGAAAGATCCACCGCCGTAGAGAAGCTCAGCTAGAGGCACTTCGAGAGTCTGTCCGCAGCTTGCGCAGAGCTCTCGAGGCGGAGGCGGCGCGCAAAACTAAGGCAGAGGCGGCCGCGAGGCAGGCCCGGTCAGAAAAGAACGTCCTTCAAGCGCGAGTCACGAGCTTAAGCAAGGATCTTGCCAAAGCACAGAGCGATCTAAAGGAGGCCAGGTCAGAGAACGAAGTCCTAGAAGCAAGGCTTTCAGCACTAGAGACGGTGACAGCGGAAAAGGAGAGGGAGGGCAAGCAGAGAGTGTCGGCTCTTGAGGAATCTCTGAAGGGCTTCCGCGAGGCGGGCGGGCGATGCGCGAAGGAGCGCGAGCGATTCTGTTACGTACTCGCATCCAACGGCCAGGAGGGCTCCGTTCCTTGGAGCGCCCTGGCGTCCGATCCGGAGTCGCTGCTTCACAAGATGTACTGCGGGGAGTGGGACTACGCGCGCGACGAGAAAGGGCGCGCGCTCGTCACCTGCCACCCGCAACGGTGGGCTGCCATCATAGAGCACCTGGCGACCGGAGCGGTTCCGGCGGAATGGGATCCGCAGCTCCTGGCGCAAGCGCGGCACTGGAACCTGCAGCGCTTGGTGGAAGGCCTCGAGGCTTCGATTCCTGGGATGACCGTTACGGCCGACCCAGACTCCAAGGGGTTCAAAGTCCGTTGCGTGTTTGCGTCCGTGATGAAGGAACTGAGCAGTGGCGAGAAGCTGATGAAGTATACGTTTTCAGGGCCGCAGAAACGATGGTGGGCCGTGAAATTGACGGAAAAAGGCATTTGCCTTGGTGCTGTTGCGCCTCCGCACGCTGGCAGTTCCAAGGTAAGCGGGTTACGAGAGATCAGTGCAGTTCTGACGTTTCGAGTAGTTTTGCGGAATGGAGACATGGTGAAGAAATCCGCAGACCCCGTCCTATTTTCTGCCGGGAAAGAGGAGGATCGGGGCTTTTTCTGGCAGAGATGGGAGCACGACTTTCATCAGTTAGTCAGCGAACCTTTGGCTCCAGCATACAATTGTCTTGTAGTTGAGATAACAGCCCGCTACGTAGACTGAGTTGGACAGGCAAAGCACTTTTCTACTGTATTATGACCGAGAAAAGTGATCCATTTGCCTCGCATAGACCGTTGCAACATGGCGTGTGCCCCTTTGTTGCTTCAGCCAGAGTGACGCGGCATGCTTGTCGGGTTACCTATCATTTTGGTTGCATGCGATTCCAGATGTATTGTCCTGTGCCAATGAACACATGTACACATACGCGATTGCATCGTTTTACGCTTCTCCGAATCCATCGCATCGGAGACTAATTGCAGCAACTTGCAAAACCATGCTACCTCCTATCTCATGCTTAATCCACACAAGACTATCAACCTCATAGACTGCGCTCTTCTCGAAAATCACTGCCATGGCCTGCCCTTGCTCCCTATCACAGGTCCTAATCCTCTGCAGAAAAGAGGCTGCAACCTTCACAAGTGCGCAAAAGAATGAATGCGGGTTGCGCTCAGGCCCTCCTGCTCTCCTTTTGGTGCCGCATGTCTGCTATACGAGTGAAGCCTCCAGGTCTTGTGATTGGCAGCTGAAAATCAATCGCAAGCTCGTGACATTCTCTGGATGCGAAGGAGTGCGAAGCGCGCGCAAACTAGAGCATCCAGTCTCAGAGTACGGTTCGCAGGCTCTGCGCCTCGCGGCGCGGCTTGAAGTAGAGGCTGACGCGGCCGCGCACGCGCAGCCGCTCGGAACAGACTTGGCCCGGCGACCTGCATGCGCGCGCGCGGCTACCACGGGACGCGGCCGGCTTGGCACAGATCGCATAGCCTGAGCCGTCTCGAAATGTCTTTCATTCACATCACCATTCCTAGAAAGCTGCCTGTTGGTGCAAGTTGCAGCGTCGAACAAGCAGTCGGCAGTCGCTAAAGCCCAGAGGCTGAGAAGGTAAGGTGCAACCCGAGAGAGGAGCCTGTACGTGATTGTGTACTCTTGTTTTGCATTTGAAAGCTTTCACGATCTCAGGACGTTGCTTGAAGAACTGTGAATAGAACCAGACTTTTTCTGTGCTCATTTGACCTTCGTCCCTAGTGGCAGCGTGCATTCCTCTGTCAAACTCTTTCAAAGACTTGCCGCACTTTGAGAGGATGCATCGAGGATGAACAGGTGTTTTTGTTCATAACATCTCCCTTCGTTTAGCCAGAGATCCTTAGAAGGCGAGAACATAATTCAGACGCAACTTCAAACCAGAGATTTCTGCTTGAGGCTTTGTTTTGAGCCTCTTATAATTCCTTCGAGAAGACTTGTCCTGGTCAAAAAATGGTATGTAAGGTAGTTGTCGAGAAAAGCACCAGAAGGAGCTCCTGACCCACTGATCCTCAAGTAAAAGAATTATCTTGAAAGATAGTCGCGGCGAAGGTCTTGATTGTATGATATATTGTGAGAGTCACAGTGCTTTGGTCACTTTATTTTCTACTTAGTGCACTTCCTGTAATACATCTGTATTCAACTTTGCTTGCGCTTCCCACCTCCCTTTCCACCTCCCGACTTTGCTGACCTTTCAATTTTCTGCCTACAAACGGGCCAGCTAGGATGCGATCTGACATGGGAACAAAAGAGAGGTGTGGTCTTCATTCCGTCGTTTAGGAAGAAGATAAAGTCGCTTCTGAGCAACAACTTACAACTTGTAGCAGGACTAGCCGTTGAAAGGTCGTCGTATCTCAGAAGACGAAGTAGGAGAGTTCGAGGGCAAGCCTAAACACAGGTCAATGCGCTCCTTTGCAGATGGCACTCAGACCAGCGACAAGCCATTACCAATTCTTCAAGAATCTGATGGTGGCCATGGGGTGCTCACCATATGAGCAAGAGTCTTCGTCTACTCGCGATCGCTCTCTTTCTGACGTGCTAGAAGCAGCATTACCAGAAAGGGTGCAGAGATTAGCCCTTTAAGGAAATAGCGCCGGAGAGAGCGCGGAAAACGCTGAGCTAGAGGCGCTTCGAACGGCTGTCGGCAGCTCGCGCAAAGCTCTCGATGCGGAGGTGACGCGCGCGACGGAGGCAGAGGCGGCCGCGAAGCAGGCCCAGTCAGAGAACGAAGCCCTTCAAGCGCGAGTCACGAGCTTAAGCAAGGAGCTTGCGAAAGCACAGAGCGATGTAAATGAACTCCGGTCAGAGAACGAGGTTCTTCAAGCGACGCTTTCAGCGCTGGAGACGGTGATAGCAGAAAGGGAGAGGCAGAGCAAGCTGAGAGTGTAGGCTCTTGAGGAATCTCTGAAGGGCTTTCACGAGGCGGGCGGGCGATGCGCGAAGGAGCGCGAGCGATTCTCTTACGTACTCGCATCCAACGGCCAGGAGGGCTCCGTTCCTTGGAGCGTCCTGGCGTTTGATCCGGAGTCGCTCCTGTACAAGATGTACTGCGGGGAGTGGGACTATGCGCGCGACGAGAAAGGGCGCGCGCTCGTGACCTGCCACCCGCAACGGTGGGCTGCCATCATAGAGCACCTGGCGACCGGAGCAGTTCCGGCGGAATGGGATGCGCAGCTCCTGGCGCAAGCGCGGCACTGGAACCTGCGACGTTTGGTGGAAGGCCTCGAGGCTTCCATCCCTGGAGTCACCGTCACAGCCGATTCAGACTCCAAAGGGTTTAAGGCACGTTGCGTTTTTGTATCCGTGATGAAGGGACTGAGCAGTGGCGAGAAGGTGATGAAATATAAGTTTGCAGGGCCTGAAGGTCGATGGTGGTCAGCAGAAGTGATGGAAAATGGCATTTATCTCCGATCTGTCAAGCCTCCGTGCGGTGGCGACTCGAAAGTGAGTGAGTTGGAGGAAATCAGCACACAGTTGACGTTTCGGATAGTTTTGCGGAACGAGGAGATTGTAAGGACAACAAAAGATCCTCATTCATATGCTGCTGGAAAAGAATCGGATTGGGGCTTTAGCTGGAAACACGGATATCAACAGTTAGTCAGCGAGCCTTTAGCTCCAGCTCATATGACAATCTTGTTCTCGAGATAGCAGCTCGCTACAAAGTGTGAGTTGGAAAAGCATGGCAATTTCCATGACCCATCCAAACCAAGGAATAATCTTCCAGTTGCATGCCTTGCAGAAATATTGTTGCATACGCTGGCATATGAATTGCTTTTCTTTCAGTCTAAGAGACGCAGTGCAGGCTTGTCGGGTAACTCGTCCTTTCTGGTTGCACGCGTTGCAGCTTGTTGCCCTGTGCCAATGAAGACACACACGGAAGATACAAACTTGCATATCATTTTGTGCACTCTCAGCCAAATCATTGCATTGGATACTGGCTACACGTACAGCATGCAACTTGCAACTTCATGCTAGCTTTTTGCACCGCTCTAATGATATCGAAACTAGGGCTTATTTCGAGACTCTGACGGATACTTGTCTACAGGAGCATGATCATCTTTGGATAAGCTGTGTTTATTAAATTCCCCGTCACTTCTCAGATTGCTAGTCTGGATGAACGAGGCTCCTAAGACACCTCATTTTGAAACTTCCCGGGCCGTTCGTCGCAGGTATGGTTTGTAAGTAACTTCGATAGTCGAGAAGCACCGGGAACTGCCATGCGCATCATGTCATCATGGTTTTGAATTCCTCGTAGTCGATGAAGCCGGATCCGTCCAAATCTGTTTCCTTGATCAGCTGCTCTATGTCGATCGTAAGCCCAAAATCCTGCAAGCATCGAGAAGTGATAATCTTGCAAAGGTATCCGGGTAGCGGTTCTGAAGTATCCTGCAGCAGGAATCCGGGACAGGCTCCAAAGGTCCGCCACGTGTCAACGCAGAGTTCTATATCTCAAGCTATTGCGCAAGCATGATAGAAAGGCGTTTTGACCATTCGATAGCATCAGGCGTGGCCTGTTAAAATCAGATTGACAGACCCGTACCCTGTAGATTGAGGTCGGCAGAGCCTGCTTTCTTGGTTTTGAGTCAAAAGTCGGTCCTCTGGACAACTATTTCTCGTCTCGTGGGGCGCCGCACAGGCTTTGGGGACCCAGTGAGTATTCAAGTCTCGTTGTTTGCTCAGAATTCAGGCTGAAATTCCTTTTACAGACTCTACTTGCCATCGGTGCCGTAAATCAGAGGGCTGCCTTTCAACCATAATAGGACAAGCAAGGCCTTGCTCCAGGCACATTTATGAGTGCTGTTGTTTTGCAAGCGAAGCACGATTAGATGCTCACCTTAATCACGGCTCGCAGCTTTTCCGTCGAGATTTGCCCGCGCTTGTCGGACTGCAAGTAGGGCGAAGCAAACGCTTTGACTTCTGCTACGACGCATCTCGAGGGAAAAAAAGATTCTCAGAGGAAGCCTCTAACAAGAGCAATAGTTTAAGCGGCCTTCTACCAAGCATATGGGTAAAGTCTGGCTCGTTGCCATCTTATCCGGCGTGTAGTTTCTTTGCCGAACAAACGGAGAATTGAGTGCATAGGAATCAAAATCTAGCAGCTTCGAATCTGTTCAAAAAAGTTCCTGCTTTCCATAACTTTGACTGCAGATCCTCAAGATTGCTGATAATGACAGCGTTTCAAGCTGCTTCGTCTGAAACAAGCAAGCCGTAGTGGAGCGAGGGTGAAACTTAGAAGAGCGGGTAGCTTTTTCCACAACTGTACGACAGGTGCTTGATACGCCTTGTTTCAAGAGAGCCACTTCGCTTTCGTTGGTTGAAACGGTTTATCAGACCCGAAAGAGGACGTTCGCGCTCGAGAAACCCTCCTTACCTCGCCTCCAAGTGCAATAAAAGCGTCCAACGTGTCCGTCTCGTCGCCCATGGCTGCAAGCACCTTCTTCTGATTCTCAATCACCTGCAATTGGGGTACAATGAAGCGTGAACATTGACTACAAAGAACCAATGCTCCTTTGCAGGACTGAACGTCGGCAGAAAGGTTGTGCAATATAGCTGGCACAAACCTTGATGCAGCAGGTTTAGAGCGCCTCTGCTGAACTCTCACCATTCCTTTCAAGAATAGAATCTGCGCAGGGAGCAATGAAAGCTGATAGGAAGCCGGAATCTGATCAAAGCAGACCATTTCTGCCATCCTGGCCAAATCTGAAGTCGCTCATCTCTTCGCGTTATACACCTGCTTCCATCGTTGGGGGGCTTCTTTTGTCCATATCATCACAGATTACGAGCTCTCTACCACACGCTGCCAAGACAACTTCTCCATAGCTACCGATCGATATCCAGACACGTCTTTACTGCCACTATGTCGAATCCTTGTCAAAGGCATGCAGACCGACGACCAAGCAGTAGCAGGGGGCGCACCTTGAGAAACTCGGGGAACTCGATCTCCCCGCTGTTGTCTTCATCCACCTGCGCAATCATGAGGAAGAGCTCCTCGTCCGTTGGTTTCTGCCCCAGTGCCTCTAGGGTAGCCCGCAGCTCCGTGGCATCAATTGTGCCACTCCCTGTGCACACATTAGCGAGGATCAGCCTTTACTTTGCTGAGGTCAGACAGTCGGAGATTGCTCTGAAAGCTGTAGACTGGCGTTAACAGCATTGTTTGCAACGGGGGTGGTGGCCAACATGTGCTTGGGCCAACATTTGCCCAGCTTGAGCACGAAGCTCAAAGGTTTTGGCACTTCGTGACCATGTTCTCTTCAAAACAGCGCAACGTCTTTAGTGCCTCACATTGTATATTGCTCGCCTTTTCTAAGTAAACTCTGTCAATCTTATAGGGAGATTGCACCGTCGATGTACGGAGCATTGGGCACTTGAGTACAGAACTTTGTCAACGTGGTGGTGGAGCTTCTCATCTCAGAATCTTGCAGTGGAATAGTGCTTGTAGTCCAACATCAGCCACTTAAGAAGCGGCCTTTTAAGCCCCTTCTTGACTTGTTCCTGATCCGGTCCCCGTCTAGTACTTTTAGCACGTGTTATTGAGCATTAATCATCGTTGAGCTCACCATCCCTGTCGAATCTGCTGAACGCCTCCCTGCATCCGTCTATCTCAGCCTGAGTCAGCATGACTCTCTCGTCCAGGCACTGTTTGAATGTCAAGCCTTTTAAAGCATACACAGCTTTTCTAAATGTGTGCTTGTCTTTTCAGGTGTCTGTGATGCAAATGTTTGTATCACTAGCACCAGGACTTTGGGGCCCAATCCCATCCAGATGAAGTTCGATCCACCATCATAGTGGGAAAATGATCATCACTTCAGCTGGCACTGCCACTGGCAAACGTTCTTTGAGCTCGATCCGCCTTTTTCCTCGCTTTGCCCCTCGTTTGATTTGGTCAAAGTAGAGTCCTGCTTCTTGCAGCGCTGGTCCTTGCAGCTGTAGCCAACACTGGCAAAGTGTGCAGCTCCTTCTGGCAGGTTCTTAGTTCTTACGCTCATTGAGGGAGGAAGATGAGTCCTCAACTTTGAGCTTTCTTGTCAAGGGAGTGCTCAGCTCACTGGAGGAGATGAGGGCGCTTCATAGAGAGCGAAACGCCGAAAGAAGGGAAGCCTACCCTAGCGAGGCCAGCTTTCTATGTTTACGTCACGCTCAACCTAGTGGCCATATGGGCGATCGTGGTATACTCAGAAGCAGATTGAAAGTTTAATTCGAGGTAAGTACCCGACAGGTACTGAGTCCTGACTCGGACTCAACCAGCTTAGTAGGTGTACGGTCGGGCGGACCGTCGTTGTACATCGACTAATAAACACCGGCGCGTATACATCCCTCCACAATGTTGTATGCGCGCGTGGAAAACCGATGAAGTCGCAGCATCGTTCGATGCAGATCTGACGATCCTAAGGCGCCAAAGGGCCCTGATAGCGGCTTCTGGCAAGTTGACCACCTGCACCAGGCTGAGGCTCGTGGCAGTGGAGGCCATCATTCTTCGCTAGCTCGTTTGCAAAGTTCATCTGCTCAGCAGCTGCTTGACGATCTCAGATCGATGTTCACAGGTTCCTGCTCTTTCAACGATCACTTCTGTAACCATTCACAAATGGCTGCTTCATTTCTCACAGTAAGTTAGCACTGCATGGAATTGAGGAAGAGCTTTTCTAACGTGGGCGCAAAAATTAGCTTCAGCATTGGAAAAGCTTGATGAAGAAGTAGTTGTGACATTATTGGTAGCAAGCAGCAGGAAAGCAATTGCATTCCTCTTGGTATTGGGGTCGTCTTCCACATGGCATCCAAGCCAGATGCAAAGAAACATTCGCGATCTTTTCAAGACATTGGTGAGTGCTTCTGTCCACTTCCCTACAGCACATGGACAGGTCACCTCAAGAAGTGTGTTTCAATCTCAGTTCATTGTGCACTGGACAGCTTGATTGTTCTGCAAGCTCTGGGTGGTTGCTCATAGACCTGCTATTTCTCCTCCATTTTTGTGCAATTCAATCATAAGCACGCTCCACTTATTGAAGGGCTTGAGCTCTTGGATTTCCAAGCTCATATTCTGAGCAAACACTTAGCGGTTGCTGGGGGAATGAGGACAACAAATTCTGGGGCGACACTGGGCGCTTTGCAGAGACCCAAAAACAACGCTGGAGAACAACACCACCCCTGCGAACAATCACAGCTTGGTATGACGCTGAACAATCAGTGGCACTACGGCAGCAAGTTGGTTCTGATTGAGTTTCTCGTATTTGTGCAGTCTTTGGGTTTGGCCCTGAGCCTGGCACCCCACTCGGCCCGATCCCTCAAAAAGCAGAGGCCCCGAGTGATGGACAGGAAGAGGTGGTGGAGGAATGCACCGTGACGCACCGCTATGTGGACAATGACGGCGCCAAGATCCACTTTGTGGAGTGTGGCAAGCGAGGCGCACACCTGGTGAGCGCTGATTAAAAATCACTGACATGCAAGTGGTTGTGAGTGGACGTTGCGGACTGCGGTGCAATCCAAGGGGCAGGGGTCGCGGACTTGATTTTGAAGGAATCTGGTCATGCATGTCTGCTGATGTAGGGAACTGGGGAGTATGGTTACGAGTCTAAAAGAGCGAGCAAGAGTAGTTCAAGGAGGATGGACAAGAGCACAGTGTATGAAGCCGTCTCCATGTTGAAACGTGGGGGCCCTGCTGACTTCTCTTTTTGGTGAACCTTGCAGAGCTCCTCACCACTGTTCAGTGAGCACAGAAGTTAGACCTGGCCTGCCTGACTCAAATCCTTCAAAAGTCTGGTGATCCACGCGGGTTGCTTCTGCAGAAAGTGCTGTGTTTCAAGCCGAAACTACGGCGCGAACGAAATGAGTCTACATAATATGATTTCTGGCATCTTACAGATTCGAGACACTCCATTTTGGTACAGGTCTTGCTCATACACGGGTTCCCCGAGTTCTGGTACAGCTGGCTGTACCAATTCAAGCCCCTCTCAGACGCCGGTTATCACGTCGTCGCCGTGGACTGTCGAGGCTATGGCTGGTCCGCCAAGCCTGCAGCGGTGCGAGAGTACAGCATGAGTAAAGTGACCAGCGATCTTTTGAGGGTTGTGGACACGGTGGCGCCGGGGCGGAGGTGCACCATAGTAAGTACCGGTCGAGAAGGGATTGTCTCATGGTGCTTGCCTGTGCAGCTTTGAGTGACACTATTTTGAAACAGGATTCGCCCAACTCCGAAACACGTTGCCGAGCTTCTGACGAGGACAAGCAACGATGGGGCTGGTCTGAATATCAATTCGAACTTATGGAGATACAATCTGCGCCTCTCTCTTCTGGAGCAGCTTCTCCGATCGCAGCTGAGAGACAAAAGAGAGGAGTACGTCGCCATCAAGCATGCATGTCGCGTCCGGAGTTAGCCCCCTTCATATCTGCAATCGAGACCTTCGCGTCTCTTTACTTCGTCAATATCACAACTGATGAGTGGCTGAAAGTTCAGGCAGACAGCGTAATTCACAGCCCCACTAAGGCTGATCTTCGTTGAGGGAAGGAGTGACCGCACAACGGAAGACCGAACGACACATCATTCGAAACTACTTGCGACTCTTGTTGTCGCAGGTGGGTCACGACAGGGGCGGCCGCTTCTTGTGGGCTTCCTGACGCTCGATCAGTCAGATAAGATAAATCTAACTGACAAAACATCTGGCTTTCAAAGGAAGGGGAGAGACAACAAGGCAAAAGAGAAGCCCGAAAGGCACGTCCATCTCAAGCTTCTCTTTCTGCTGACGTCTCAGGTGGGTCACGACTGGGGCGGCCGCGTCTTGTGGGGCTTCCTGACGCTCCACGCGCAGCGCGTGCTCCAGGCGGTCGTCCTGAACGCGCCGCACCCTGTGACCATGGCCAAAGCACTCATGAGCAACCCGCGGCAATTACAGAAGAGCTGGTACATAGGTGGGTCTACCGTTCAGATTTTAGGCACAGAATAGGGTCTGTTGTGGACTTTGAAGGGTTTCCCACCGTTCTGTTTGAATACGACCGCCCTTGGGTATCCTTGCGGATGCCCTGGTCACCCGAGCAAGATTTGAATCTGTTTGAAAAAATCTGGCCCTGTCTCTTTCTTCAATGAAAGAGTCGATAAGAAAGACATGACTTGGCGACTGATTTGACAGCGGGATCGCATCTACTCGTGCTTATATTGCAAAGTCGAGACGAAGACCAGTTCAAAGGTTGTCACGGATGACATTGCGTCCCGCTCAAGTATCTGTGCCCCAAAACCCGATGCAAAGGTTTGAATGCTTCGCTTTGTCGGCCGTGTCTAGAACTGCAGGCTTCCATAACGTGCCGTGTCGAAGGACCTCCCTCCCTTTTTATATGCTGCTTATCCCCTCCCTCTTTCTTTTCCTTTTTCTCTTGCCCCTCGGGAGGGAAGATGGGCACCCCCTTCGGGAAGGGTTCCCCTCGGAACCACACCGTCCTGGGGGTTCAAAGCCTTGCTTAAAACCGACCGGGTTATGCTCCCGACCACCCCCTGTTATGAAACGTCAAAAAGCAATCAATAGAGTGACGTCGCTCACTCTTGGATGAGGTCCCAGTCCTCATCACGACTGTCGTGCTGCAGGTTTCTTCCAGATGGCGCGCTTGGCTGAGCACCACTTGTCGAAGCAGAGGTAAACTCTTGATCCGGAACCGGAACTTGCATGACGTGATTCTTTCGTCCTGTTCTCGCGTTCTTTTGCAAAAACTTGAAGACGCTCCAAAGCGCAAAAAGGGCAAAGGATCGTGACTCATGAATGAGCAGATAAACATGGAAGAGGTTCCAAAATCTGGTGGTCAGTCTCCAAATAATGACATTGCTTGGCGCAAAGTCCGAAAGCACTAGTCCGGGTTCCTTACCGCGAACAAAAAGCTCTTTATAAACTTCGCCCCTTCAGAGACGCATCGAAAACCTGCACTGCATCGCGGCTTCTGTGACTGGCCAGGAGGCTAGGTTTCGTCGGCGTAAGCGAGGCTAATGTTCCGTATGTCCGCGCCCGTCAACTACAGATGTCGATGAGCAAGATTGAAGGTCTCTCGTCAGGGTGGCGATGTGCTCGCAAGTGGTACTGAACCAGAGCGTCCAGACCAGTTTTCAGTTGCTGAGATCCCTGACTGAATATAGCCCTTCGCCCAATCCCAAAGCTGTCCCTCTTGCCGTGTGAATGCAGGTTCGCTGCTATACGCTCGATGTTCAAAGGCGTGAGGAAGTATCCAGAGGAGGTGGTACAAAGGTACGACTCTCACCGTCCCGCCAGTCTGTCGGATAATATTGAGATTTCCCAGCGTGTTTCTCGAAGAGTTCTCACTCAACGTGCCCGGCTCCCGAAGCAGTCCAAAGCAGTGCCTGTCTTTGAATCACGCCAGAGGGTTTTGAGTTCGCTTTGCGAGAGATCTGGTTTCTGTTTGGACTGTTCGCCTCGACAATGCTGATAAAGAGTATGTCAAGGACTGTGCGTACACGGTCAGTACAGCACAATGAGAGCCTCCATACCCGTCGCCAATGACGTTAGAGCATGCTTTCGGAAGGGCGTTGCCGCCACCGCACACTATCTCTGTTGCGTCACCTCTCACCAGTCAGTGCAATCGTAATGGACAAACTTTCTTCTCAAAAGGATCTGCGAAGTATTTTGCCCGGTATCGCCGTTCCATTCGCCGCCGCAACTCATCGTCCTCTCCTCAAGAACTTCAGGTCCCTATATCCACAAAAGAACCAAACGCATACATTGTTCGCCTGATAAGGGAGCGCCTGAAAAGATTCTTTCTTTGCGCCTGCAGGCACGTCGACGCCATGGCCATCCCGGGCGCTCTCACCGGGGCCCTCAACTACTACCGGGCAGCCTTCGGGCAGGGGCTGTGGCCCGCCCCGCCCGTGGTCCGGGTTCCCGTGAAGGTCATCTGGGGCGAGCAGGACTTTTCGATGGAGAAGGACATCGCGACACCGCCCGCGGAACTCGTGCCCAACGCTCAAGTCACGTTTGTGAAAAAGGTAAGAATGGCCCCGCAGCGCATCTGGCGTTAAGGTTGTTTTGCAGGTGGTTAGAAAGTTGTGAAACGGTATTTTATTGTGGGGGGCTGTAGGACTATGGAACTCTGATTGGGCACGTGCCCTTCTGTGAGGGGTTAGAGTGGTGTCAAAGCCCCTCAGGCAAGGAGGACGCGTCCATGCGTGTTTGCGTGACAGAGCAGGAGCACATGCTTATGTCAAACAAATGCACAGGGACTGCAACTCTTTCTCAACCTGTAGCAAGTGACCTGTGCTACAGGCGCGGTGCCCAATTCTAAACTAATCTGACGTTATAAATCTTGGGTCCTTTCAGGCGAGCCATTGGGTGATGTGGGACGATCCGGAGACTGTGAGCTCGGAGATGGTTGCTTTTATCAAGGAGGGTTTGCGGAAAGTCGCCGAGAAGGAGGACCAAGCACCTTCGTTTTCAAAATTGTGAGTATCATTTTGTCCCTGCACTTTGAAATCTAACCAATAGAGCTCTCTGCTGCATCTACTCTCATCACGAGCTCTCGCAGTCGACACATTGATGATACAGGACCCTCACAGCGACACGGCTTACCTGGCCATTGCAATGGTTTGCGAAGTGTCGCTGCGCTGTGCCAATGAGCGTGCATAGAAGCTAATAATTGTGCACGCTACGTACATATGTGAAGTTTTCCATGTTGTGCCATCCATGTGGGCGACCAAATCTCAACATTAATATGAGGGAGCTTGTACAATCGCGTGTATGGGTTATTATGCATGGTATAGGTATAATCTGATTCCTGGCCTAGACTACTTGCAATGCTCAGTGCATGCAGTGGTACACCAAGCTGCCGCTTTCTGTGTGAGACCATGCGACTTTTTGCTATAGATGCATAGCTGGCATCCGCGAGTCGGAGGCCACGCGGCCGGCCCCCCACCTATTCAATTCAACAAGCGGCCCCGCGATGTATCCAGTATCCTGATTCAGTGCTTTTCCTTAAAAAAGCTCCGCAAAGCTGGTCCAATTAACGCATATATGCTTGCGTGATGGTTGTCAAACTCAAACTCTCAATGACAAGCGGTAGGCTTTCTAATAGGTGACAGTATATTGAAGTCTCAATGCTCATGAGAATTGCAAACATACACGAAAACGTGCGTTGAGACGGCGTGCAGACGAGGTTCTCATATGTTCTCATGCATCGGATTAAACATCTAACTAAGGTTAACTTCAACCGTTAAAGTTGATGAGCGTTTACGTGAAGTGACCAACCAGGCTTGGCGAAGTTTCAGAGCTCAGGCACAAAATAGAGAAACTGCAACGGAAGAAACAAAAGGCTGGATTCGTCACGAGGACTTCCCGGAAGGTCACCCATTCCAGTACTATTCTCGCCCACAGGCGTTTAGCTTCGGAGGTCTGATGGGATCCGGCGCAATAACCTAGGTATGAACGAACCACGGCATGTTGTGCTTCCTTAAAATTATAGAAGATCTTGAAGCCGGCCTGTTCTTGAGTTCGAACCGTCCGATCGACGGCCCACGATCAGCAGTGACCATGATCAATGGTCGGAGAGATTCAAGCTGGATTTATAGACTTCCCGCCAACTTGAAATTCAAAAGTTTGAGCTGGCGCGCTCAGGCTCAGCTAGGCTGGCGCTGGCAGGCTTTGGGCCTTGGCAGGGCAGTCTGCTGGCATGGTTTGATGTCACTGTCACTCACATTCGTCATTCGTCCGGGTTCATCCTGCGCTGGTGCCCACTGCCAGCAGACGCTGCTGGAGGTCACATTTGATGCAGACCGGGCTTCAGTTTGGTCCATTTGAACGCTTTCTTTGATTGCCACCATGGCGAGAGAGAGAATCACAGGCCGGAAGACGACGGGCGGCAAGGCCCCACTCCACAAGCTCGCTCAGCGCCCGCCGCTGGCTGGCGAACAGGCCCCGCCGAGTGGCGCCTCCCCCGTCCTGCATTCCACCAACTCTGCACAGCCCTACAATGCAGCGGCCTCAGAAGGGGGTCAAGCATTGCGCACCATTGCGGATGCTCGCACTGCGCTGCCCGACCTGGGCCCTGACCTCCTGCAGCGGATCTTCGCCAAAGTGGGGCCCAACCCAAGGGACTTAGTGCCTCTTGGGGCCGTCTGCAAGGAGTGGCAGTGCGTTTTAAGCGATTCCACATGGAAGGCGCTGTGCGTGAAGCATGCCGGGGGGCTGGTTCAGGAGCTGGGGTACGGGGAACTAGGGGCGGAAGGCCCCCCAGGAGGCTGGGAAGCAATGTACAGGATGCTCGTGTATTGCCCCGGGCTGCACTACCCGACGTTTGAGAACATCTCAGAAGCTGAGGTTCTGGGCGGCAATGATTCGTGGGACGATGCCTGTGGCCACTTGGTGAAAGAAGTGCGGGGCTTTTGCAAGGGCACTGTGGCGAGGGAGTTTGCATTCCTGGCCCCGCGATTTGCCAGGGATGAGGTGTATGTATCGCAGGTGTGCGCCCACAAAGCCACAGAGGGTTGCCCGGGCGGGGAGTGTGAAGCGCCCCCCGTCCAAGCGTACCGAGGCTTTGTGAAGAACTTCAGGAGCTCGGAGTTGGCCAAGGCAAGTGGAGCAGCTGCTTACCTGAGCAGAGATGCAGATGCAGAGAAGGAGGTGTCTGGGAGCAAGGAAGACGGCGAGAGGTCTGATGAAGAGGGTGTGATGGAAGAAGAGGCGCCTGAGAGCGAGTCAGCTGAGGAGTTGGTGAAGTGTCCTTTCTGCAACGAGCTCATCTTCACGCTAGACGCAGAGTGCTTCCCCAACGCGCTTTCTGACTTCGATGCCCTCTGGTACAGCTACCTGGAGGGTTGGGACGAGGATCGGTCCCAGTCTGAGTCGGTCTTCGACGACATTTTGATGCTGGGCTTCGTGTGCCTGAACGGGCATCTTGTGCTGGGCTCGGGCGGGTGGCCCGAGGAGGTCACCGATCTGATTCCTGGGTCAGGAGAGGGCTTGAAGCTTGACTTGCCCGACGTGGTCAAGTTCGTGCGGCGGTACACGCCATGGAACGACCGGGGCGAGGATGATGATGAGGAGCATTACATAAAAGGATTGGGGTTGGACCAGATGATTACAATGGGGGCCAGGCTGGCGAGCCTGCACGAAAACTGGCCTTCCGTCCAGGAGGACGGGGTCCGCCAATACCGGAGTTTCTCTCAGTATGATAGCCTTCGAAGGGGTCCCATGAGCATCGGCGAATTGCTCGCAAGAGGGCCCCCCCAGAAGGTGCTGGACGGTGTCCGCAAGTATGTCTTGAAGGGGGTGCTGAGCTTCGCAGAGTGCATGGGCCTGGTGCAAAATGCACTGGATGACGTGGTGAAGGAGAAGGCCCGGAAGGAGCGGGAGCGCGAGATCGAGCAGGCACTGAACAAGGGGGGCTTCAGGAATGCGAAAAGATGCCCTGATCCAGCTTCGGTGAAGGAGTACATCCAGGTCAGCCGGCTACCCTGTAATCAACGCGTATGAAATCAGTTGACTTGAGCAGACAAGCAAGGCTGCCAACTGACTGGCCTTTTTGTGTTTGTTGGTGTTTCGTTCCTCTACTGGATTTCGTTTTTGTATCGCTTGTCGATTGAGAGTCTTTCCATCTTCGCAAGCATCGGCGAGCAGGCGTCTTTGAAGTGTTTCGTTCTCAAACTACATCCTGCAAAAGTTGGGCGTATGCACACAGTTGCTGATTTCATTATGTCCGTTCTTGCTGAACATCCTAAGATAAAAACTTGTGTGTTTACCCTGGGACCATCACGTCAGCAATTATCTCTGCCCCATGTGCTCACAGTGCTCATAGGCAGGACAGGAAGCTTGCATTGAAAAGGACCCTCTGTTACAGTCTGCACTTCTGGGTTACGTGCATAGCACGGACACTTTTGCAGACACTTTTCGTACTCACGTTCAGGATCAAGGAATCGAAAGGTCCTCTTGGAGTTTCTTAGCCAATCAACATCCGACCAATCGCTCCATGCAGATTATGTTGGAGTTTCTCTGTCCCTCAGTCTGATTGAGTTCTTAATTTCGACAGAAAATTCAGGTCAAGATCTCTCTTGCAACTTTACATTTGTATCCTTTGCAGGACGGTCTCCTGACCGTGGCAGAGGTTCTACAGCAACAGAGCCTCTCCCGCACAAAGCAGGAGGCGGAAGCGGCGCAGAAGGCTGCTGACATCAGATCGTCAGCAGTAGTAACTGTCCGCCACGTTTCGTCCACAGCGGGGATCAGCCGGGCGCCGCTGCACTCTGTCGCCAACCTGCCATGCAGCCTGGTCATCAACGGCAGGGTTTGCAGAAACTCTGCGTCCAAGTCATGCTCTAACCGCGGCTGCGGCCCCTGCTGCCGAGTGCATCCCGACACGTGCCGGATGCACAAGAAAGCGGCGCTCGGCACCATGGTGCAGTTGCCTTCGGGGCTGCTTAAATAGGACGGAGTGTTAGAACTCCTCGAACTGGTCCCTCCTGTAAAGTGGTACTCTTCCCACAAGTTCGAAGTCGACAGTAAGCTTGGCATGGTATGTGTAAGTAGATTTCCTACTTTGCCATCAAGTCCCATGTGTAGATCATCAACATTCTGCTTGTAGCCTTCGTGACTGGTCAACGGCTGGGGTCGCGAACACCTTGCCATTGAAGCGATTGCCTTTGGAGAGCTTTGCCATGTTCCTTATGGGTCGATCCAACACGTTGCCGACATTCATCATCGCAAAAGTTAGAGCCACTCTTTGGAACTTTGTGCTTATTGTCGAACATTAGCGGTCACATCCACTCAGCACTTGTCTAAGCCTCAGTTGTGCTTGCGTGGTTGATATCCTTTGCATCGCAAGCACAATCAAGACCTTACGGGCAACTTAGGGGAGGTTTAGATGAGAGTAAGCGAGTGTGAGCGCAGGTCTGCGCCTCATTTGCATGTGTACGTTCATGCCACTTTTACGTTTATTTCCGGCCATGCAAATTTTACCGCTTGCATTCATAGCGTCATATGGGATGTTGCAAAATCCATCCGCTGTGCAGCCGGCTGTATATGAATGATCCGGCCTAAGCGTTTAAGCGAAACTGCATCGGTTACCATGTCGGACTTTGATGCTGCAGTGCAATCATGTTGCGAAATACCGGTTAGTATAGGCCGTACATATATGCAAGCATTGAGTCGCGATTGCTTGCAAGTTCAACCCGGCAGGCTACGCATGCAGTCAAACGGCCATGTCATAGATGAAAGCACAAGACATGCAAAAGTGAGCCCAATGCGACATGCATCCATGCAGGGCAAGACGCCTTCTTTCCCAACCATCGCCACAGCTGAAGGTGGGCGCACGTGCAGGCATGCACCTATTCAACTTGAAGTGCTCACATAACGTATGGCAAACGCCTGCATTGCACATGTCTGACACCTTAGCTCCAATAGATCTTGCTAGAGAGCCCATGTACTAGACCCAAAGGAAAGGCAATACACCTGCCGCTACAGGAAGAATCGCCACTACAGTCGCATGAAAGGTAAGCTGGGCGACCCATGGGCTCACAAACAGTGGCCTTTGTTGCCTTGCGTCTGCCGGGGGATAGAGCAGGGAGGAGACGAAGCCGGTCGGGAACAGCGCGAGCGTGTGGAGTGCGCACAGAGTCTCCCAAAGGACGAGCCAGCAGATTCCGCTGCCACCAACGCTGCAGATTAGAGAACGGAAACCTCAGTGTTCTGATTCGGTGATTGAGAGGCTCTCAGGTTTTTACGGTGCAATGTGGGAACTGGACGGAGAACCGCAACAAGGCTGAAAAGAAGAGCCGTAGATGGACAAACCAGAGAGGACCTAGACGCCGAATCCCTCCTATAAGTGGTCTACAAGACGACGGCACCGAGGATCCCCGCATAGAAGAACGGAAGTGGGTATGAACGTAGTAAGCAAAGAGCGACCGTGAGCTGCATTCGAGACGCGCGTTGCCTTTGCTGAAGACTCAAGCGAGCCAGCTTTCGGCGAGTCATGACGCCAAGTCTAGATGTCGTCAGGACCGAAGCACTTAGCTCGCTTGCGCACCAGGGACGAATCTCCAATCTCACCTGAGTCCGAAAAAGACAAAGTTTCGAGCAAGGTCGAGCACCAACCAGAGTCTTATCCCTTAAAAAGCAAGCAACTCAATAAGCAAATCGATATATTATCAGACAGATAGTCCTGCAATCAAGAAAACATTTCAGATCATTATCCCACCTGTCAACCGCTTGTTTTCCAGCATACCCGCACGCCGCCCCCAGCACCAGCAGCAGTACTGTCGACGGCATAACCCGCACCGAACCCGCCACGTTCTGCCGCAACAGCAACGAGGCCATGAATCCGCCCACGACTAACCCCATCCCTAACCGCCCAGTAACCGCTATTTGGCACCCCAGGACCTGAAGTTTCCCTGCCAAGTTATCGCTAACCGCCTGCAACCCAAACCGGCCAAACAGCGACCGGGAGGGTGCGACCTGGACCGCTCGGCACTCGTGCAACTTCGCCCGGAGGTTAGGGTAACCGTAGCGGAAACCCGCCCAAACCAGGGCCGTAACCATGACCACCAACCCCGCGACAAGCTCATCGGCACACCGCCGCGCGAACGCGCCCGCACGCGCCTCTGCATGGCGAGCGGCGTGCATGCGCACTTTTTCGCGCTCTAGTTCGTTCCTCTGACGCCCGACGAAGTTGCTCTCCGACTTCAGACCTAAACCCTCGGTTTTCAAAGCTAACCCCTCGGATGTCAGAGCCAAGCCCTCGGTAGTAAGCCCCAGTTGCTGATTCTGCAGTTCGAGCTCCCTCATTTTCAGTCGGTTCGCCACCAACTGATTCACCACCGCCTGCTCCTGCGCCGCGACCGACCGTTCCGCCAGCTCCATCTCCACGGAACGGCTCCCAACGGAGACGGAACGAGCCCTCTCGACATATGCACTCTGCAGGCTGACGCCCCCGTGGGAACGCAGTGTCAGCACCCCCCCCGTTTCGGACGCTTCGGACACCCCCCCGAAAAGGAGCTGCCGCCCGACGCCGTTCTCTGCCCCCCTTCGCCGCCTCGTTTTCCGGTGCCTCGCCGTACTGCCGGCGAAACTCCACCGCTCGTGGACATCCACCTCCCCCTCGTGCAAGCCCGCATTCATCACGGGTCCTGCAGACTGTGTCTCTCCCCCCTCATCGACGAATCTGGTAAACAAACCGCTCGAAACTTCTTTCGGGGGGTGGACGCACGGGTCGCTGCTTTCTCCCTTCGGGGGGTCACTCTCCAGGGCGCCACTAGCGGATGCCGTTTCCCCCCGACCGCCACTGACGGCACCAAACGCCTGCGAAGGCGCACTTGCCGCTTCCCCCATAGTCATGACATCTTCAACAGATCCTTCCCGCAGCTCCGGCGGAAAGCTTTCCGCTCCGGACAACCGACTTTCCCCCGGTTCCAGATCCACCGTGTAGTTCCTCGTCACAGACACTTCAGCGCTCTCCTCTTCTTCCGAGCTCGAATCATTCGCCCCATACTCCCGCCCAATCCGCAGAATCTCCTCGGTAACCAACACCCCCGGCTTACTGCTAGAGTCACACTCCGGCACCGTTCGGTCTTCGTCCGAGAGCGACGCGTCGTGCTCGCTGGGGCCCTCCCTGTCTAAAGGCGACCGCGGAGACTGGCCGCTAGGTTTGTGTGGTCGCCCGGAAACGAGTGGCGTGCGGGGGCGGCTGCCCCCCGGGGTGGACGAGTGGAGGGCCGTCAGCGTCCGGTAGGTCCGCGAGAAGGAGCGGACGAGCTCGGTGATCAGAGCGTCCGTTGCAAAGTCGCCCACCTGAGAACACACAAGTCGAAACCTGTTTTTCTTCTTGTGGAATTGTTCGGGTGTTCCCCGGTCGTGGGGTGTCTGCCCAGGAAAACATCTCGATGAATTTTGTCGCTAAGTCGCCCACCTTCACACGATCCTTCGAAAGCAATGATTTGACTCGCTCTTTGTGGTCATTGCTTTGTGTTCGTGGGGTTCCGACAATATGGACCTTAGCAGAGAGTGACGCGTTCCGCAGAAGCCTTCTAGCGTTTCGGGAGCCTCGGGAAGCCAAGATGATGCACGATGAAACACCCAATCAGCCGAGATGTCACCAAAGCTCGTCTCAACAGGGAAAAACATCTGGGCTGTCTCTGCTTCATCCAAGGACATCCTTGTAGACTACACATGTCGCTTTCCCGCCAGTTGAACATCCAGTTCATACCTCTCTTCTAATATTGCCACTCCTCACTTTGAGTCTGACGACCAAGACTATGAACCGCAATCGCAAACTGCGGAGTTTGGAAATGGGTGAGAAACACTAGTCTCGGATCTCGCAACTCCGCTGGTCTGCAAGTCTTTCACCTTAGCGACACCATTGGTCTGATTTGGGACGAGCAAAGTGAACCCGCGCTTGTTGCTTACGTGGATACTTAGGGCTGACGTACACACGGCCTCCAGCTTCTGCGCTAGCTCCTCGGGAGTCAAGGGCAGGACCGCCGGGTCGGACAGCGGACGCAGCGCCTGCAGACAGGGATATGCAGGTTGCTCATTGAGATTGAACTCAAGAAAGTTCATAATAAGCGGAGATAAATGATAAGGTAATCGTACTGGGACGGGTAGGGTTACTTTGGTGCTTAATGTAGGTATGGGTGCGGAGCAGGTAACTTTCTGGATTAGGTAATTAGTGTTAGTCCAAGCTTATCATTTTCTTGGCTTATCTTGGCTCATATCATCTTTCTTGAGTTTCATCAAAGTGAGGGCGTCCTCCCAGGTGGCTCTTGGGCATCGAACAGTCCTTGGAAATGCGAGTGAGTGCCGCTGGCGAACAATGAGCCCGTGCGCTTTTGAGCGACCGGCGGAGCGAAGACTCGGGTAAATGGTCGCCTGGTGGGACGGGTCCTCCGACGGCCTTTTCAACGTACACACATACGCAACGGGAAGTGCTTATCAGCGGCTCCAACTGAATCAAAATGAGGACAGGACTGTGCAGGAGTTGTGAGAGAAAGCGAAAGCTCGAAGAAGAGTCGTCGCCGGCTATCGTCATGAGGCTTCTTTGCACGAAATTCTCAAAGTTGATGGACGCCGTCCCTTTTTGCGCCGGCAAAAGTGCAAAAAGCACGGAAGTAGGAAACCTTTGCGTTTCGCTTCCTGCACGAGGCTCTAAATCTCGAGCGACGGTTCCAGCCAGCCAGCACGACCAGTCTCAGATCTCATGCCGTCAATCGATGGCTAAATGCACAGAGCCGTCGTTGAGATGGAAATCAGGGGACAGAATTGTACATGGCCCACAACCAAAAGCGGCTACAGAAAGGGCCCCCAGTCTAAATGTACAAGCCTTCTTCACGTTATTTATCAACATCGGCTGAGAAGTCGAACTCGTAACGGAGGAACGACTATGGACCACACGAAAAGATGCATTTTGAACAGACACAAAAGCAGGGTGAAAAGGTTATATGACCTCTTGTTTTATGCACCGTAATCGCCCAAAAGTCGGGGCCCAGAGGCTCAGTGCTCCCGATCTCGTCATAGACCCCAAGCTGAAGTAGACAATTGACATGGTGGCAAGTCCCTCACCTCTGCCATAAGGCTGCCAGTCGCTGATCCCAGCGCCGCCCCCAGCTGCTGCCCCAAACGATCCTTGTTCCCCTCATTCGTTTCCACTAATCCGGTCTCAACACTCACCATAACATTCTCTCCGTCCCCTGACACCAAGCCCTCCTTGCGGACCAGCGCTGGGATTGCCTCACCTTGGCTGGTGTCAGAACTTTTCCGCACACAGCCAGCGACCCACCGAAAGCTCCGATTGAGCATTCTCACAACCCCAAACACAGACGCCAGACACAGGCCCCCTACAAGCAGAACGACTACATCAAACCCCTCCCTTTTCTTCTCTTCTAATCTCTCATCAGGAGTTGAGGTTTTCGCCGCTTCTGGCGACTCATCTAGCGACGCTTTCCGCAACCTTTCCCGCTGCAACCACTCCTCGAACTCGACGATGGACCGCGCCTCGACGGTTCGAACAGCCGGCAGCCGTCCGGGCTCACCGCCGTCTACACCCCCCTTATTGATTTGGGCATCTCGAGCACCTACACTTATCCATCTTGCAACTTTGCCTCCTTGTCCCCCCTTAGGATCGCCTGATCCAACAAAGACCTCGGTGACCTCACCTAGGGGTGCGTTTTTTGAGGGGATCCCCCTCGGCTGAAGTGGGGGAGACTCCAGCTCCATTTCCTTCCAAGAGGATGTGCCCTCTGAATGCTTCCCCTTGATCTGCTCAGTCTCTGCATCGCGGCCTAGACCCGCTGCTAAGCCCGACTGCGCACCCCAGGCCACTCTCTCGTCCTTCAGAACTGCCGGCTTTGCCCGTGCTTCCCTCCCGTTCATTTCATCTTCTCGCACCCTCACCCCTGCTATCGATCCGCCGAAGCCGTCCGAAGAGTGCTGAACTGCAGGTGCTTTTCCAGGGCTCTGTTTGGAAAGACGACCCCGCTCATTCTTCCTATTGTTGCTCCCCCGCCCTGCCGTGCCAACATCCACTTCAACGTTGGCGTCCCCTTCCGGTACGGCCACCCCTTTTGCAGCTTGTCCCCCTTCGCTAGACGCCTCACAGATCTCCAGACCTGTTTTCTCAAGCGTTTCGCGCTCCTTTACCTCAAAATTTTCACTGGGCCTTGTCACCTCGTCCTCTGCCCCTCGTCCTCTCCCTCTTTCTGGAAGAACCTTCTCGACTGCCGCCACCGAGGCGTGCCAAACCCCCGGCAGGTTTTGGAACCCCTTTCCCAGCTCCGAAGCCTTGAGCTTCTCAGCCCCAGCCTGGCCCCACTCCCCCACTTTGCTCCCCCAAGTCTGGGCTTCAACTTGCGCCCATGCCCCCCATTTCTTTGCAGCGGCCTGCCACCTTGGGTCAATCAAGTCTGCTAACTTGGTTTCTGACAAACCCTCTGACAAACCCTGTTTTGCAAGCTGGTTCACAGCTGAACCCTGATGGGTTTCGGAAGGAGAGCTTGGGGGAGAGCTTGATGCCAGTGGAGTAAAGAGGAGAAAAAGAAGGACGAGCAAGGCTGGACGGGTCATCGCGCACTGGGAGTTTGTGCAATGCTAGAACTCATGACCACCTGCAGGGAGAGGCAAAAGGGGTTGAAAAGCTGCACGCATCGCATGCAAAGTGATGTAGAAAGATGGTTAAGCCGGTGATAAAAATAGACTAGAAGAGTATTGAAATGCTAATAAAAGAGAATTACCAAAGGAAGCCCTTTCTACAGCAACACTGATGGTGGTTACTCAAACAATTCCAGAAAAGGCCTTCCAAAAGTTATCCGATAGGGCGACAATTGCAAATGCTTTGCTGGCGGTGCTTCTTTGGGCATGAACCTGTCGGAGTCCGTAAATAAAGCGCAGGGATGTAGTTAAGCTGTTTAGAGGATATTCAAAGGTGGTAAACATGACAGCCTCGAGATGGGCACCTGCTGATTCCAAGCTCGCACCGTAAGCAGAGAAAGAAAGCAGCAATTTCGACACATAATCACCCAGACATGCTCACCTACACCGGCCAACAAAGAGTCCTGGAGAGATGGTGCCACTTAACTTTTAGGTACAAGGGAGGAAACACCATGATGCCATATATTGATGGTCTGGCGACTCTCGTCGGGCCTGCAACAGTGCAAGGTCAACCATATCTGATTCTCAGTCTGCAACCTGCATGGGCCGGAAACATGATGGGCGGCCCAGGCGGGCCGATGACTGATGTCGCTACTAATATTGACCTCATTCTAGTTCTCGGGCTACAGCCGGCCTGCTTTTCATGCTGCCACTTGGAAGTCCACAAACAACGAAGCATCTAGTACGTCGATAAGACCAACCAGACAGCTTATAGTCGTCCGATGGCGCCTTCCGGCGGGAAGCTTTCAAACATGATAGTGAGCGATAATGGCCCGTTAACAGTTCCTCCTGGACGCCCATTACAGGAATCAGCACCTAGCTAGTTCTCAGTCTAGAGCTGCTGAGCCTTGCTGAGGCTTCAGCCTGAGCCTTGAGGGCTCATTAGCCTGGCCAAAATCACGTTGGCTCCACATTTGGAGCCTGAACTTGAAGTCAAGTCTGCAGCAAAAATAGCAGCAGCACGGGTTCCTCCAACTGCCGCTGAGGTTGCGCCAGAGACAGAAGCGCTGATACCTTCTGGAAGCTAGGAGGCAGGCCGCATGGACTCACTTATCATCAGCTGCCTGGAACATCCAAAAGGGTTCTCCAGAGCCAGGTATGCATCACAAAGTAGCCTCAGCAGTGTCGCGGTGTTCTCTTAAGCAATGCCGGAGCACTTTGTTTGAAACTTTCTCAAGCGGTGCCTCAACCTAGCCATAATCTGGGGGCTGAAGGAGTGATCCACAGCTTGGTGGAGCGTGGTCTGTTATGAGATGTTGCAAGATAACATGATAGATGAGCGCCCGGTCCAAAAGCTATGGTCCTTTGTTCCGAAAGAAAAGCTTCCCAATGTTTCCAGGGATGTACAACGTGCTTCTTGTGACCCATTTTGGTTTCTCTTCTTTTGCAGAGACTTCAACTGGACTGGGTACACCTTCTGAAATGAAGAGAATCACTGTCTGCAATGGCAAATGAGATCAGAGCGCCCCTCCATCTCCTGTTCTCAGTGGGGGCGACACAGGGGGAGTGAATGCGCCCGTAATCAGAATCCTAAGGAAGCTGCTCCCTTTCAAAGTCCCCAGTCCGATCAAATCCCAGACAGCGAAAGGGACCGTCAACTGTGCCAGAGAACAGTTGTCTCAATGTCCAGGACTGCATTCCGGAAGCTTTGGGCCCAACTGTACCAGCCAGGAAGCTGGGAGGTGTTCTCAGGCAAAGCAACACTCAACTGATTCTTTGAAAGGGGCAGCTGGGGCTCTGATGCCTCACTCAGGGAGTGTGGTGCAAGGAAGGGAAGCCTGTGAAGGGACAGAGGAGGAGAGCGTGTCTGCAGTGTCCGGAGCAGCCAAAGGATCCCCCTTTCCAATGGCAGGGCTGGCCGCCTTTGTTGCTTTGCGGCTGCTCGACGGTCCTACACAAGAGTCTGGCGGTGACGAGGAGACTGGCGGGGTGCTGGAGCGGGGAGCGGAGTGCGAGCATCAACCCGGGAAAGTGCAAGCCGTGCTGCAGGAGACGGCCCTTCGGACGCCCAAGACTTCCACCCTAGCGGAAGGACTGCCTGAAGAGGCGCAGCTGCTCCAAAATGGGCCAGCAGTCGGAGACGGGAGAGCGGAAGGAGGAACAGAGGGAGAGGAAGGAGAAGGCGGAAGAAGTCAAGAGCCTGCGGAGGAAGAGAGCCGGGGGAAGCACCCAATTAAGTCTGATCTACCCTGCGAGATTGGAGCTGATGCGCCAAGCCAGGGCGTTTTGAGCGAGCAATGGAGGGTGCCGTTCTCTCAGAGACTCACTCAAGCGGAAGCTGGGGAAAGCTGGGATCTTGGACGGGGCGAGTACTCGGAAAAAGCGGTTTTAGCTGGAGAGCGGCAAAAAGGAGGCGTTGCGGCTGCGGCAGTTGCAAAGGAGAGCAAAGCAGTGGGAGCTGGAGCAGGTATGGGAGCTGTGCGGATGGCGGAATGCTGCAAGATGACGCTGACACTGGAACTGAGCGAGCGGAATCAAGCGGGGGGCGGGGAAGCTGAGAACGACGGAGTGATGTCAGAGGGGGGAGGTCACTTGACGGGCGACGGCAGGGCTGGCGGCCCGGAGAAGTCAAAGTCTTGTGGTGAGACGATGCAGGTCGGGTTCGACCTGGGTTTGGACCTACGGATGTCGCTGGTGGAGACGCAGGACCGCGCTGCGAGCCCGCCTGCTCTGGAAGAAGAGGAAAACGCAGAGGGTGGGGGAACTGGGATGGAAGGCTGTTGTCGGGCCAACGCAGACGGAGATGTGGGAGGGCAGCCTTGTCAACGGGATGCGGGACGGGACAGCAAGGAACTTTCTGGCCCTCTGGAGCAGCCTTTCGGGGTGCGCTTGGGAACTGCAAACGAAAACGGCCCACCCCTTCCTGAACGGGCCCCCGATGGTCAGGTCTTGCCAGGCAATGATTCTTCCCCAAGGCCACTACCCGAGGCCGCTGATGTCACCGTTGCTGCCACTCCTGAGCCCGTCGAGGGCGAGCAGACGCCCATCCGCTGTTCGAATCAAGAGGGGAAAGTCATTGAGGGGGGGAGTGCTTTGGCAGGAGGGGAAGATTTAGAAGGGGGAGTGGAGCCTGGCCCGATCACGAGCGCCCGGCGAGCGGTGGGCATGGCAGTGACGTCATCCGAGGTCATGCTGATCGAGCGCTTCCTGGCGGGGGAAGACCTTTCTGGGACCGGAGAAAAGAATCCGTTCCAGCTCGCTTACGTTGGTGGGGTGAAGATAAGGTTGAAGCGGCGGTCCCTGGGGCTGGATGAGTTTCGGCTTGGGGGGGTGGCGTCTGAGACAGAAACGGAGGGGGAAGAGGATTTGTTGGCGGACTTGCAGACGCAGGCGGCTGCGGAGGGGACTGGAGAGGGGGTGGGTGAGCAAGGGGGGGTTGGGCAAGAAAGCGGGGCTGGGGAACAGACAGAGGAGGCCACCACAGGGGAAGTAGATGAGCGGGGGGGTGTTCTGCGGGAAAGCCGAGAAGAGGGAGCAGAGGAAAGGGGGGGAGAAGAGGAAGGGGGGGGTGGCTGTTTGAAAGAAGCTGCAGGGAAAGGGGACGAAGGCATCTCGGAGAGGGGCGAAGGGGTGTGCAGAAATGGTGTTGATGGTGCGGAGGGAAGCGAAAGAGGGGGTCCAAGAAGTAGGGAAGTCCAAGGGGTGAAACTTGAAGCTGGAGTTTCGGGAAGAGGTGTAATAGTCGGTCAGGGGGAGGAGACTGCAAAACGGAGCTTGGACTTGGGATCACCAGAGCGGCGAGAAAACAAGTCAAGTTCAGGGGTCGAGAGAGGCGCCGGGGGTGTGGAAGATAGCCCAAAGACGATGGAGGGATGTCCGAAAACGGACGGCCCAAGTGGGCAGGAGGAACTGGATACGCAAGTGGTGAGGCGACTTGTCGTGAAAGATGTTTCTGGGTGGCTATCCGGCGGAGTTCTGATTGTGTTTGTCAGTACCATTGAAGAAAGGGTCGACCCGCTTCGACACGCTTTTCGACCTTTCACTGACTGATCAAATTGTTCCAAAATTGAACCTGGGCGCTACAACAATTCCTGGGGTCCGTTGCGCTCTGAGATTCGATTTAAGAGTCCGAAAAGCGGCCTGACGTTACTCTTTATTATTGATGGAGTGTTTCTCCGGCTCAATCAACTCAAGGGGACCGAACTGGCCTTGACGGGTAAAGACAAGAGCGTCTGAGGGCGAAAGCTGTTGCCTTACTTACATGCTCATCCTTATGAAGACAATTGGTCAATCGCTCCTACTAATTTCCATTTAGCTCCTATCGTAAGTACTGCTTTCGTCCAGGTTAGGTGCATTGCTCTCCTTAAGGTCCTGCGATTTCCTGTCCTGCTTGGACTACCGATTCCAAAGTCAGCCCCATGCTTTCATTCTGCAAAGTCCGAGTCTAGCCCTGAGCAATGCTTTGGTGCGTTACTGCCTTCTGCACTCACCTTGAGCTTGCGCTTCAGCCAGATTTCGCTCTGACAACCAAGGCCCTGTTTTTCTGCAGGGCCTTGCAACGCAGAAGGCGCTCGCACGAGCACGCGCCATGCTCAGGGGCTGGACAGGGCCCGCAGCAGCCTCCCCTCAGCCGCCAACAGACACCGCCCCTGTTCCTCCACCACTCGACACGCAGACTGTCGCCGCAAACACCTGCCCGGGGATCCCTCCCGACCACGAAACCCGGGGCCAGGAAGAGAGGACCACAGAGGTGGGAAAGTACTCGGAACAGTCCCACGAGTTGGTGGGATCTGCGGGCCACGTGGCAGAAGAGGAGCTTCGGTTCTCGTGCGGGGGGCCGGAGACGCAGCTTGCGTTGGCAAGGGGGCGTGCTGTGGTGAGAAAGTGGGCCCCCGGACTTGTGTCTCCAGTGTCTTGCAAGGGGGCGGGGGCGGAGAGGAACGAAGAGGGGGTTGAGGGGGCGAGCGAAGACGTGGCTGCGAGACAGGAGCAGAACGAAGAGGGAGGGGGGGCTCCTGAGGAAACAAGTAGGAGGCAGGGGGACGGAAGCGGTGATCCTGCTGCTAACGAGAGCGAGACGCGATTGAGGGAGGAAGGCGAAAGGGGGGATCAAAAGGTGGGACATCCGGCAGGGAAGAGGGCGCAACTAGAGGCGCGAGAGGATCCTGGGCCGGCAAGGGATGAGCTGGGGAAAGCCGAAGAAACTGAGCAGCAGAGCGGTTTGGCAAAAGGGAGACCGGTCGAGACACTGGAGTGTCTGGATGGTGCGCACGAGAAAGGGGTTTCTAGTGCTGTAGAGGAAGTGTTGAACCAAGCAAGAGAGGAAGCAGCAGAAGGGTCGGCAGATTGCGTCTCGCGGGAAGCGAAGGGCTCAGCAGTGGCAGACCGAAAGGTTGACCTTGCAGAAATACCAAACGCGGAAGGTTCTGAGTCGGTCGTCCGACAGGACATGCCGGACGCGTCAGAGGTTGTTCGGGGCGACGAAATGCACGATCCGCAGCCGCTTCCTGCCGTGGGCGGAGACCTGCCGGATGGTCACGTGGCGCTGACGTCAGCATCGCGGGCGGAGCCTCCGCAACAGGGGGGGTCAATTGTAGGGAACGGTCAGACGGAGGAGGCGGAGGCGAAGCTTTTGGAGGCAGAGGGGGAAAGGGGGGATCCGCAGACGGCAGGGACCCCCCCAGATGGCCTGGGATTTACGACCCCGCCTGCGATACTCGGCCCGTTCTGGGCTCCTGAGGGGGGGTTTCCCCTGGGCAGCACGGCGCCCCCCAGTTCGCGGAAGCGGCCCTGCCCGTCGTGGCGGGTGTCTGAAACGCAGAACCCGGACGAGACCCCCGTCCGCAACGGCGCGGCAGGCGAACGCGTGGAATCGGCGGGTTCGCCGGAGGAGGATGTTGCGGGTTCGCGAGAAGGGGGGACCGCAGGTAACGAGGGGTTTGCGCAATTAGGCGCGGGGGTTGTTGATGGTTTGCGGACGGGATCAGGATCGGGTTTAGAGGGTTTGGCGGCATCGAACGCTGACGGAGTAGGGGCGGGTGTTGCTGCGGAAGAGGGTGTAATCGGGCGTCCAAAAGAAGCAACGAAGCCGTACGAAAGCAAAGCGGCGGCGGACAAGAATGGCTGGCGTCAGAAGGTGACGGAAGCGCGGGCGCCGCCAGAGGGTATGAGGGGTCCCGGACAAACGGCACCGAAACGTGGGGAGGGCTGTCCGGAACCTTTGGGGGATCCCCCAGCGGGCAAGGTGCAGAGAAACGAGGGGGTGGCCGGGCCCCAGCCAGGGACAAATGAAAAGGCGCCACGTGGCAGTCCGAAAGGCGCCGGTTGGACGCAGTGTCTGGAATACTTTCAGCAGCAGGTGGAGATGGGGAGGGTGTGTACGCTGCCGGCGTACTCTCCGGGGGGGTGCGATCCGGGGGCAAAAACGGGGGGTGTCGCGGGGTGGGCAGAAAGTGAGCCTAGCCCTGGGAAGCATGCACAAAAGAGAAAGGCAAAAGTGACAGCTGGCGGGGCCAAAAAGAGTGGAGAGGGTTTGGTAACGGGGGGCCAGAAGAGCCGGCCAGAGCCTGGAAGGGTTGAGGAAAAGGAGTGCTTTCAAGGGGTGGGCTGCGGATTGGGAGGAAGATATGAGGAGACGGGAAGCATGACGGTTGATGATGACGCTGCAGGGGGCTGGCGGGAGGCAGTGCGGGCTCAAGAAAAGCGTGCGGCAGAGGGTGTTTCTGCCTTAGAGAAGAAAGAGACCAGGGCGGACGGGTGCAGAGAAGAAAAGGCGGGGGTAAAACAAGCACCGTCGAGTCCCCCCCAGCGCGAAGCCTCCTCTCCGGGGGGGCACGGCGTCCAGCGGAGCTGCAGCCAGAGCGGGACCCCCTGGCCCGAGATCTGTTCCGTGATCGGCTCAGAAGAGCTGCCGCTGTTCAAACCGAAGCCGCGAGTCGTGTACTCTGCCGCGCACAAGCCGGCGGCCGAGGGGGGGTCTGCGCAAGATAAGGAAGAAGGGGGGGGAGGCGGGGAGAGAAAGTTTGTGGAGGTGGAGACGCAAGAGTCGGTGGGCGTGCTGATCTGGCAGCGGAGGACCGGTGTGAAAAGGGCGCGCACGTTCGTGATCGATTCGACGTCAGAAGGGCGGGAAGCGGAGCGGGGAGGCATTCACAACGCGGGAGAAGAGGCTGTCCCAGGGGAAGGTGCACCTTGTGGGAATGGAGCGAGGAAGAGGTTGAGGAAGATTGGAGGTGGAGTGCTGGATGATATCGAGGAGGAGGCCACGTGGCACCGTGTGGAGCCGGCCACGTGGCACGAGGTCGAAGAGCGGAAAGGTGGAGGAGGGACGAAAGGAATCGAGGCGATTGCGAGCCGGTGGCTTGGAGGCTGGACGCCTGCGGTAGGTCAATTCACAATTTCTTGCAGGCCTAAAAAAAACCTTTTCCGAAATCTGCTAGATGTGAGAACCGTCTTCTCGCTCGGTGAAAAACAAATCAGTGTAAAACCGTGAGCTTGGCTGGGGCACTTTGCACGGGCTACTAAAGTGGGGTGAAAAAGCTCTGTATGTGCGCAAGTGGAAGCTCAAAGCTCCTCTCGAAGTTTCTCGTCCGTGAGAATTGAAAACTGGTGCACTGACAGTAGCTTGACGGGTACAATTGCGGTTCGGTCAGCGCCATACAGCTGTGGAGTGCGACTCTAGTCAGGTCCGCAACGATTAAGCCGCGCTTTAACTATCCGGCAGATTTCGTTCGTGGGGAATGACATGGTTGACATGCAAGCAGGACTCGACCGAGAACTATACGACACTGAGCAGTCTGTACGTTACTTGAAATCTTCGACTCTTTACTCGAGCCCGAGGCGGTTCTGAAATTTACTTGTGTCGCCGAAAGTTGACACTTGAGGCTGGTGCTTCGCTGGTGCGCACATCAAAAAGTCTACTTCCATCAACCCGGCATGCACGCCCTCTCAGGCTTTGCGCTTCGTGCATGTCTTACGGCGAAAAGCGGTGCGGTTTTCGCCCACAAAGATACTTGAAGAAGTTCGCAACGTTTATAAGTTGACTTGCACCAAAAAGTGGCTCCAGTGGGGGCTGTAGCTTAGTGGTAGAGTGCCAACTCGGGGTGCTCCCCCAGAGTTTCTCACCGTTTGAACGTGAATGTGAACGTCAGCACGATCAGCAGCAACCTTCTCAACGTCGGGGACAAGAACAGTCAGAGACGTAATAGTCCGATAAGAATCTGAAAGACCTCTGGGGCGCACCCCGAGTGAGAGACGCGGGTTCGATTCCCGCCAGCTCCAAAGCGACTTTTGCAACTCTGCATAAAGTACAGCATCTCTACGACGGGTTGAGAGCAGATTTATGTGGACCAAGGATGTCCAGGCTAGCAGCTGAATAGGGGATGCTAGTCAGTACCTGCTGTGCTCTGACGCTTCGGCCGATGCTCTTCTTTCCAAATCATTACCTTAAATTTGAGGCAACCTCCTCGTGTTCTGTTCTCCAACTAAAGCGCCTTCCTCGCCACTTGAGGCGCTTGGCATCGCAGCCTCAGGTTTGAGGAGCTGACGTTGAGATCATCTTGGTTGTGATCGTCAATACAGAAGGTTTCTTCTTCCTCGTTTTGCCTGATAATTGCCAAGCAAAGTGCTCTCAGACCACAGACCCCATCGCGGCTCTTTCACGCCCAGAGGAAACAAGCTGGCGACTCCGCAAAGGATCCGCCCTGCTTTTCCTAAACGATACTCTCAACTGCTCTAGCCTCGGCAACCTTTCTTTGTCCCCTTCGCTTGTTCGAGAGGAACCCTCCTGTTCTGAGAAACTGCGCGAGTTTCCATAGCAGCGCAAGTTTGACTCTCAATCTTATCAGGTTGTCAACAGATACTATGGAGAGAGCCAGAGTCTGCAGATTGACGCAGAAACACGAGTCACCCCGTGGAACGCTTGACGTACTTCCGCCTCACCACTTTGCGCAAGAATCTCAATCTCTTCCCGCAGGCGGCTCCCGCTGTCAAACACGTGGCGGACCTCCCTTCAACCCCGCCCCAGACGCCCCCTCGGGAGTCTCCACCGACCGCAACGCAACAGAGCGCCCAGCACGAGAAAAGCGGAAAACTAGACCGGGACGAACCCCCAGAAGCCCGCCAGCCGGCGTGGAAGAGGGACGGGTTCGTCGAGTCGCTCTCGCAGCCGAGCCAAGCCGACTTTCCCCCTTGCGCTTCTGACGAGATTCCCGGGGATAAGCCCTCGAGTGCGGAACTCAAAAGCGCTGCGGCGCCGTCAAACCCTCCGCGACCCTCTGATCCCGCAAAACCTTCAAACCCTGCAAACCCTGCAAACCCTGCCAAAACCCTAAACCCGGAGAGGCCTGCCGAGGCTGGCCCCAAGGCTCCCGAGCTGGTGCTTGAGGAGTCCCCGGTTGGAGAGTCTCCAGAAATGGAGCCGGTCAAGGCGGATGAGGTTAGGCGGAGTCCCCGGAAGAAAGGGCAGGAGGGGCGACCGGGGGAAGCAATGGCAGGCGGTTGGAGGAACCGGGAAAAGCACGTGGGCGGTCGGAAGGAGGCGGGGGGCGGTCGGAGGGAAACTCCGGGCGGTCGAAAAGACATCGTGGGCGGTCGGAAAGAGTTCGCGGGCGGTCGGAAGGATGTTGTGGGCGGTTCAAGAGAGCCTCCGGGCATCCCAGAAGTGGACAAAAGGTTTCGGGGGGAAGGCGCCGGGGCTGGAAGGGATTCTGGTGGCGGTCGGGAGAAGGTTTCGAACATCTGGGCGAATCCTTCTCGACGCCCCCTGAGCCAGGCGCAAAAGGGCCGCGTCACTTTTGTACGTCCGCAGAGGCACGACTTCGTCCGGAACTCCTCGCAGGCGGTCGCTGACGTGGCACGGAGGATGCGGGAGGTCACCCAAAGAGCCGCTCGGGAAAACAGTGCTTCGGCGAAGACTCTTCGAGAGAAGCGTGCTCGAGGAAAAGAGGCGTCGGCTTCGGACGGTCGCCGGACGCGAAGCGGGCGTCCGAACAAGCGGCCAATGGACAGCCAGTTTCTGGTGTATGGGGAGGGGCGAGCAGCATCGAGCCGTTGCGAGAAACAGACTGGGTCTCGAGAGACAGGCGCTGAGAAGAATGGCTTCAGCGAGTTGCCTTTCGAGGGGACAGGGCAAACTGAGGGCAGTGATAGTGACGACTTTGGGGAGGAACAAGCAGGGGAAGCAGGGGATCTGCGGGGAGGAGAGAGGGGTGACGCAGGGGTGACGTCAGGGGGGCTGAAGTGGCCGGAAGACCGGAAGCGGAAGCGGCTGCCGGGGTCCCAGGAGAGTCGGGAGAAGCGCCCGAAAGGAGGGGATGCCGAAGGAAAGGAAGGCAGGGAGAAGGGCCACGTGGCAGCAGGGAAAACGACCAGGTATGGTCACAGGAATCGGGAGAAAGCGGCAGGGAAAAGAAGCGCGGGAAAAGGAAAGGGAAAAGCAAGTGGGTTTTCTGGCGGGGTTGGAAAAATGTCCGACGATGGTGCAGCGAAAACGGAGGAAGGAGTCCCGGAAAGTGAAGGGTTTGGTCTGAGAAGGAGGATGCGGCGCAAGTGTTTTTCCAAGTATAAACGCGCACAGAAAGTAACGCGGAGGGAGAGTGAGAAGCCTAGCGAGAAGGCGCGGGGAGGAGTCACGACGCGTCATGGTGCCGCGCTGACCAAGGGGCTGAGGCTCAGGAAAGGGTCGAAGGTTTTGAGGTCCAATGCGGAGGGGACACGTGGCAAGTTGAAAAAGCGAGCAACCGCTGGTAGTAAGGCAGCGCCGGAAGGTCCAACTGAAGCAGAACGACCGGGAAGAAGGACGGCCGTCGATACCGAGGCTGCTGAGGCATCAGCGGAAGGGTCGGATGACGTCAGAGGAAAGTCGGATGACGTCAGCGGGGATGAAGGTAAAACAGCCAGTCCGAAACGAGCCCCCGGGAGACGGGTCAGCTTCCAGGCGGTGTCTCCGGCCTCCCCCGCCCGTCGGTCCTCTGCGTTTGGGACCCAGCAGGCCGCCGCGGCGATCTTCGAGATGGCGGGGGCTGACGTCGTGGATGACGTCAGCGGATCCCCGGCTGCGAAGGGCGGGGGCGCGGCGACGCCGAGGCGGAGTCCTAGGGGGAAGAAGGTGGCGGGAAAGCCGGTGAGCGGGGAAAAGGATTGGTCCGGCGGAGTCCGCCGGAAGGACGACGAGGAGGTGCGAGAGGGAGTGAGGAAACGAGGTGACGCTGAGCCTGACGTCATCGACCTCCGGGGAAATGGTGGGCGGGAAAAGAAGGCGGGGAGACGGGGGCCGATCCTGTCGAGTTGTCGTCAGAACCCGACGAGCAGCGAGCGGGGAGCCAAGAAGAGGAAGCTGTCGGACATCGGGACCGGCGGGGATGCGTCCGAGGGGTGCCACATGGCAAAGAGTGCCCGGTCCCAGAGCCCGGCTGCCAGGAAAGGAAAGCGGGTTAAGTCGGACATCGAGCTTTCAGAGGAAGACGGCGAGCCGGTACCGAGCGGGCCGCTTTTCGCGGGCTGCCGGTTCCTGCTGACCGGGCTTGAGACGGGGCAGAAAGAGAAGCTCACCGCGCTTCTTACGCAGCATGGCGGGCAGATTTTTGCTGACATCCCGGAGCCTCCTAGCAGGGGGGCAAATCTGGGGGCGGATCATACCCCCAGCCCGCTGAAGCCGAGGCGGCGCCATGCCCCGGGGCAGCCGGAGGCGACCATCGTGATTGCGGGCAGGCCTGTGCGGACGCCCAAATTCTTGTACGGGTGCGCGGTTGGTTCGTGGCCGGTCCGAAGCGCGTGGGTGTCCGCTTGCGTGAAAGCGGGAACGCTGGTTTCGCGAGCGAAGTTCGAAAGCCCCCGAACGGAAACGTCCGCGAAGAATGGCACTGAAAAGTTTGTTGAGGAAGGCAAGGCGAGCGGCGGGGGAAAGAAGAGGGGGAGTGCGGGCGTTTCCGGGCGGAACCAAGCGGAAGAGCGGAACGGAAAGGAACTAGAGCAAGGCGTCCTCGCGGGCTTGCATTTGCACCTGCACGGGAGCGCGAGGTTCAAGAAGACGTGGGCGGATCTGGTGCGGCACGCAGGGGGCCACGTGTGCCGGTCGCTGGAGCACGATTGGGCGCACGCGGTGCTGCTGGAACCAGGAGTCGACGCGCCGCCGGATCTGAAGCGCGCGGCCAGGCGGGCGAAAGTTTCGATCAAGGTAAGGCGATGGAATTTGAATGTCCTTGTCGTTGAGCAGATTAGGTCAGTGTACTGTCGAAGGGCGCGGCGAACTGTGCCAAAATCCCTATCAAGGTGAGATTGTGACATGATATGTCCGTTTTTGAAGACCGGTCGACGAGCTGTGCACTCGTATCGGGGCAGTCAGGCAGGGAGTGCTTTTGTCTACGTGCAATCTGGTTGAGTCGGTGGGACCGACTTGCTGGCTAGCAAGATTCACTATCGTCACGTGTCTCTGAGACGCGAAACCTGGATCTTCGTTTTAGAGAGTTCGACGAGTATACAATTCCTCAGTCCGTTCTTCAAACGTTTTTGCCTGTTCCAACCTCCCACTTTCCTCGCACTTGCTCGGTAAAATTGAGGTGATATCGGGCGATAAGCCAGGGTTGGTAAGCCGCTACGAATAAGTCAGAGCTAGCCCATCCATTTGGAAGTTTGCAGCCGTCCGTTGACGTAGTTCGAAGCACAAGCCGTCGGTGCGGCCCGCTCTCAAAGCGCATGCAGCGTCAAGCATCAATAACTACATCCAATGTTTACAAGATGGTCACTTCTAGAGTTTGCTAAAGCTCGTTCCGTCCACTTTGCAGACCCTGGACTGGGCCGTCGACGCTCTCCTGTCGGGCAGCCGCCCGGCCGACTTTCCAAACCCGCCAAACCCCCAAACTCTCGAGCAAGCCCTCTCACCCTCGGGAGCCGCAAGGCGCGACCAAGACAGCCCCAAGCATCCCCCAAAGAGGCGAAAGTCGAGCCTTGCTTCTAGCGACGAACTTTTACGAAAAGGCAAGGACCCGGAAGAGGCCGGCGAGCCAGATCACGCTCCCCGAAATGTCCGAGAGGAAACTCCGCCGGAGGGGGGAGCTGCCTGGGAGGGTTTGGGCCTGCGAGAACCCCCCCCACTGCCGCCAGACGCTCTTACGGCGCCCGGGGAGTCGGACGTCCGCCCCGCAAAGCGGACGTACTTTTCGGTGGTGACGAGCGCCGGCGAGCGGTACCGGATCGGTGACGCGGCAGAGACTCAAGCTGACGGAAGCGCGAGCGCGCGCGTCGTCCAGCTGATGTCACTGTGGGAGTTGCCCGGGAATGGCGGGGAGGGGTGTATGCGGGCCACGTGTCGGCTTTTCATGCGCCCCCAGGAGACTGAGTTTCCAATTGGAGGCATGAGTGGTTTGGGGGCTAACCAAGGGTTAGCGGAAAGTGGTTTGCAGGAGGTGTATCTGTCCAGCGTGGTGCAAGAATTGGATGTGTCGGAGCTTAGGAGAAAGGTACATGTGGCAAGGAGCACAGGAGGTGCTGGTCCGAGTGCTGGTTTCCTATGTAGATTCTTCTACGATGCGGAGCGGGAGATCTTGCAAAAGCTCAAAGGGTGACGTAAACATACGACAGGAGAAATTGTTCTCGCCTTTGCGGGGGCAATTGAAAATTTAAGTGCCGACTCTTGCACGGACGGAGAACTTCTCTGTGCCAGCACTGTCCCCGACTACGTTAATGTCGTGCCGTAATGAGTCGAGGCTGTGCCGTGTCGGGTGCGCTCAACATATGCAGTCGAAGCGAAAAAGCATGATGCCTATGTAATAAGCTACGTGAAATAGCAAAATCTTATCTCACTCCGGTTAAAAACCCTATGTC